GGTGAAACAAAAATCTGAATGCTTATCTAAATCCTAAAAACATAAATGTGATGACTGCATGGAAAAATAAAAGGACCACTTAGAAAGGTATAAACATATAGCCACTGTAAAACATAGGTTTTTAGTATAATAAATAACTGATCGGGAACCAGACCACGTAAAAGATTGTTTAGTGGTGAATGAGATATTGCAATCATTGATGTATGTAAAAAATAGCGCAAATATGTGTTGATTACAACAATTTAATAATTATATATTCACCATTCTGTTAAGTACTATTACAATACTTTTTAGACTTGTGACCCATATGCATGTTCTTAGAATTATGTTGGATGTGCATACTACATAACTATGAAGCCTGACGCTCTGCTTTTGTTTCTCGAAGAGGATGGGAAAGTGTTCTGCTGGGGCTGGAACAAGTATGGCCAGGTACTTATGCTTAATCCCAATCAATCGTCTAATTTGAGATCTCTGGAATGACATTGGAATACATTCATTTCTGTGATTCATATCAAGCTAAATAAGCCTTCGTTGTTTATAATGTTTACCATGCACTATAATTGATAAGGAATTCAGGTTCACATCATTATGTTCCAATGTTTATGTCTGCCAATTTAAGGACGTATGATTTTGTTAATGTGAAACAGCTTGGCTTGGGTGATGTGATTGACCGCAATGTTCCTTCTCAAGTTACCATTGATGGCTGTGTCCCTAAAAATGTAGCATGTGGCTGGTGGCATACCCTAGTTCTGGCCGAGTCACCTACCTGAGTATCTGACTCTGCCTAGCCTTGGCACAGTTTTGTTAGGTAAGAAGTGTTTTCAGACCGCTGACATATCATTAAGATCCATGTATAGCTACTTGCAGTAGCTTGTATGCTTACACACGTGCTCGTCCTCATTCTTTCGTGGCTCAGGTTCACCACAGTTAGTTCCATCTCTTAAAACTATTACAATGATACAACGCTATCAAGATGTAAAACATGATCTAGCTAGGTCCGTTGTGTATATTTTAGTTAGTAGCATTTGAACATTATACTGTACTCAATGTCATGAAAAGTCAAGTATTGTTGTGTATAAAGTATTATGGAGTCTGTTAACTTAATGCAAGCTTGCTATTGTGCTTCGCTCATGTTATGTTTTAAAACCGCGCTTGATGAAAGCGAAAAGAGGTGCTGTTTTGGATACCCAAAAACGAACGAGTTGCAGCATTCATTTTCTGGTGATCGTAAGTGGGTTGTGACCTCAGATTTTCCATGAATTTGCCCGTGATTGTGCCATCGAGGGTTACTTTTCTTAGAAGAGTCTCAGTTTGCATTCTCTCTTTGAGATGTGAAATCTGAACATGGGCACCAGGCTTGAAAAAATTCCCATGGGGATGGAGACTGATGAAACGTTCAATTTATAAGCCTTTCCTGACCTCCTAAAAATACTAAAACACTTTAAATGGGAAGCTTTATGATGTTGTCGCCTCCCTGAAGCAAAGGGTTGTTCAAATGACCTTTTGTTTTCCTTACATGATAAAGAAATTCGGGCTCGCTATCTGAGGATCAAGTTCACACGTATAATTCCTGATCAGGAACAAAAAGGATTTTAATAAATTCGTGAAATGTACGATTTTACCTTGGTCTCATAAATTCTTATCCACCGCACTTTGTAGGCCTCAAATTATAAACTTGGTATCTGAGAATCGTGGTGATAGTTTAAAGGTCAAAACCATCTAGCGTGTTCTTGGATAAAATGTCAATAGCGTCCTGCTGAATCCGGGGGGCGTTCTTTTCACGGGAAGAATCTTAATATTTCTGTGTTCACCACCTACTTCGACGCTTCTTGTCCATCCTTATCTGGCTCAAGGCATACAATAGGTGTCCGGCAAGGTTTGTTGGCAAATAGCAGCTGCTGACATTATGGCTATTATTTGAAGACGACTTTGAAGTCTCCTGGCCCATATTAGTGTGGTCGGCTGATGAGGTTCGCTCGCTGTGGCAACTAAAGAATTGAAAGTATTAAATTAAAATTTTGAAATTATCCGGTTAGTCAAAACTTTACTTTAAAACCTTGATTATGAAAAAACAATAATTTATATAAAAAATTAAACTTATGTTTTAAAACTATAATAACATAAACTACCACAATACCAAACTATAGCAATGTCAAACACGTAAGAAGCCACTAATTGTTCTAAAAACTTTCCTAGTTGGATCTTACCTGTCTACAATTTTGCTGTTGGATCTGACCTATAAATATTTATTTTTTATCTATGGCAACAGTAGCTACAGGGTTATGAGCTGGTAAGGTATATCTTACGGGATATGAATAGAATCCTTCTTGCAGGGAGATTAGAAAGTGGGCTTTACCTAGAGACGCCAATCAAAGTCAAAGCAGAATTCAACTAGTAAAATGAACTTGGAGGTAGTGGCAGAGTCAGGAATTTATTTAGGCGGGGCTAGGATTATAAAATTTTCTTCTAGAGGGCCAAGATTACTCATCCTGCATAAACTATTTATTTCATATATACTGTAAATATTTTACAATCCCTTTAGAAAAACGATTGTCGAAGATAGGGTGACCCAATAGCAATCCGATTCAGTTTTGGGTTTACTCATGAGTTAATGAAAAACTGAGTTGTGAAAATCAAGATATTCAATTTGGTTTTTCAGTTTTCAGCTTATTTTTCAAATAATATCTTGTAATTTAATTATTTTTAATTATTTTATGAGAAAATGAATTGCGAGGGAGAGAAAAGAACTTCAGTAGTTTGTTTTACTTGGCTTCTTAATTATTTTAATTTATCGAGTTTTTAATCAAATAACCTGAAAACTAGACTGATAAAGTTATGGAAGTTCGGTTTAGTTTTCCGGTTTTAATCTATTCATCTCTGGTCGAAGCACATGCCTATTTGCCTCTAAGACGTGGGAATCATGCCAGTTTGGTAGAGCATCACTTTGATTTTTATTTATTCATTCATGTCCCTCGAATTAGTTTTAGCTATTCATTTAACTAAATTATAACCTAAAAACTTACCTGACCACTTGATTTAGAATTTGTTTAGAATTGTAGTTGTGGTTCTTTTTTACTAAAAAATATATTAAAATAATATATATATTTTTATTTTTTAAAAATTACTTTTATTAGCAGCACATTAAAATGATCTAAAAATATAAAATATATTAATTTAAAAAAATATTAAATTTCTTTTATAAAATATATTAATTTAAAAAAAATATTAAATTTCTTTAAAAAAAATTGTAAAGTATAAAAATAAACAAGAGAGCACCAGCTCCTGTTTTTAAGGTAACATTCAAATATTGTTTTAAATTAAAAGACACGAGACAATGTTACATGGAAAGGATGAAGACAATTCGAGCTTTTCTCATGCATTGTTTTTATTTTCAATGTATTGAGTTTTTCTCCTTCCAATGACATTTATTATTTCATCTAGTTATTTTCTATCATTTTATATGATGGAATCAAAAGGAAAAACATGTAATATATTTACACTAATAAAATTATTTTATAGAAGTACATTTCGAGAATGAAAGAATATTAAATAAATTGAAATAACTCCACTCATTAGAACAAAAAACTTGAACAAAAAAATCGTGATAGAAAGCACCATCACCTCCCTAAATATCCATTTGTGCAACAATTCTCATGAGTGTTTTTTTTTTTTTTTCATTTGATGGAAAGTTGAAATTATTGGGTAACACCGTTAGCATGCCAGGTACTCCGCCAGCCTTGCTTCCTGTGCAGTCCCAAATCGTTATCGCAATATCGTTAACATTGACGAAACGAACACAGCCTAATTGACAAATGACAAATAAAATTTTTAATTTGAAACAAATGAAAGGTCATGCGCGATAAAGCTGCTTCCCGTACAGTACTTGTCTTATATTTGTTTTTATATTTTAAAAATATTTTAAAAAAATTTTAAAAAATCTCATTTTTTTCATTTTAAATTAATATTTTTTATTTTTTTTAATATATTAATATTAAAAATAATTTTTAAAAATATAACCACAATCACAGTTTAAACACACTTGCTAGTGCGCTCAATCGCACTTGAACATCAATCGGGAGCGCGCTCAAGCGCACATGAACATCAAGTTGCTGTTTGCGAGAGACTATTTGCTTGGCACCCTCCACTAATCCACTCCTTCAACTTTGTCAAAGAATTCTTGGATTAATTACAGCTCTAATTATCATGCACAGGTGGCGTTAGGATTGAACCAATCATGATAGGGTGATTAAGGTTGTAATAGTAATTATTTTTTAAAATATATTAAAATAATTTTTTATTTTTAAATTAGCATATCAAAATAATAAAAAAAAAATTTAAATAAAAAATATTTTAAATTTTAAAAAATACTATTTCGAACGCAATTTCAACTGCCCCTGTCTAGAAGAAGTACTAAAAATCTATCTAATAATACAAAAAAAGTCAACTAATGAAACCGACAGTCAATTGTCAAACATGTTATACAAAAAGACAAAAGCCAGTGTATTTAGTTACTGTTTTTTTTTTTTTGAAACTTCCTTTTATTTTAAAAATACATTTAGTTTAAAAAAATGTTAAGTTGACAATTTTTTTAATTATGTTAATGGATGAATAAAAATATTTTAAAAAAAAATACTTTAATTTAAAAAATACATTATATTCCTATAACACCGATTGAAGTCCACCAAGAATCTCCCACGAAATCTGCTCATAATCACTGCCACAAGACGCTATTAAATTATATAGGACTTGACGTCCACCAAGAATCTCCCACGAAATCTGCCCATAATCACTGCCACAAGACGCTATCAAATTATATAGGGCTTGACCTAGTGGTGGAAGGGGCTTCTTCCACTGCATCTGGGTTCGAGTCCTAGTGTGCACGCCTGTCACCCCCACGGTGCCTTATGCCTACTAGGTTTGCAGGATATTCAGTGAGCCGTGGGGATTAGTCGTGGTGCGCGCAAGCTGACCCGGACACCCCACGTAAATCAAAAAAAAAAATTATCATATTATAACAATGATCATCACCAAAACACAAACACATAAACAACCTTGAAACCCAATTCCTCCGTATCATCTCCCAAACAATGAAACCAACGCCACATCGCCTCCTCCTCACGGCGATCCTGCTCCTAAGATGCGCCATGTGCACATTCTCAGCCAAAAACTGCCCCAACTGTGGCACCACCCCAGTCCCCTACCCATTTAGCACTGCTTCTACATGCGGGGATCCACAATACAAGATCAGGTGCAATTCAGGCTCCCTCTTGTTTGATACACTCAACAGCTCCTATCCGATCATGTCCATAAATCCATCCATCCAGCGGCTAGTGATCCAACCAGCCAGTCTCTTACCAAACACATGTGTCACGTCTGATTACATCTACGAAGGTATCTCGTTAAACGATAGCTTACCTTTTAACATCACAGGTGATAACACCATCATGTTTTTGAACTGTACGGAGTCGTTGCTTAGATCACCGTTGAATTGTACCTCAACCAGTTTGTGTCACGTGTACGTTAATAGTACCAAAGGGGGCGCTCCTTGTCAAGCTGCTCCTATTTGTTGTACTTTTGGGGCAGGCGGGTCATCGACGGCGCATAGAATAAGGGTAAGAGACACCGGGTGCAGGGCTTACACTAGTTTTGTTGATTTGGATTCGGTTTTGCCCGTGGATAAGTGGTCTAACCCGGGACTGGCAATCAAGTGGGTGCTGCCTCAGGAACCGGTTTGTGGGTCTCAGGCTGACTGTGATGGGAATTCTACTTGTGCGCCCGCAGCAAATCTGAGTGGGGTCAGGAGGTGTTACTGTACAGGTGGACTTCACTGGGATCCGATTCAAGGAATTTGTGTTCATGGTAAGTTTGCCTGTGCCCTGAGTCATTTTGGATTGTGTTGTGGAACCTGCAAATCCTTAGTCTAGTTCTACTCTTGAATAGTTGATTTTATTTTATTTTTGTTTGATTGGTTGAAGAGTGTAATTTTGAATACTTGTGCAGATGCTACGTGTCAAAATGATGGGAGTTGTGGTGGATCAACAAAGACTGCTCTCATTGCTGGTACTTCTCTTGTCATTATTCTAGATGTGTGACTAGTTACTGTAATAATTGCATCTCCAGTAAATAGCCAAACGGGAGATGCTACGTTAAATAGTCAAATTGATAGAATAATTTTTTTAATAATATATATACATATATATATATATTTGAATGGTAAAAAATTATTTTAGAAGAGCTAATTATATAACTAATTTAGTTATTTTTTATATAATATGATAATGTCCTTTCAATAAATACATATTTTTTTATTTACCTTTAGCTTTTCTATAAAGAAGTGTAGAAATAATATTTCAAAATAAAAATAGGTATTTTAGCTATTCATATAGTTTATCCATTAGAATTATTAAAGCTATAAATAAAAGATAAAAATATAATATTTTTATCTTTGCTGCTATTCTTTTAGCTGCTTGGTTGCTTGGTTGAAGATGCTGTAATAATCTCAATTGATGATTTGCAATATTTAGGAATGATTTCACTCAAATTTCGTAAACCGGTAAACACCACTTGCAACCTTTTTTTTACCTTGATTTAACTATTGCCATGTCTTGTCTTGGCAGTTATTTTTCCTTTCCTCTTCCCCTCTTTTCTTGATTGACATTTGGTTTTGTTTTATAAAAATATTTTTTTTAATTCAAATTAAGTTTCCTTATTATTTTGCAATAAATCCTTTTATAAGTTAATATAAAAAATATACTTAATTTTAAAATAAAAAACATTTAAAAAGCAGGTACCAAGACTTTTGATCATAATTAGGCAAAAGAAAACTACTTTTAACATTTTCTTTGTTTTCTTTTCGTGTTTTGAATTTTCATTTGAATAACGCCGACAATGATCCTAGCCTCCCAGTCCAAACTACGCCTGCATTCTAAGGTTATAAAAAAAATTAGGAAAAAAAAAAAATTGTTTGCGGGTTCAAAAGTCAAAACAGCCCATCGGGCCTCAGTCGTGACGGCTGGAGGCGACATTGTAGAAGCAAGATGGAAAATTGTAGAAAGGAACAGTTGCCTTGCTATCCATCCCATGAACTCTTTCAGCAATTGACGTGCAGGATATCAAACCCTCCGACTCTCCTGCTACGTGTAGCGGACTCTCTCCTTTTCTTCAAATGTTAACATAACACGTAGCCATGCTTGCCACCCTCATAACAATTTACAAGGCAGTTGAGCACCAATAAAATTAGCTTCTTGATCATAAGCTGCAAAATAACAGGGAAATGGCTAATGGGGGCTTAGATTGATGCAAAGCATTAACACATCGATGGACAAAGGTTCTGAGATGCTAGTGGTATGGCATCAAGAACCCATAGAGGGAGGCCCCAATGGGAGACATGTCTTCCTGTGTAGAAGGGTGGGAGACACCGAACCGTAGTAGGGAGATGAAGACCTCAGGACACTAATTTTTTTGTTTCATTTGTCTGTTCCGTGATTGTTAATTGCTTTTGCTGAGGATTCTTTATACTATAAAGCTCCAGAGCCATTCTCTCCTCTCTCTTATTTATGTCTAACAAAACCCAAAAATTTCTATAGGTTTAACATCCGGGATTGGTTTGACTCTTTTGGTAATCGTCATATCTGTCCTGCTCTATAAACGCCGTAGACGGATCAAAGAAGCACAAGAACGCCTGGCTAGAGAACGTGAAGAGATCCTGAACGCGGGTGGAAGCAGAGCAGCAAAAATCTTCACAGGCAAACAGATCAAGAAGGCTACAAACAATTTCTCAAAAGACCGCCTATTAGGAGCCGGTGGCTATGGTGAAGTTTTTAAAGGCATTCTTGATGATGGCACAGTAGTAGCTGTCAAGTGTGCCAAGCTTGGAAACACCAAGGGAACTGACCAGGTGCTCAATGAGGTCCGAATTCTATGCCAAGTCAATCACAGAAGCCTTGTATGCTTGCTCGGTTGCTGTGTGGAGCTTCAGCAACCTATACTCGTTTATGAGTACATTGAAAATGGAAATCTTCTTGATCGTCTACAAGGTCTAAAACCTGATGGAAAAAGCCAACTGTCTTGGTTACATCGCCTCCAAATTGCTCATGATACTGCTGATGGTCTTGCTTACCTGCATTCCTCAGCTGTTCCTCCAATATATCATCGAGACGTCAAGTCAAGCAATATACTTCTCGATGAGAAATTGAATGCCAAAGTTTCGGATTTCGGATTGTCAAGGTTAGCTCATAGTGATTTGACTCACATATCAACCTGTGCCCAAGGCACTCTAGGGTATCTCGATCCTGAGTATTACAGGAAATATCAGTTGACTGATAAGAGTGATGTTTATAGTTTTGGGGTCGTGTTGTTGGAGCTACTGACTTCTCAAAAGGCATTAGATTTTACTAGACCGGAAGATGATATAAACCTGGCAGTTTATGTGCAGAGGATGATGGAAGAGGAAAAGCTAATGGACGTGATAGACCCAATGCTAAAGGTGAAGGCGAGCTCTCTGCACCTTGAGACCGTTAAGGCATTGGCATTTCTGGCTTTGAGTTGTATAGAGGAAAAGAGACAGAATAGGCCTTCTATGAAAGAAGTTGCTGAGGAAATTGAGTACATTACGACTATTACAACAGCAAGGGAGGTCGAAAACTAGCTGGCAATATGCAGAGAACATTTGGAGACAGGATCGGGTCTCTAATATGGGGATTGATGACTTGAATGATCAGAATATGATGTGCTTGTGGAATGGATATTACTATACCTAGCTTGAGTTTGCTCGGCGCTTTGCCCTATATGTATATGGATGTAATTACAATAAGATGTGATCATGAACATACATGCATCCTTGATATTTAAAACCAAAAAAAAGTGAAAATGGATCACTAACTCCAAAACACTGCATAGACACATTGATCACTATTTTGCTTTGAGACTTGAGTGCTTTTGAGTTTTTATTTTTTAAAAAAAATGATGGTTTTTCAGGAGAAAATCACTTTAAAAAATCAGTTTCAACTATCACTCTCTCGTTTTAGTTTATAAAATCCCATTTTGTTAAAAAATGGACAATTTAATCTTCAGCATTTTGTTAAAAAATTTACTCTTCGGCATTTTGTTAAAAAATAATTCACGGAGAAACAATAAGAGCAAAGAACATCAAAATCCAGTTATGAACATTAAACGACTCTTATCTGATAATAAAATCCCAAGGTTGATGGAGAACAAGAAGCACTCTTCAGGAAGACAATATTAGGAGGCCTAGAACTGTGCTTAACAGTAGAAATGCACAGCAATTCTAAACAGTCTAATTCGATCTTGGTGTGGCCCATTCAACTCGAAGGATTAGATTGTCGTAACCATATCCATTGAGCTTGTTTATTGCCCTCTCAGCATCTTCCTTGCTTACAAAGTTCACAAAACCAAAGCCCCTGCTGACACCAGTCTTCTGATCAATAGCAACATAAACACGACTCACAGGACCAAATGTGCGGAAAAGTTCAAGCAAGTCAGGTTCTCTGGTGTCCTCTGATAAATTGGTAACCCTGACTGAGTTTTCTTCATTCCTGCGCCTCATGTCTGATCCACTAGTTCTCTCTGCACCAGCCCTCTTGCTTGGTGGGACATAAGCAGCCTCGGTGGCTCCAGAGGCAGCCATAGCTTTCTCTGTTGCAGCAGGTTTATCGATGTAGGTTTCAATTGGTTGAGCAAGATCCTTGTATGGGCATCGTGATGTCCAATGATCACCTTTCTTACCACAAGTTCTGCAAACCATGAGAACAGCCCCACCTTTACCTAACTGAGCCAAGTTATCTCCAGCTATCTTGCTTTCTTCTGCTTTCGTACCTTTTGGCATGCCAATGCATTATTAAAATGGAAAACCAACCAACCCATAGACTTTAAGAAAAAATAGTCATTGACAAACAAGACTTTCAGACACACTCTAGAAGAATCTAAGGACCAGACATGAGAATTCTCCAAACTCAACCATCTCTCGGTAAAACATATGGAAGACTAGCAATGATTTTGGTTTGCAACTAAAAGTAACTATTGCATGCATAAGGGTTGCAGAATACTAGGCAAAAAGCATTAATAAAATTAACAAGCAGAAAGCCAATTTCAGTTCCAAGGCATCCAACTATACACGTAATATAACACTAAAATCCAATGTGCAGACAATAACACATATTCTCTTGGAGAGGAATCAGGACAGCAATAGATCCATTGATGCATTGCGAAGAGTTCAAACCCCACAGCTTTTAAAAGCAAGTACACTCTAGCAAAATCAGGAAAAATTAACAATTTCAAGGCAGCATTGTCCTCCATGAATAAACCCAACAGAACAGTTTTGCAGAACTTCAGTAAAATATAAACATATGTAGAGAAATCATTATATACAGGAATGTAATCGATTGAACTATCAGAATGTAACACCGTTATTAATTAATTAGTTGCATAAAAGGGAAACTAGAACTCCGCATAACCATCAAATGCCACCAGCAGAGCTCAAATTTCGGTGAGCTTACTTAGCATTCATAATAAGAGAAAACAATTCGCTGGGAAGCTTATCTATGATTGGTTGGCCACCCAGAACTGAACTAAAACACATGCAAATCCTTAAAGAATCAAGCGTGCGACAAAAATCAAGTTTCACATAAGCAGACACCTACTAGGACAGCAAAAGGCATAAAAACCAAAAAGAATGAAATAAAAGAAATACCAGGGGCTCTAGGTCTTTCAAGCAATATCTCTTCAGTAGAAACCATAGTAAGCCTGCTCCCAACATCCTCGTGAACTGCATCTCCAAACTTCGGCCAGTTTCGCCTCTCCACAGCCCGCTTGCTCAACCGAGCCTTAGCGAGTTTGCGGACTCGGGTCGTAGTCGTAATCTTAATCTTGTTACCATCATCGTTAAATTTGTACTCGATCACTTTTTTGATCCCGTTATCATCGGGCCCAATCACCTGTTTGGGAGGTAACAAAAAGTCAAGATCTTCACCATCGTCCTCGTCTAGCTCACCCCAACGCATCTTGCTTGGCTTCGCTGATTTGTCTACATACATGGTTAAGGTTAATGATATTTTCTGGTGGCCGTCGGGGTTTGATTGGAGATGGTGCTTCTGCTGTGTCTGAACAAGAAAAGTGCAAGTAGGGTTTGCTTTTTGATGATGTTTTGTTTGGGCGGTTATGCGACGTCGGTTATGGGCTAGCTACAAGACGAAGAGGAAATTACGAACCCGACGCCGAATTACGTCGGTTATATAAAAAGATCTTCCAAGTTAGCAGATGTATTATTGGATTGAGAGATGGGAATAAAAACCAATATCCTTCCTCTAGTATCGCAAGTATTTAAATCTTATAATTTTCCAGGGTTTGGTCATGAATTTTGATTGTTCTCTTAAATAAATATTATTTCTGTATTATTGAATATCCCGTATATTTTTTATACAAGGAGTATGCCGAATTAGAACGATTTTGATGAAGTAAAAAGCTTCTCTCAATTACCAAGAAGATAGAATTATATGGTTAACGAAAATAAATCCCCTCGTGAAAAATTAATTAAAAAAATATTAACAAAAAAATATATTGGTGTACTATGCACAGTTTATGGTATACTAGATGTTTTAGAGCTTGCTGTGTGTTTGTTTATTATTATAAATTTATAAAAAAAATTATATAAAAAGTTATATAAAAAAATTGTTGAAATTTATAATATTTTTATGAAAAAAATATAAAACTAATTTTTTAACTAGAATAATATTTAAAAAATAAACTGAACAAAAAAAATTTAAAAAAAAATCATAGGAAAAAAAAACAAAAGAAAAAAATCATGGAGGAAAATACCATAGCAAAGTTGTAATTCTTAACCGGTTTAATATTAAAAATAATAAAATAAATAAAGATAATTTTAAAAAAAATCATAACAAAAAAATTATATGAAAAAATATTATAGCAATCCATGATTTAAAAAAAAAAAACTATGAAGCTAAATTTTCAACCAGCTCAATATGAAAAAACAAATTGATAAAAGACAATTCTGAAAAAAAAACAAAAAAAATCATAAAAAATATAAAAAATTATGTAAAAAAACATTGTAGCAATCCACAACGTTTTAAAGAAAAAAATTACAAAACTAAATTTTAAACTAGCTCCATATTAAAAAAATAAAATCAACAAAAAAACCTCTAAGAAAAAACACAAAAAATTGGAAAAAAAAAACAGAGATAGTTTTTTTTTGGGGAGGGAGAAAAAAATACGTGGGAAAAGTTAGAGATTATTAAAAAAATTGACGAAGATAATTTAAAAAAAATGCAAAAACAAAAAAAAAAACAATTTTGAAAAAAAAACATGCAAGGCCCAAAAAAATTAAAAAATAAACAAATAAAAAAAAATACACGGGGTAGAGAAACTAAAATATTTTCCCAGCACCTTTTAGAGTATTGTTAATTATTATAGTAAAGTTATCTTTTTTTTTTTTTCTTGTGTTGAAAAAATAGACCTTTTTTATGCTGAGGGTAGTTTGGTTTTTTTAAAAGATTCATGGGTAAATAAAAGATTATTTGAGGATATATTGATTTTTTTAAAAAATATATAATAAAAACAAATCTTTAACTTTGAAGTCACCAAAAAATAAAATTATTAACCAAGAGTTTTTTATTATTTCATGAATTTTAAAATAATTCCTTATCCCAAGGTCAAAAAAAAGGATGTTGTTTATCTAGGGTTTTTTTTCCTGAATAGGCTATAATTAAAAATACATATTTGCCCTTGTAAAAGACAAAATTTAAGTTATGTATTTAGTTTTTTTTATTATTATTTCACACATGTTTACTTATGATTTCTAGAGCATAAGGGGTATTTTGATATTTATATATTGATTTTTTTATTTTTTATTTTAAAAAATTGCTAGTATATGCTAACTACACACCAACAAGTGATAGTATCTTTGCTATCTGAGCAACATGTGAAATGCCACCTAATGGCCAGGCCTATATTTTTATCACGTCATTGGAAGCAACATTGTGTTCTTTTTCTCCAAGTGAGGTGCGTGATTACGGATGATGGACAATTTATAAATAATGATTTTTTTCTCCTTTTTTTTATATTTTGTGCTAGGAAGATTGTATAATTGTATAATTGTTGTTTTTGTTTTTTATATTTAAATTTCAGTCATGGTTCTTTTGATTTATTATTTATGTTTTTATCTCTCTTTTGAAAGTTTTATTTGTTTTTAATTGAGTATTTTTTTTCTCTTATTTCCTTTTTTTTATGTTTATTTCTTTTTAGTGGCATTTTTTGTAAACTTCTATTGACTTTCAATTTTATCATTCAATTAAATTTTATATTGTTTTATTTTTTTTCAGCTTAACCTTTGTTTTTTTATTTGTTTTTCCTCTTGTTCAAGTTATTTTTCATTTGTATTTTTTACATCATTTGGTGTAATTAATTTTTTTTCTCGATCACATCTTTTGATATTTAATTTATTGGGGATTAAGATTCATATTTTTTTTATTCACAGCGTTTTTGATCTAATAACTCGGTTCATAAATTTAAAAAATTATTATCATTCACATTTTTTCCACTCCTATCTCATTTTGTTTTATAAAGTTACCATTCTACATTGTTATTATTTAAAAACAAAATGGTTTGTGATTATCTTTGATTTTTTTTTACGAGTTTATTATTATTTTATAATTGAAGTCATAAGTTTTGTTGCAAATATTTTTTAATATATTTTTTTAAAAAAACTTGTTTTGTTTGTATTTTATTTTTGAAGATATTATTTTATTTATATGTATTTTTATATACAAATGAAATCTATTTTTCAAAATAAAAATGATTTATTTTTAAATAATATTTCCGATATGTTTGACCTTGCATAATATATGTTTTAGATCACGAGTTTTTTAAAAATTTTTGTTTTTTTTTAAATTATTTTTTATTGATTTAAGTAAACAAATTTAGAAAAACATAGTTGGGTAAATATCTCATTTTATGTGATTAAGTATCTTGATTTATAAAAACATAGTTGGGTAAATATCTCATTTCATGTGATTAAGTATCTTGATTTATGTTTAATTTTTATTTTTTTTTTATTTTCTTTAATTATTGTTAATGATTTTATTTTATATATATAGATATTAACCTGTTTATTTAATTAAATTTTTTTATAAATGTTTTAATTTAGACCTTTCATTTTTTATATTAAAAACATGTTAAAATAACCTACATATCGATATTATTTTTTAAAACAACAAATTTACAACCCACGGGTAGCGCTGATTAAACAACAAACTTTTAGTTGCTTTTAAGGACATTGTAAAAGGTTTATTATAAATATTCTGCCGCCTCAGTACAAGAAATGATGTTTCGTACATTAAATTGATCCAAAGTGCTTTTCTACTTAAATTGCTTCTCTGGAAATTTTCCTTTCGCCTGGATGAGACAGTACCTGAGAAATTTCTAGAAATGTAGTTACAGTTTTGAATCAATCATAATCTGGATCCAAACTCGGCGTAACTCCTAAACTGGTCAAATGCCATGCAACCATATATAGGACTAATTGAACCGTCCAGCAGTTAGTCTTTAGACTTTACTGATCAATTAATCATCACCAGCTTCCTCGTGAGCATCGAGGTGATGATGGGGCTACCTTTCTGAGCTTACTCAAACAGTATTGCCTCCTCTGGAAGCTAACCCCATCCCCAGCCATTTTTATTTCTATTTTTTTTTTTTATAAATCAAAATTAGCTTGTATCATCTGGCAGTACAACTTAAACTTAGACAGTATCTTTACCGGAAAATAATTCCACTGTACTTCTAATGAACATGCGCGATTATGTATGCAAAGAAGTTAAGGAATAGAAAAAAATCACCGACAATGAAAGAGGGAGATTGTTCCATCACTTCCATCTTCTCCCTTAAACAATTTAAGCAGCGATAGTTGACATCCTTTTTCCATGTGATAACCCGAGCTTAATAAGAGTCGTAATTTTAAAAAAGGTCATGATTTGTATTCAGAAACACGTACACTCCACGTGCATTTAATATCAAGGGTCTCATGTGGCTTATTTTTTAAAAATATTCTTTTATAAAAATATATAACATGAATTTTAATTCTGTTTTTTTTTTTTTAAAATTTCCTCTATTTTAAATTAATAATTTTTAAATATTTTTAGATTAGTTAAATGTATTGGTATAAAAAATAATTTTTAAAAAATAAAAAATAATTATTTTAATATATTTTTAAATAAAAATATTTTAAAAAATAACAATAACAACAATCCCACCACCAACAGATGACACACGTAAACAGATCTGATCATACGATAATACGATAAAGCAGACCTCTATTTCTAACACGATGTCAGTTCGTAAAGATGACGTAATTGTGATTTCAAGATCCAAGAAGAAGAAGAAGGCTAGAGAATAAAAACAAGGTAGATATATTTGTAAATTCAAGCCTCCCGATTTCTAGAAGTTATCAACACAACGAACCCTAGCTTGCGTCAAAGGTGAAACCGTACAACAAAGTGTCAACGCGTATACTGTAAACCTACTTTTTGTGAATTACCACCCCCTTGATCTAGTCTTAGCCCACGGAATCAATTGCGAGGCCATGTGACTTCCGGCGACTACTGGTCAATACCACTAACGTTGTAAACCTACTTGCGCATATTGTAAACCTACTTTGTGTGAATTCCCAACAAAGATAACTTTCGCACCTTTTTTTTGAAAAACTCGCACGCGGCCCCTTTAATCCCGGCGGAGTAAGCATTGTTAGTAATGGACGGAGTACGGTGGGTTTTATGATTGGCACCGCACGGTCTGATCTGATCCTTTTTTCTTTAATTTTTTTTCCCGGGAATGAAATGAGTCTTTTCAGTTAGGAAACTTGTAATGGTGATTGACTAGCCATTATATTCGGATCGAATGATTCAGTACAGTGACCATCGGTAGATATGAACGACGACCCTTTACCAGGCAGGCTTCAACGCTCGTTACTAGCAAGGCCTGCTCAGTGCTCTGCCCTGTCAAGCTACTTCGTTGAATTTTCTGGTTCTGGCATGTTTCCTACTTCGGTGTAATTGGGAGTTGGCCTAAAATTTAGTTCCGATACCGGCATCAACGCACAAGGAAAACCATTCTATTTTGTCGGCCGGGAACAATATAGAAATAAAAAAAGAACAAGTGAGAAATACGGGTCCGTCTCCTCACCGCTTGAAGATTAGAGCTGAAGTGGGAATCGGTGAATCCCCAATAAATCTATAGTAATTCTAAAAAATAAAAAGGAAGCAAGAATAAGAGCCTATTTTCTTATTTACATGATTCACGTAAATAATGCTTAAAGAAATAATCAACTCGTAGTTAATTTGGAATCATATATGTTCTAATATTTTATACACAAATTATTATCAACTTGGACATTAAAAACAGGGGGAGATACTGAAAATTGAAGGCTTAACTTCTTAAACGATAAAAAATCAAATATACAACTTTTTATAATCGGAGCTGATCGTTCATATTGTTAAATATAATGATTGTTCAACAATTAATCTAAATCAAATAATAAATTAGACTGATTTATATTTTTAATTAAATTACGTATAAGGTATTTCAAACATCATTTGTTAATAAATAAATAAGTAAATCAATAATATTACAAATTGCCCCTCCGTTTTTGTGTAGTGTATCGTAAAAAACTCTATCCTGCTTATTATTTTATTAGCAACAAATACAAAAAATAGACTTGTGGTACGTACTATTTTACCCACAACATAAAAGGTGCCAAATTTTGAAACAACCCCGGAGCTTCCACCAAATTAAAACCTTGACCCCAATAGTATTTTCTTAAAAGGAAAGTTACTTGTTTAAAAATTTAAATTGAATTAGTATTAAATTTGAATAATTCAATCCCTTTTATTTTGCGTCTATAAATAACCCATCAAACCAAGCTGCCTTTTGTACAGCTCAGCCTTGGACACCTCCTCGTCACCGACCGTTAAAAACAGCCTGCGAGCGAGCCAAAACCTTTCCGAGTCGACCCAGTCCCCGCCATTCTGACCCGCTTGCTCGGAAATCTGCTCTTGCTCTCGTGACTCGGATTCTGGATCTTGTGAGGCCAAAGGTAATCGTTTTACTGTTTTTGTCTCGTTTTGAGGCTTTATGGTGTCGTTTGGGTCTGGTGTGGTTCTCTTGATCTACGGTGAAATGAAGCAATGTGGTTAATGTCTTGACTATAATCTAACTTTATTTTATTGTTTTTCTGCTAGTTTTTTATTTATCTTTATTTCTTTCTTGGTGTACTTGCAATTCTGATTTTTGTGGTTTTGTTTGATTTTTTAAAGAATTTTTAAAGCCATTTTTATGATTGATTAATTTGTTAATTCATTTTTTTTTTAGATCTTGTGTATATTTATTGCTTCAGTTTATATTACATCAATATTTGTTGTTTTAGTGAAATCGAGTCCTTTTTTTGAACTATTTAACGTGTATGATAAGTTTCAACGCAAAATTCACTTCAACAAGAAAGAATCAAGTTGAAAGATTGTCTTTATGACATCATGAGGATCCCTATTAAAATTTCTGTTCTTCTTCTTGGGATGTCCACTTTTTCACTCAATGATGCATCCAAATCGGTGGAGATCAGGCTTGTTGATGAGTTGAATGGTGAAATAAGTTTTTTTTTTATAAATTTTCCAGGGCTTTTCATTAGTAGGATGTTAAGATCTTTTTTATTTTAGTCCAGTAGCAAGTCTATTTTGCAGTCGGTAGAGATTGACCCTACGTTTGCAAATTGTCCTTTATTGTGGAGGGAAAAAAATCCATTATTGTGTCCGTTCATTGCTGATAAAGGACAAGAATGTTGCGCTTTTTCTGCATTGGGTTTTTGAGTAAATGAAAGAACGCATCTGGCGTCTCATTCTTATGTACTCATTTTAAATGCATCCCGTTTTTCCCCTTATGGTAACAAATCATAAACTACTGAATATAGTGACTCATGCTTATCATCACTTAAAAAAGCCAGGTAAAATGGCAAAACAAAGACTTACTTGGGCAGCTCTGTTTGTTGGAGGGCATTTGACTTTAAGCTGTGTTCTCTTCCAGGGTGATCTTTTGCACTTATCATCCATGACTCTATATTGTGTCCGGTTGTTAAAAAAGGAAATTTGTGACTTTGATTTAGTTGAATGCCTTGAGGCATCTTTTCCCTGGAGAGATGGACTAAGCAGCTTAAAATTTCCTCATTTACTTGTTCATGTAGATTTGGATTTATTTGTCTACTAGATTCTGGTTTAGGTTCCTTGTTCTATATGGAGTAAATTGATCACAAAATAAAATCAATTTTTTCGTTCTCATTAAAATTTCCAACCTGTGGTATAGCTGGAAGCTGTTTGCTAATACCAGCTAATTCATCTGGACAGATTTGCATACTCTTTTGAGCGTTATGATTTATCTTATGACACTTGTTTAAATTTTTAGCTGCGTCCTGTGTTCTCTGCTTTTCTGACTGTTGTGATGGACTTGTGTTTCTTACTCTTTCTGCCTGGATGAATGTGTCAAGCTTAATTTAGTTCCTATTAGTTTAGGTTTGACAGTTTTGCCATAGCACAGTTAGAGAACAGGCATAGATTGTATTCTGTTACTCTTTGCTAGACTTCTGCTTAGTTTCTGAACATGTAATTTGCAGAAAACGCAGGGGGCATATCAGAATGAAGGCACTGATCCTTGTTGGAGGTTTTGGAACAAGGTTGAGGCCATTGACTCTCAGTGTTCCTAAACCACTTGTTGAATTTGCCAACAAACCTATGATCCTGCATCAGGTATAAATTTTTTAGCATTGCCTTTGTTGATACAAGAATAATTGAACTCATGTTGTATGCTACTTTTCTGGTTACCTTCCTCTGTGCAATCAATTGTTATAATCCGTTGATTGCCATGATTTAGAAAGGGCTTGTTTTAAAACCTAGTTGCTAAAAGAATTTAGACACTTACCCATGTATGATGGGCCGTAACAATTCCATGCTCTGTCTAGCACATTTTCTAAATTTGGAAATTGGTTATGCATGTGTAATATCCATTTATTGATCTTTTTTAATTGTTTGCAGATAGAGGCTCTCAAGGTTATTGGAGTGACTGAAGTTGTTTTGGCTATCAACTACCAGCCTGAGGTAAGAATAAGCAGCTTTTCTTCCCAACCCCTTTTCACCACTATCAACTGTTATTAAAAATTAACAGATTGTTCCAACTGGGGTGGTTGTGCTCTTTCCTGCAGGTGATGCTCAACTTCTTGAAGGAATTTGAGACGAAGCTTGAGATTAAGATCACTTGCTCACAAGAGACTGAGCCGCTCGGCACTGCTGGTCCTCTGGCCTTAGCAAGGGACAAACTAATCGATGATTCTGGCGAGCCGTTTTTTGTTCTCAATAGTGATGTTATCAGCGAATACCCGCTCAAACAAATGATAGATTTCCACAAAGCCCATGGTGGAGAGGCTTCCATAATGGTGACCAAGGTAACATCTACTAGTTATCAGTTTATTTTCATTAGTTTTCCTTGGAGACGTGGAGCTAAACTAATGTTGAAAATGTTGAAAATCGTTTCGCCCTAAACTGTAGGTGGATGAGCCATCGAAGTATGGTGTTGTGGTTATGGAAGAATCCACGGGAAAAGTTGAGAGATTTGTGGAAAAACCAAAAATATTTGTTGGTAACAAAATCAATGCTGGGATTTATCTGCTGAACCCATCTGTTATTGATAGAATTGAACTGAGGCCCACCTCAATTGAGAAAGAGGTCTTCCCAAAAATTGCAGCAGATAACAAGCTCTACGCAATGGTGCTTCCAGGGTTTTGGATGGACATTGGACAGCCAAGAGACTATATTGTAGGCCTAAGACTCTATCTAGATTCCCTTAAAAAAAATTCCTCATCTAAGTTGGCCACTGGTCCTCATATTGTGGGAAATGTCTTGGTGGACGAGACCGCCAAGATTGGAGAGGGTTGTTTGATTGGACCTGATGTTGCAATAGGACCAGGATGCATTGTCGAGTCAGGAGTTAGACTCTCTCGTTGCTCTGTGATGCGTGGAGTTTACATCAAGAAGCACGCTTGCATATCTAGCAGTATCATCGGGTGGCACTCCACTGTCGGGAGATGGGCCCGTGTAGAGAACATGACAATCCTTGGAGAAGATGTCCAAGTGTGTGACGAAATTTACAGCAATGGAGGTGTGGTTTTACCCCACAAAGAGATCAAATCGAGCATTTTGAAGCCAGAGATTGTAATGTGAGGGACTGGGTTGGGGATTTGCAGACTACGTTTAAAGCCCTTGGGAGGGTTACAAGTTATTGCGTTTGGAAATGTTTTTCCGAGTTCGAGTTCGAATTAGATTGCTGAAAGAGGAGGTCTGTCATAGATGTGAAAATGGTGTGAAAGTGCAACTCTGTGGTGTAGATATATTATTTAGTTTTCATGTAACCAAAACGTTGTAAAATTGAAATCTTCAGTTTCACAGAATCCAGTGAAACTCTTTGTTTTGTCAATCAGTGTCGTTGGACAGCTTAAGATTTTTTTCAATTATCTGTACATGGGTGGCCCCTAAACTTGCAGAACGATTTCTCTTTCTATGAAGAGATTGTGAGAGGTACCGTCGAGGTCCCTAACTGGTAGCAATGCTGGTCTTTCTGGAGCAAAATTCTGAAGAGGGTACGGTGGGCTGAAAAATAATGGCTGTCACGGGTCCTTGCCTTTCGACGAAGTGAAAGGGAGTTGTGTGTTGTTAATTGCTTTACATGAGGGTATCACATCGGCCATCAATTAATTATAATCACGTGGGATCCCAACTATAATCATGCCACATTTGGTGCAACTGTGTATTGCAACTATGTGAATAGCAAACGAGAAAAGAAATTGCATTTTCTATGCAAGCACTTGACAAAATTGTCCCAATTTAACTACTCTAGTCTAATCCGAAAGCATAATTTGGAGGGAGCATGCTCTACCTATTCTTTTATCAATGATGTTGCAGAGACTCGAGAGAGGCGTACCATGTGAAGCAAGCAGTACCTAACCATGTCTTTCAAACATGAATTATCAAAGGAAGAGATCAAGAAATACAGATGGGAGTTGAGATATAGCAATCTCAACAAATTTTTAGACCTGCTTAGAAAATGAATCATGTGCAGCTCCTGACATCATTCTGCCCCATTTACGGGTTCTAAAATCCAAAGTAGACTAATGCACAACTGTGCAAGGTAGCTACGCAATTATGGGTGACAAATAAAATCTTGGGTCAAGAAATTGTAAATGAATTACTTTTGCTTTGAATTTTGAGATTTTCTTCAAACAACCCCACAATTTTCATCTTAGACCCTCCTCTTTCCAATATTTAAGCAGCTGGCTAGAAGAGGAACTCTCTCGTTTAATTTTGCTCTCAGTTAAGAGGAGACCAACACAGACCAAGACTTTAAAATATGCGAAAAAACTGAAATGTTGCTTTCAGAGGTATGAATGGAACCCTGAGCGACAGCTCCAAAGACTCCCTAAGAGCCATATAATCACATAATATTTTGTAGCCACCTGTATAGAGGAGTCGCGCTCGTATAATTGCCACAAAACTGCTCAGTTGGACGAAGATGCCAATTGAAAGAACACTGTTAACCACACAAATTGGTAGTTGCTGTGGTTATAATCCAGCCAGTTCTTTGGACAGGCAATTATTTATCCCGAAGCCTCATCAAGCATTAAGAACCGCAAAAGCTTCGACTAAAAAAACTGAAACTGGTGTTATATATTTCTTGGAAAGTTGTTCCATGAGTGTGATTGGCCTAATAAGATGTCAAGTGTTTTACTTAACAAGGAATGACCCACCCAGACCCTCTTTACTCCTAGGATACCGCCTTCTAACTATCCATCAATCTACTTTTAACTTAACTATTACAGCACAGTTTACTCGATTCTGTAGAATGAAGTTATCAGACCTTGATCTCCGAAGAAACAAAACAGGGAGAATCGTAACTTGAATAAAAATCGAGCCACTGATGGGTATGTATAACTCACATGTCCGCGAGACAGCACGGCAAGGAAGAAGGCGAAGTGAACGAGAAAAAAGCATGGTGACTTAAGGGGAGGATGAAGAGAAAGAAATTGCTTCCATGAAGATATTAATTGAAACAACTAGGGGATTTTGCAGATATTTTGAGAATTCTTCCCACCATGATATCTTCAAAAAATTGACCAATGCTGAATGATGTTCATATACATTGTTGTTTTGGCTAAGAAAAGAACAAACAAATCAAGTGCAAACGGTACCGAGAAACCACACGAATAGTGTATGAAAATCTGGCAGTGCTGTGTCAAGTGTCGTATTTAATTAGTCTCTCCTACCATGCTATAAACACTCGCTTCTGTGAAAGTTATAATTTAACACAAGTGGAGGAGAGAAGATCGTTACCCAATCACCAACAACAAATAAGCTCACTAAGACAGGATTCTGCAGGTTTTTCTTCGATCTCAAAGCACGCAAGCCCCATTGATGCAATCAAATAGATGAATTCAAAACACGGTCAAAATTTTGGAAGTAAGATGAATTCAAAACACGGTCAAAATTTTAGGAAGAGTCTAAAAATGATGGATCACTAAAATAATACAACAGAACATCCATCAAGTAGTGAGATGAAGCATAATATATAAGCAGCAGAGACCACTTTGTATGAAATTTCGAATTCATGCGCAGGCCAATATGCACATATTCAAAATGCAGTCATGCACACATGGGAATTTTTCATTCTTTTTTTCTGTCAAGTCTTCAAAAAGAATGTAGAAGTCATGTTATTACCGAGCTCGTGAAAATAAAACATTGGCGTTCCCTGGAAACATACAAAGCAACGAGGTTGGGGAACAGGCATGATGACTACAGAGATATCCCTGATAACTATACGTGAAGTCTTGAGCAAACTCAATTGTTTCTTTTAAGGAAAAGGATATTTTTCCCACTTCCTCGTAACTCTAGAATGCAGAATGACATGGGCAGACAGTAACACCACTCATTTGCTTTCCTGTCCTTTAGACTACCAACACCACCACTTCTACCGCTCCTCTCATTGAAACCAAATCCAGTTGACTTGATTGGAATGCTGCCAATTCCAGGTGCAGTTACCATCTCCATTATAAGAGGAAAGGATTTTCTTACGTTATCGTAGTTAAAAGTACATGACACAAACTAACACGAGATGATGTGCTCATAAGATGTTCAATTTGGAAGTGCAGCCAGCATCTACCAAAATGCCAAATTATGCAAATTGTGGTTGGTTCCGTTTGATAGATGAAGAGATCTTTGTCCTCCATCACTTCCCATCTATGTTACCTTTACCCTTGTTTTGTGATGCCTTATTACGTTGTTATGAATATCTTTTATTTTTCAGAAATCATCTCAACCTAACTTAAAATTTATGTGGATTCATATTATTTTATGTTTAATTTTTATTAAATAAATAGAAATAGTAAGATTTGAATTCATAATTATTTGATTATTAAAATTTTAATATCATATCAAAAAATTATCTCAATTTAATAATTTAAATTATTAGATAAAATTTAAAAATATAATTTTTATTATTTTCTAATATGACCTAGCATAAAAATAGGTATAGGTTGCCGCATGTCATTATGCTTGGAAAAGTCCACTACTTCATTTTGAGTGCATTTGGGTTGATCAGATCCAATATGGTAGCAGCAGGCTTCTAAGATTTCAAGCAATACCTATTTTTAGGCTGGCACATTCACTCTAAAACTGTGGAGAGAACTGTAGTGTTTGAAACAAAATAGTCTTATAACAGAGGCGATCCAAATGAAAAATGAAAACATGGAAGTAGTGCACGGGGTTCCCTCGGGGCCTGTTTCAAAGGCTGTTTAGAAGTTCATATCTGCCAGCAGAGAAAGATAAGAAGTAATTTGTGCATCATCTTTCCGTAGTTTATGAGGGTAGTTGAAGACTACAGCAAGAACTGAGCAACGTATGGATCAGTCATCGTTCATACGTTGGAATGTCTAGAATGATAAGAACACAAAACAACCTCCTCTTCAATTGTTGTGCAAGATTAACTCGGGTAGATGATCTTCGATGCAGAAGGTTCGATTCCGTTATCATATACCACAATTGTGAGCAATGCTCACAATCGAATTTCAAAAGGTTCTTGCTTTGACCAAATTGTTGTGAGCAATGCAAAAGGTTTTTTCCTCGGTTGTAAGAATTTCCACACCAACATCATGGGTTCTCACTCTTTTTACTCTTAAGTTTCTCCGCTGATTGAAGCAAAGACACTACAACTCTGTTACCCAACCACGAGACAGTTAGAATTAGAAGCTAGCCCCAGAACTTTATTCTAACCACCAGAAAAGAGAGAATCCATGTGATGTGAACTCACAATGCATATGTCTCCGCAGAAGCTTAGTGAAAACTGAAACTAAGAACACCATTAACTATAATACTGCAAATTATCCACGTAAATATCATTGGGCGAGGGGGAGTGTTTCTCCTACTTTTGGGGTCAGGTTCTTGCTTTGACCAAATTTCTCCACTGGTTGAAGCAAAATGCACCTGTACTGAGATTTTACCCCGATTACTAAAACAAGGGAAACCCAACTCATATAAACTGACAATGTATATTACTCCGCAGATGTTCGGGATAACATAGAGCTAACCATTCTATAAATACCATTAGCTACCTAGCACAAGAAGAAAGAACTGATTTTGACAAATGAAATATGGGCCCTTCCAGTAAACCAATGCATTAATCTATCTCTTAGTTGTTTTAATTAATTTTAACTTTTTAAATCTATATTTTTAAAACTACAAATAAAAATGATATTTTAACATATTTTTTTTTAAATAGTGACCACTGCAATGCAAGACTGCTCCATCCCCCATTACAGTGCTATGTTATCTGTACCCTTAGAGACTTTTGCAGGTTGCTAATCGAGTTTGTGCCGCATCATGACCTTGGATTCAACTGTTAAAACCTCTAAATCTTAGATGCACATGTATGCATGTTAAGACGGGGTGTTGGACTTGACAGAAGAAAATGCAAAACCTAGCAAATAACATACGTATTCTTAAACTTCCTCGTACTTTATTGATCATTAGAAGTTTTATTTAAGCAACCTTAGCAAGTAACAAGCAGCTGCTTCTGTTATTTGTTACATATAGAATTAAAGAACATAAGAGAAACAAAGAAGATTTATGTCAATCCTCATGGACTTTAACGATTTCAAATTAGCATGTGTTTTATTAAATCTAAAACTCTTATCAATTTCACATCATCAGCGGCTTTCAAGGCATTAATTCAACACGGAGTAAGAATTACTACTACTCCATTAAAATAATTTTTATGTAATGAAGCTCCTTAGTTTGTATTTTCAAACTTTTTTTTCCCTTTCCTTTTTTTTTTAAAGATTTTACTTTCTTTTCTTTTGATTCTAGTTTTCAATGTTTTATTGATTTTAAATTTGGTATTGTAATATATTTTAGTTTGTTTTATACGAAGTTATAGCAATTTTAAATAAAAATCTCAGTATTTGACGATACTTAATTTTTACAAGTGCGTATTTTTATTATTATATCATTAAATAAAAATATAGAGTTTAACAAAAAAAAATTTCTAAACCCATTAAAGTTTATGATCCAAATTGTGTGTCTTGCGGGTTAAGACGTAAAGTTCAAGTTGATCCAACATGTTATTGTCTTAATATTAAAAAAAAAATGTGAACTTGAAATGTTTTTAAAATCAAACCATGCTTTTATTGGTTTCTCGGGTTGCTTTTAAACTTGTCAAATCAACTCAATCATGTAAAATCAACTTTTATAATAGGTTAATTTTAAACTGGACTAGTCAAGAAGTTGGGTCGAAAGACTTGAAAGATAACTTGGGTCAGGTTTGATAACTATGTCAAAGAGTTTCTTTCTATTAAAATTCCATCTCTTTTTTTCTCAATTTAATCATTTTTGTCTTTTTTTAATCAATTTTATTCTTTAATATTTTATTGATTTGTAATTGATATTAATAATTTATTTTAATTTATTTTTTATGAGATTATCATAACCTCAAACAAATATCCCTACATTTGATTGACCCGTAATTTTATATTTGATTTTATTTTTATCATATAATTTAGTGAAAAAATAACTAAAAAAATAAAATTATTAAGCTTAGTAGAGTTCATGATCTATGTTATGGGTTTAAGAAGTTAAGCTGTGAAACTTAAGCATATCTAATATTTTTTTAATATAAAAAATCATTTAGAAGGTTTTTTAAAATCAAATCATGTTTTTTTTATTATGGTTAAAATTATTTTTTGACCTATCAAGTTAATTAAGTTACATATTTTAATTTATTTTTTACGAGATTATCATAACCTCAAATAAATATCCTTACATTTGATTGACGCGTAATTTTATATTTGATTCTATTTTTATCATATAATTTAGTGAAAAAATAACTAAAAAAATAAAATTATTAAACTCAATAGAGTTCATGATCTATGTTATGGGCTTAAGAAGTTAAGCTGTGAAACTTGAGCATATCTAATATTTTTTTAATATAAAAAAATCATTTAGAAGGTTTTTTAAAATCAAATCATGTTTTTTTATTATGGTTAAAATTATTTTTTGACCTATTAAATTAATTAAGTTACATTAAATTAACTCTTTTATGATTTTATTTGGGACTTAGGCTAAATAAAAAGTCAAAAGATTTTTAAAACTTAATCATCAGATGAAGTAAGTTTAATGATAGTGTAAAAAAATTCTTTGTAATTTTAACAGTTTTTTAGGTTCAATTTATTTTAATATAACCTATAATGAAACGTTAGCTAAAAAACTAGTTAGTAACTAAAAGATAATATATTATTGAGTTAGTTTTACACGTTAAAATTAATCTCGTTTTCAGCATGTGGATTTTAGTGTTAATAAAAATCAGATCGACTTATTAACTAGGTTAAACTTAAAAAAAAAAAAATATTTGTTTTTAATGAAGATATTTTGGAAGCACTCCAACAACAAACGGCGGAATACACGTGAGCTTCTTGTTGCAATAATTAAAAAGAAAAGAAAAGAGAGAGGATAAATTTGTTTGCTCAAATCATGTTGATTTGAATAAATATAAAAGTAAAATTAATTATTAATTAGGAGTCAAATTAGGTCATAAATTAAGTTGATTATTAATCCAAATTAATATAAAATAAAAAAGTTAATATTATACTTTTAAAAATCAATTTAAAAGTCGAATCAAGACCGAGTAATCAAATTGCCCTTTGTAGTGTAATGGAAAAAACAGTAATTCCTTAAATTGACCTTTCCAGGAGAGAGAAGGCGAGGGCAAAGATGCTTTCAATTCAGCAACGGTAACATGTCGCCACCACGCCAGTTAATTGAAAATGGACCAAGGTATCCTCGGAGGAGCTCTCACCTCTCCATGGATGCGTTCGGTAATTATTATTAGGCGGGAAACTTCTGGATTCCGAATTTGCTTAGAGTGTGTCTAACACTGTTTCATCTAAATTTTTTTATAAAGAAATTTAGATTATTTTGATGTTGTATGTCAAAAATAAATCTTTTTTTAAATAAAAAATATTTGAAAAATCAATCAAAATCATTTTCAAACACCATCTTAAATCTACAAAATTGTAAAACGGCATCATCAATCTTGAGACTAACTGGAATTGCTAATGGTCAACAGGCCAAGAAAATAATTGAGACTTATCTGATAACTGCCTAAAAGACACGTCTGCATAATAATAATAATAACAGCAATTAAAATAGAAAAAATAAGACACAAATGCACAAGGCATGCTGTTCACTATCGCCATCAACTTCTACCTTACAGGCTGCTTACATTGTTATATCCTTATGGGTGTAAATCACCCCTTGATCAGCATTCACCACTTGTCCACAACCTCTGAGAATCCTGCATGAGCACAATATGAAGGTCAATATTACAACTATAAAATTTTGATAAAATAGTTACGAGCAACAAGTTCCTTCCAATCCTGGTTTTATCAATTTTTCTAGTAAATACTAAATTCCTCTGGCTCAAACATTATCAGAGAGCAAGCCGGGCAGACAGTCATGACTACCGAATACTGGCAACCATTCTAAACAGCGTAAAACAACCCTATGATGCTTATATAAAGGCAAATAATATATCAAGAGACAAGTTTGGGTATATTTTTTTATAAAAACCTTTTCAAGTCAAACTAAACACAAGAGCAGATTCTTACCATCTAGTAGTTAACAATCCTTCAACCCCAACAGGGCCTCGAGCATGAATCCTGCTTGTGCTTATTCCGACCTATTCAGCCAATAACAATCAACTACGACAAGTATGAAACCTCAAATGATGCTCAAAATAATTGTGAGTTGACACTTTACCTCTGCACCTAATCCAAATCGAGCCCCATCGCAGAATCTTGTGCTTGCATTATGAAAAACAGCAGCGCTGCAAATGACAATAACAAGAAACATCACTTGGCTGTCTGTTGTCATTAATGTGCTTTGCATATATGTAAGGAAAGATTGAGTCATCTTTAAAAAACTAAGATGAAAGTCTCATGTTGAATGTTGGAGTTCAGATGATCACAAAAACCCAAGCAAGGCTAAGGAACGGGAGGAAAAAAATACATTCTGTTAATAATTCTTGCCTGTCAACTTGACGTAGAAACACTTCAGCAACATCATGGTCGTCTGCTACTATACAATCAGTATGCGCACTGTCAACAAGGAAAAAAAAAAAAAAACAGTAAATCCACAAACTGTACATGTCTGTGTGTGCATGTTTATGTGGGGTAGGAAATGCCAACATCTTTATAGTAAGAAAAAAAGACATCGACATGCCTTCCATGTCGATGGATATGATCAATGGCGGCATGCTCATCATCAACAATTTCAACAGTGCAGGCCATAGAATTGTACTCGTGATGGAAAGTTTGGGCCTCTGGAATGTTCAATTCCTTGCATGCCCTTTGTCCACCAAATAAAGTAACGCCTGGAAAAGAAGCACCAATTATCAGATCCTTGATTAGTATGTCATGCCGAATAGTCTCAGGGGGAGTGGAAGTCTTAAGTTGCATGCAAGTTTTTGAAACCAAACACGTTGTTGAAGATCAATATTTAAGTAAATAGATGGAATACAAGGAGTGAACAATACTGACTGGGAATATAGCTTAAAATCAGCTGTAATGCCCTCATTTTTGGGAAAACATTTAAAGCCTTGGTTGTGACATCATATCAAGAAAACTTAATGAAAATTGAACTTTAAATCCACACAAATAAGAGCTGGTCTTATATTTTTTTTATACATTGTGAAGATCTAAGAACTGTTATATGGAACCAGGTAGATTTCCAAATTACCCAACTCCTATCAATTTAACTACCTTCCATGAATTTTTGCAATAAATCATTAATTTGCTACTGTAAAACAATATGCTATCGAATAGCTCATCATAAAATTGTAACATAACCATGATAAGTGGCTGCTATCATGGAATTCCTACCTTCAGTGCGAAGATCAGCAATAAGCTCATTGAGCCCACCACTACGCACCAAATCCTGATGCACAAGAAGTGTTTCCTGGATATAGAAAAATAAAAACGACCAAAAAACTTCCCAAGTCATGAACATGCAAAATAAATGTGCGAATGTTTATCCAGACTTGATAAAATAATCATGGAAAATGTCAGAACTTCCCAAGTCATGAACATGCAAAATAGATGTGCGAATGTTTATCCAGACTCGATAAAATAATCATGGAAATAAAGTTGAAATGGACACTAATAATGAATAGAAAATATAGATGAATACACATACCATTGCGTTGCAAGCTGCTGGATAATCTACTTTGGCATCCAAGACAACTCGCTTTGCCATTTCAATGTCAGCAGACTTATCGACATAGACATGACAAATGCCATCTGAGTAACAAAGGGAACCACTTTAATAAGAAATCTAGAAATATTATGAGAACAGAGTAGGAACTGAACTGTATAATCCAATTATCTGTCTCACCAGCATGACCAAGAACAGGAATTTTAGTGGATGACTTGATTTTAGAAACAAGTTTACTGCTGCCTCTTGGGATCACAAGATCGATAACATCATCAAGCTGAAGCAAAAAAATAATAAGTCTAACTTCTGTTTTTAAGACCATCATTCTTAAACACTGTTTTGCTGGTCAGGCATCTTTTAAGATCTACACACCTTAAGCAGATCAGGAATTGCATCTCTTGAAGTCACTAGCCCAATAAGTTTTCCACCAACAGTGTCTGGGACGGCTGTAGTGATTACCTACATAATTAGAAGGGACGAGAAAAATACAGACATAATTTTATTGACAGTCTTACATCTGAAATACCATCACAATCAAGTAACATTCATAAATATCTGTATTTAAAGACCCAAACCTTGTGCAAAATTGCATTTGACCTCTTGGCCTCCTTTCCTCCTTTCAAGAGGAGTCCATTCCCACTTCGGATTGCCAATGAAGCTATCTACTCGGCCATGTAAAAAAAGGATGACAACAAACACTTAAACAGGATATGGGATTTACATACTAGACCACAAAAATAAAGAGTCTGTGTCTAATTTGAAAGAACAAGGACCTTATGAATGTTAAAATCCAAGAAACACATTGAAAATTGAAACAAATTTTCACAATTAGTCCATGCCACCCAAATAATACCAAGGCAGATTCTCAGGTCCATGACCTACTGCCTTGTGGGCTCAGGATAAAAAAAAGAGAGAAGAGAAGAGAAAAGAGAAAAGACTTTGAAAGACAGCCAGTAACTTAATATTTCATATCCCGGTAAACCCATTCATTCATTAAAAACAAAAACAGGCACAAAAGCAGATATTTAAAGTAAGAGGCAACCATAACCTAGTGCTAGACTATGTTTTTATCCTGCCTTGACAACAATACTGAAATATCAGTCTTAAATTACCTGCACTAGAGCATCTGGTCGAGACTCGAAAATAATTAGGAGAACACCTAAAGGAGATGAGGTTTTCTCCAGGATGAGTCCATCTGCCAGCTGAAGACATGAAAGTCTTTAGAAACGTCACAAATCATCCATTCCAGAGCCATAAGTCCAGCAATAAGTATATTTCTACTAAAATACTTTAATTCATGATTCTGAATTGCACATCTCATTAATTCTTATTAAATGGTCGAGGTGGTCTCCTTTTTAGCTGCATGCATTACATCTTAACATGTATAGCACAAACATCAAATTATTTTATCTATACCACCGGTGTACCAAATGAATGGAAATCCTTAAAATCAGGTAGCAGCAAGGAACAAACACATGTAAAACACACTTTCCTTACCTCAATTTTCTTCAAAATACAACCAATTGGGTCGTCCATGTTAGCAAGCACACGAATAGAGTTTGCAAGACTCTTAATCTGTCAAGGTCAGTGTATTTTTATTTAGACACAAGAAATATAAGAGGAGACCATTCAATAAAACAAGGACATAAAAACAATCAAATCATTATGCTAGATGGCAAATTAAACTGGAAAGAAACCAGAAGGTGGAAAATGGCAACAAGAAAAATTAAATGTATAAAAAATAGAGCTCTCTTGCCTTCCCAGGCTTTAAAGCCAGCCGAGATATCAAAGATTTCTCCAATCCAGCCTCTTGTGCAGCAACAACATCAGCTTCATTCTCAATGTTGATCAGTTTTTCATTGGCTTCTAGGGCATCAGCTACGTCCAGCAAAATCTTTTTCCTATCTTGTGAAGACAAGGCCTACAGAACAAGTTTCTACCAAGTTATTGTGTTGTTAAGACAAAAAGAAGGCACACCTGTGTGCTACTTCCATTTGTGAATAAAAAACGTGTATAATAGCATAAACATTTTAAACTATTATCAATGTCATCATACCTGGAGCCTTCTGGAACTTTCCCTTGCTGCAACTGCCATCTCACGTCCACCAACTTCTTTATCTAGGGCCCACAAATGTGCATCTTGATGAAAGAGGGTGCCAACACGCTCTCCTTGAAGGACTTTAATTATGTTTTCAGGTGCATACCCACTTCAAAAGAGAAAAAGAAATAATTTCACACTAAGGGGAAAAGAAAACTAGTTCAAACCAGTAGTACCACACATGTAGGAAGCTCAAACTTTGGATTCAGAAAGATAACTCTACCAACTCCCCAAGTAAAACATTCATTACCATTCAATTTTTCAAGGAAGCTAAGAAACGAGGGTTGATTTCCTCTTGCCCCATCCATTCTCCTAGGGGCACCCACCCAATGTGATGGGGAGCAAAAATAAGCAGCAGTTTTGCAACAGCATAAACTTTTTAAGATAATGTCGGGTATGAAACTCCTGTACAAATGTATTCTTTATTTTATGCTAAGACTTTGTTTTATGCTTACAGGAGGACATATTTTTAATTGCGACAAGGTGGCCATGTACTTTTAATTAGTTATTTTGTCTAAGAGAACCAATTTTTTAATGTATATTATATTTATGATCCATGAGAATGTAGCATTGGATTAAAAGTTTACCTGGTTATAACAACAGGGATGCCAGCATAAGCTGCATTGACAGCAGCTTTTACTTTGGCAGTCATGCCCCCTCGACCCACCCTAGACTTGTCTCCAAAAGTAATTTCACTCTGATGTATTTCCTTAATGTATGTGTGAATAAGCTTTGAACGCGGGTCACTTGGAGGGCCACTGTAAAGACCTTCTACGTCACTCAGCAGAACAAGAAGATCAGCTTTTAACTCCAGAGCCAGCAAAGCTGCTAAACTGTCATTATCCCAAAATATTCCAGAAGAATCCTGCAGTGGTAGCCCATGATCAGAACTGTAAAATGAATGGATACAAACTCCATCTCACATACCTCATATGGAGCTTTCCTAGTACTGACTGCATCATTCTCATTAAATATAGGGATAACCCTCAAAGCTAACAGTGATTGCACTGTCTCATCCAGTTGCTTTCTAAAATCTTTATTCTTGAAATCCCTATCGGTCACAAGAAGCTGTGCTGATGTTACATCCAGCTGCACCCAAAAAAAAGCTGTGCTGATGTTACATCCAGCTGCACCAAAAAAGAGAGAGAGAGAGTACAACATTACGTTTCGAAATAAACCAAGAAGGGAAATGGGGGAAAACAAATGCACATTAGAAATGGTTATGAGTTATGAATAAGTGCCCTTGAAAAAGATAGAGACATCTATAGATGCTCAGGAAGACAAGAAACTGGTCAAGATTTTAATTCAGGTGCGAAAACGATAAACACAGCTATTATCTAAAGTACCTGACTGAACAATGTATCATATAGAGCCATGAGACTGTTTTGTCCAACAGCTGCACAGGCCTTCCCATCTAGATCGACTTGTGGTTTTTGGAGATCAGAGAAACTGCAGCACACATGAAATCATTAAAATATATACAAATGCCAGTTCAACTAGCTTTAAAAAAAATAATAAAATAAATAAAATTAAAGAAGAAGAACAAAGCAAGAGAAAACTTTCAGTGTAAAATCAGCTTTTGCATTACAGTTGGGTAAATGGCATGGCTTCTCTTTCCCCACTAAAAATTGGCAGCAATTACATCACTGAGTCCAAAACTATAACATCACCGCAATTATGAACTGATTACATGCATAAACAGTTTCTCGCATCATCACCGGGAGTGATTCCAGACATGTATGAAACCAACAATCCCCCGCATCCAAATAAAAAAAATGTCGACAGAGTACTTAACCTGCTGTTGACGAATCTTCGATATTTAAGCCTTTGGCGACCAAGTCCAACAGCACCCGATGTCACCACGATAACTTCGTATCCGAGAGAACTCAAATCTTTAATCTGCATGAAAAACTCATTGCTATAAACCTTCATAAATTAAGCACATAAAAATATTATGATGAAATCATCACCTGTTCGCAAAGTGCCCCTAATCTTCCAAGGGCTAATCTTCCATCCGCTCGAGTTACAACAGCGGTCCCAACCTTCAGCAACCAAATCTCAAAATAAGCAAATAACGCAAACCTTTTGATAAAAAATGGAAACAACAATCACTAATCATACCAAACGAAGTCCGTTTAATTCTATTCGGTTAAGATTTTCATTTTTTAATGAAACATAATATAGTATCATTAAAAAAAAAACGAACAGATTAATTGAACATGAAATTGTCAGTCTTTACAGCTAAAAGAAAACGATGCATGGCATCTAGTCAAATATATAAAATCAAAGTGAACATCACATCTTAATCCAAAAACAAATCTAGATGATAACGATACAACTTCAGTTAATACAGAGACTAAGAAAGAGATAAGACAGGGGAAGGAAAAAAAAAAACCTTGATAATGAGACGCTTAACGTCATTGAAAAAAGCACGAGAACGATCCAGGTCGCTCATTTTCTGTTGAGAACTCAAACTCGGGCCGAGTCAGCTCAAAAGGAGATATTTATGAGGCGACTCGAGACAGAGAGAGAGAGAGAGAGATTGAAAGATGCTTCACTGGTGGCGATTTATGTAGGATCGAGGGGGCAAGTGAGATGGTTAAAAGGTCACATAAAAAGACAAAAACGTAGGATTCAGTTGTTTGTTTCGGCTCTTATACAGAGGAGGGCAGAAAGGGACTGCCCACCCCCCTCTTTTTATCGCGTTTGACTGAAAATGAGTGTAAATTGTGGGCGACTTGGCTTCCTCTTCTTCACTGTGAAACAGAAATCCGTTCCGGGCGGGCGGGTTGGATCTTTTTTTATTTTTGTTGTTAGGCTAAATCTCTCTATTTTCGGTTTCTTCTCTCTTGATGAATTTTGGATCTGTTCTTTTTCTTGTGCCTGCAAATAATTCTATATATTAAAGTCACGCTGTTGAAATTTATTCTCGTGAATCTTTTAATCTCTGTATCAACCAGCTATTTTTCAAAAAAAAAAAAAACTGGCTCGGTCTGCTTAATTAGTATATTATTAATTAAAGATTACATTCTCCAACCAGTTATTTAAAAAATGCGATCCCTGTAGACAGATAGATTGATTCAGTTCATACAAGTGTACAATGGACAAAGATTTCGAAGACCAAAACAGCATAGGATAATGACACATGGATTAAGGTTCAATGGCGGGTGAATTTCCCTTTCAATTCTGGCTCTTGCTCTGTCAAGACTCGAGAGAGCACGGCACTTGACACGAGGTATTACAACTTCAATTACATTTAAGCTTCCACCACCTACAGGAGAAGGAATAAAACTAAGAATTCTAGGAACTGCGGTGTTTCCTGCAGAATTTCCACTGCTACAAAACTGATATTTTCTCTGCATCCTTTTTTTTAATTAACGTGGATATCCGGGTAATCCCACGAGGCCTGAAATTTTGCCTGCATCCTTGTTTGCCTACGTTGTTGCATTGGACGCAATGCCAGTTCCCACCAAATATCTCAATGTTCCTGACCTTCCAGATAACCAAGCATCAATGGTTTTTGCTTGGAGACGATCCTGCGATGGAATTTCCACGCTCGAGCTTTTCAATACTTAATTAATGCAATTAAAATTTACATTATAATGGCAACCAAAAAATTGATTTAATTAATATGGGCTAAGAGTAGCATAGGTCCCTCAACAGACTAGCCAAGATCCACCGAATATCTCAATGCTCCTGACCTTCCAATTTCCAAATAACCCAGCAGCCAGCTTTGGAAACGGGTCAGGTTTTGACCGCCGCGTGTAAGGAATCCGTGCAGGGCGCGCAGGCATCTGTAAATGGTGAACGTTCACTCACAAGGCCTTCACGGAACTTAAAAAACCAAAGATTTAAACCATCTTTCTTCATATTTAAAGTTACATTATAATTACAATTACAGAATTAACTATTAAGCACTTTCATTGTTGCAGTAACTGTGCCTCCTCTCACCTTCGTACCTTGAATGACTACAGTACTGCATCTATAGTTTAAACGTCGAATTACATTCTGATCCTTTGATGTTTTTTCCTTCATGTTTCTTCTTTGTATTTTAAATATTTATATTTTAATCACATACTTCATTTTTATTACAGTCAAGTTTTTGGAGATGGAGGAAAGAGAGAAAGTTATCAAAGAAAAAGGAGAGGAGAAGTTTTTGATAAACCACATCTTGATGATAAAAACATCAATCTTAATGTGATGGGTTGTTCTGGAGAGGGGTTTTCATTAAAGATTATTTGAATTTCTAATTATATAAACCCATGATCAATTTTTTGTACTGACTTAGTTTGATTTTTAGTAAAATTGATTATAAAATGCTTTTAGATTGTAAATGAAGTTATTAAGTTTCATAAGGCAGGCAGTTTTTAGATGCTTCTAAATGAAAATGACGAGACCTTCTTATGTTATTGAATCAAAATATCTCATAATTCAATATTCAATGGGCAAAATTTGTTGTGGTGGAGGATAGCTTTCTTGTCAGTCCAAGGAAATGATATGTCATCCTTTCCACGCATAGAGCGTCCAGGTTTTGTATACGTTAGACCTTCAGGCCTAACAATCTAGGCATGTCATCCTTTCCACGCGCAGATGTGTCTAGGTTTCGTATACGCTACACGTTCAAGCCTAACAATCTAGGCCTATAAGCTCTTAACCTCTATCAGCCCTTCTATTATTCTTTTAACTTTTCACACGGTTGCATAAAAATAATTAAGACATTATTTTTTATTTCCTTGTTGGAATTTGGTTCACAGATCATTATAAGTTTTTATACAAGTTTATAGATGATAATCCATGATTCTAATAAAAAAAAGCTTTCCATCAAAATAAAAAAATAAATAAGAGAATAATATGTTTTTTTTAATAGCTTTAAATTTTTATTCAAAAAACCATGTCCTTGATTAAAAAAATATATATATTGGCTTTGATGGAGTAGAGAAGAAATGCATAAATAAAACGAAGAGAGGATTTTGATTGATCGCATATATTTTTTTTACCATGGAATTTAAATAATTGAATTTTTTTCAGGCTATTTTTTAAAAAATCATCACAAAATCAAATAAAATTTGGTTTCGATGCTGGATCTCAATGTCGAAAATAAATTCTGTAAAAAAATTACACAAAAAAATGCAGGCATTAGTGAAAAGAAATATGAAAATGAGCTCAGATGCTGGATCAAGATATAAAAGAAAGCCGACGACTCCGGAGGTCACACTGAATGATCAGATAAACTACACATCAATTTCCATATGAATCTCTTGAGCCTACAAGATCAGGGGATGAGTGATTAGCGAAGACGAGCAAATATAAAGATCAAGGTCAAATACATAGCCATTATCAACATATCACGCACCAAATGACTCAGTTTGATCTTCCCTGTGTTCAGCTTGGATCTCAGATTCCAAGGAGACCAGGTAGTCAGCCCTGTTTGCTTGAGTGAGGTATGCTGGCCAAAACAATTAGTCAAATCATTGGGAGTTACTTAAACAGAACTCCAGATCAGTATGTGTTTACACAACCAATTCATACGAGGAAATCTCGAGCTGAAAGAGAAGTTTTTCAAAACATTGCGGAAAAATTGCAGCAATGATGTTTCCCTGTCTACTTGCTCCAGTCTTCTAAAAGATGCAAACTGAATCCAGATCCATGCCATCCCAACCACTTAGCAATATAATTATAACCACAACACCACTAGTCAAAGACAAGCCTTGGAATTTTTACCAAACCAAGAAATTACGTTCCACACAAATTCTCTCTTTAATTATAACCACAACACCACTAGTCAAATACAAGCCTTGGAATTCTTTACCACAGCGCACCCTGATAGGTGTTTACCAAACCAAGACATTACGTTCCACACAAATTCTCTCCTAACATTTTGGACTTCCAGATTTCATGCAGTGAGAGGCTTATTGGAAAACCTTAAAGCTCTCTAACATTTTGGACTTCCAGATTCATGCAGTGCGAGGCTTATTGGAAGAACCAAACCTTAAAGAAGATTGCTAAAGCCAGTTGCAAGAAGAACGCTGCAATCACCATAATTGCAAGATCATTCCCCTCAACAAGGGTCTTGAGATTTGAAGCAACAAACATGCCCGAGTCAACACCAGCAACAAGTATAATGATCCAACGAAAAGCCTCAACTGGGACAACCAACAAAAACTGAAAATATTCCACAGGGCATGCATAGGTCTTTTAAGGCCCAGGAAAAGATAAACAAACAAATGAAATATATAAAGCCACGGTTGGTGATGCTTACCGAGCTTGGAACAAAGATGAAAAGAGAATATCCCCGCATGCACCAAAACTGTATCAACTTAGGATTTGATTCCAGATAACGAAACAAGAAATAAAATGCCAACGGCACCACAATTGCATAGCCGTAGACTGAAAGCACTGCCACGTTCACATATCCAACATCAAAGCTCCAAGAAGATTTGTGATCAGTACGTTTCTGTATGAGGTAGGTAGCAAGGTTTCCAAGAGAAGCAAGCGCAAATATCAATGTAGTTGAGACCCAGACAAGTCCGTATCTGGCATATTAAAAAATGAAATGAACAATTAGATGCCAGGTGAAAGTTGCATCAAGGAAAAACATACAAAGTGAGGGGGGAAGAGGGAGAGAGACAGAGAGCCAAACTCACAGATCAGGGTTTGCATCAATCTTGCTGAAAAAATCACCACCAATAGGATAAAAAGAGCTCATCAATCTATTGACAACAATATCTGTATCCACGTTGAAATATTGCATGTATGATGAGATACTAAATACCCCCTTCCAATTGTTTGGTGGTTGTTGCTCAAATCCCTCTGCGTGTAAAAGAAAAGGGGGCTGTTAGATATGAACAGAAACTAATAACCTCCTTGAAAACAAATGCATCATTAGAAACTTTGGTACAACTAGACTGCTACTAATACAATAATGTAAAGAAAGATATGCATTTCCTGTTTCGTTCTTCGCAAATCAAAACACTGATCAGATTTCTCAGTGAGCAGCATCATGACCAACCAAAGCATTGATTTGTACCATACAGCCATATTTTAGTCCACTTAACAAGATTTCCTAGCTGAATTAAGAACAGCTATATTGGAAAATAATATTTGATTATGGACAAATTTTGCTTTGTATGAGCGTTCTAGAACTATACTAATTGAAAACATTAGTATTTACTTTTTAGAAGTTAAAAATAGGAATCTACTTCAAATTACTGACATCAACTTGAGATTACATCGTTTAACTGTAAACTCTACTCCTCCAGGCCTCATCTGTAATCACCACAGGGAAATATGAAACCCCGCCAAATTATAAATTCCATTTAAACAAATCAAATGAAAAGCTACAAGGTGATTGCTCAAAATCAGATAATCTCAGTCATTAAACACAGATAAATTAAAGGGTCTGAAGTCTATATTTAACATTTTAAAGGAACGACAGGTATGAAAGTTGTTCTTGAATTAAGGTCACAATTACTCTTAAGCACATTAGATGTTGTAACCTAAAACAACACGATTGCAAGGAATAAACCTCTGAAAGCAGCAAATTCGCTAATCATATACAACGATATAGCAGATGCCAGATGTCCCCAACACCACGATGTCATTGAGCTATTAGTTTTCATGCTTCCATGGAAACAATGGATGCAGTCCATGTTTCATAGCTACAGAAATTCATTACAAGAAGCCATGACAAAAATCCTCAATATATGCTTGCATCAATAATTACTTTCTATTGTTTATATTTACAATGACGCTCTCTTCTCAGAACCCAATAATAGTATTCCTCCATAAAAGATACAAAACCCCGGAGAACCACATTCAAGGAGCACTCCCCGTTGCCACGAGCCAAAATGATATCTTTCGGAAGAAAAACTACCAAATATTAAAATTTTCGAAGTGGGGAAACCATATTCAAGAACTCAATGAAATATCAGCAATAATAGTAAAACAGCAAAAAAACTAATTAATCTTGAATAACATATTCATAAACATGCACAATGAATTATTCAAAGCCCATACCGGGGGGACTTCCAAGAGTTTGATAACCGCGGCCACTACCTCCATTAATATTTGGAGGGAAGGTTTGCATACTTGCTTCAGGAACTGCACATTTAAGTTCATAAACAAGTTTTCATGCTCTAGAATTCTATAATTGATAGTAACGAATTCAACTCCAACCATAAACAGCAAAACCCTAAAAATCCAAAAAAAAAAACTCATTTACCTTCATAATTCACGATGGTTTTTTCTTTTTCTTCAGTGACCACGGCCTGTAAAGAAATTGAAAATCAAGAAAACTTTTGATGTTAATTAATGTTTTATTACTTAGTAGTGTTTGCAGTTAAGCCACGGGACTTATTAGCATTTAGCAGCTAGCGATTAATACTTTCCAGATTAATTTCAATATCCATTCTAATTATATAAATAAAAAATCAATAGAATTAGCTTGGCTTCTCTAAATAGAAATGAATTGGATACTTACAGGTACTGAACCGAGCAAATGGCTAGAAGGGAGATTTCCGTAAGATTCGTCCATCGGCAAATTGAGATCAGACAGAATTCGGTTTGAAGTAATGGGTTAGTTAAGTTTTCTATTATTGGGATTGGGAAGGGAAAAGGAGCCCTAAATTTTTGTTGCGTATCTCAGTTTGGAAGGAAGAAGGAAGAGGAGACTGGTTGGCTGGTTTGCCAGCTCGCTCCTCTGTCAGTGGATGGTGTTGACACGCGCAAGTTGAACGCGTGATAACTTTCTGTTGCTGTGGGTACCACCAGAGCCTTGCTTCACGCTGGAGCCACGTGCGCATGAATATCACCATGGCTTGAAGTTGGGGCTTATTGTTCGGTTTTGATAATGGTTTTTTTTTAAAAAAAGTAATTAAAAAAATGTCGTTTTGAGTAAAAAAATATCATAACAAATAATAGTCTAGGAGTTTAATAAATTAATACATATTTTTAACTGAATTATCAGATTTTATTATTATTTTTTAATTTAGATCAGCATAATTCAACTGATTATTATATCAACCTCCATGTCAAACTTGAAATGTTACCTGTGCAATAATTATATGAGATTACTATACTGTTTATAAATATAATTATGATTGTTTTTAAAAATATTTTTATATTAAAATAAATTAAAATAATATTTTTTATTTTTAAAATTAATGCATCTGAATAATTTAAAAAAATTAAAAAAAAATAATTTTTTTAAGAACATGATTGTCATTGCATTTCTAACTAGCTTCTGCTTGAAACTTCAATGAGAAATCTGGGATTTTTACAGGTTTGACTAAAGTATTTTGTATTTGTGCTAGCGCTCGGTATAGGATTGGATTGAAATATTAGGTCTAGTTTTTTTTTTTTTACAAAAAAAGCTTTCTATATTCTTCAATATTTGCGTCAATAAACAGATAAAATTAAGAAAATATACAGGAGAAGAAATAGAAGGGCGATTGATGTTTGGGAGGTCATGCCTTGTTTGATGGGGGGTTAGGGTATTTATACACCTTATTCTCCACGATTATGATCATAGCGTGTTTGACGATGTGGAGAAATAATGATTATTCACCTGCTTTCTTGACAGATGAAAATGTATTGTACCTTACCTTGTATTCGACCAACAGATACGATTTATTTAGGACCTTGAATGCTATAGGCGAGGGGTGAGCCAATCAGGAGATTTTCATGTGATAACAAGTTTCATGCAACTTGTTACTTCTGAAATAAACAATAAACGGTGTCGCCTATTATTCTCTTGATAAATATACAATTATATTTGTTTCGTGTGCCGTGTACAAGTTTAGAACCGTCAATCCGTAAAAAATAGAACTCGGGGTTTTTTCCTGGCCAACCCCAGACGTGGGTGTCGTTATTTGCGCCAAAAGCTAATTTTGATCTTTATGAATCACGTGCTACATGCCCCTGAAAGCTCCAGTTTGGCACGCGCAAGCACCACCAGTTAACCCTCGTCTGCCACTCATGCAACGACAGCATGCGTTATCTAGAGTTGATTATTTTTTATTTAGTTTAATTTTTTAAAATAAAATCAAAATTAGTTTAAACTAACTGATTTTGATTTGATTATTTAAAAAAAAATTAATTCAAATTAATTTGATTTAATTTTTTTAATTTTGCTGGATTTTTTAGTCTGGCTGGATTTAACTTAATTTTTTTATTTGACTCAGTTTTTTTTGTTTTGTTTGCTTTACTTTTCAACTTTTAAAATAGGAACTGAACCTTTCAGTATTTTTAAAATTTTAATTGATTTAATTAATTTTTTTTATGATTTATTTTTTTTAATTATTTATTTTTATTTCTTCAATTATTTTTATTAAAAAAATAATTAAATTTAATTTTTTAAAATAAAATAAAAATTAGTTTAAACTAACTGATTTTAATTTGATTATTTGAAAAAGACTAGTTCAAATTAATTTGATTTAATTTTTTTGGTTTTGCTGGATTTTTCATCTGGCTCGATTTAATTTAATTTTTTTATTTGACTTGGTTTTTTTGATTTTGTTTGCTTCACTTTTTAACTTTTAAAATAGGAACTCAACCTTTCAGTATTTTTAAAATTTTAATTGATTTAATTAATTTTTTTATGATTTAATTTTTTAATTATTTATTTTTATTTTCTCAATTTAATTAATTTTTTTATTTTTTTTATTTACCCTTTTTTTATTTACCCTTACTTTTACCTATGTACGGTAATCAAATAAAATTCTAGTTAAGAGTGAAATTAAATACTGTTTTTAATATGATTGATTGTTTTATATAAAAATAATATTTTTAAGACATAACTAAATTCTCCAAATCTCTAAAAAAAATAAAAAAAATAAAATAATATTTTTAAGATATAACTAAATTCTTCAAATCTCTAAAAAAAAATTAAAAAAAATTAAGAAAATAAAATATATTTTATTGTATATATGTTTTTTGTATAGTAATAAACTTGAAAACTTTATAATGAAATATTATGTCTTTTAATATTATAATTGTCAATAAAACTAGATGAATGTTAATAAAACAACTATATTTAACTATATTTTAAGTTAAACTGAATAGTTATTCTTCAGTTTTATTTTAAAAGTTATAAATATCAAAATTAATAATAAAAATTACATGAAATTAATTCAAAAACAAATTAGTCACACGGCAACAGGTCAGTGCATGATCTGTGGTGATGAATGCACTTCACGGCGGTAAAGGTGTGATATTTGCTGCTTTGATGTCCATTTAGAAAGCCCACCTCGCTCTTGGTCCATCCAACCTACTTATGGATCCACAGGACAGCTTATGGGCCCACTGCAGTTCAAACTATTTGACAAACCTCCTCATCATGGGAACTCACTTCAATCTCGATCCATTCTAGCGCATAAGGGGTCTTTGCGATATGGATCAGTTGACGAACGTAACCAGTTCGAGAGCCGACCTCTGTCTCAGTTGATCCGAGTGCATTCAGATCCATCACGATACGAACGTAATCCTTAACGGTAGCCTCTGCTTGTCCATAAAAGTCTCTCTTTCTGCTGAAAACTCCCTGTTCAATGGCAATATGATTTTCCTTTGATATAGGCTGGTGATTGTGCGTTGTCTCGGTGGCTATGGTTACCTTTTTCAATGAATCCTCTATGGAAGAAGAGGTTTTCATCTCATGGGCTATGCAATCATGGAGCGAGTGACAGTTGGCTTTGTCGATGAATTGAAGAAGCCATTCGTGAATTGGCAAATAATAGCAATGGAAAATGGAGAATAGATAGGTTTTAGTTGCAGCTGCTTAGCGTTCGATATCTACAATAGGAAATACGTGGGCAAATTCATTACAAATGGACTTACGAAGTACCGTACGAAACTATTTCCACGCGGAAACTAGTGCTTCATTTCCGACGAAGACATCCTTGCATTTTTTCACGACGTAACTAAATAGTTTCACATGGAAACCTACTAGAAGAAGGCTCAGCATTTTCCATGATGCTTTCGGTAGAGAAGGCAGAGACATTGCAGGATTTTCCTTGAATGAGGCTTGGCATCTGTGGTCTTTACAAAGGCGTTGTGCCGGGCTGACCCGAAAATGATAATTGACGACCTGAGCTTTCATTTGATGGCGGTTTCAGTGCCATGGAGGAGGGAGACTTGTTGGGGGCATCGACATCTCAGGTATTATCATAATAATTAGCGAACACTTTCAATTTTTTCTCACCAAAGGAAAAGGAGGATACAATACTCAGGTATTGTACATTGTATTTTTTTTTTTACACCAAAGGAAAAGGAGGATACAATACTCTCAGGTATTGTACATTGTATTTTTTTTTAAAAAAAAAATTAATACAATACATCAAGATCATAAAAAACATTAAACAAAAATGGAAATTCAATACTTTTCAAAATACATATATTTCTAGACAGCATAAAAAACAAAAATTATCAGTGTAGCAGTAACAACTTCTGGGAAGCAATCACAGAGCGAGTTTTAATTCTTACAGAGGACCAATATGAACCTTTGATTTTCCCTAGCTGGACACGGTGCGTTCTTCAGTCATGATTGTTCTTCTCGTTCATCGTATTCAGGAGACCACAGGCCACAAGTCTAGAGCTTACAGGCCAATAACCCCAACTACCGCCCCATTTGTGATCTGGTCCCGACAAGGTACCATTGCAGTATCACCAAAATGTAACAGTAAAGCAGCTCCATCCCCAAGCCATTCGAAGCAACTAATAAATCATGAAAAATCAAACCATTTCTTATAAGAAAACTCAACGTGAATCTCACGTAAATGATCCAACAAACAGAATTATCCTTGATTGATCGCACAACAACAATGCACAACAACAATGCGAGAGTAAAAGTAAATAACTCAAAATTTTGCTGAACTACAGAGTAGCTCTAAATGTTGATTGACTCAATTATATCAAGATGAGAACTATTCATTTACATTTTACAAAGAACACTCACCCTAACTGAGACACAAGGTTACAGGGCAGGATTCACAACGACCCTGACATCCTTTTAACCCAACAGGGAGTTAGAGATCACTATAATTACGCCAGACTGCACGAAATTCTTCACGGAATGTGTTGAGGCGTGCTTTCAGATTAGGTGTTTTGAAGCTTGCATGGAGAACAGTGGCTGCCAAAGAAAATACGATTCATCAATTATATGAAAAAAATTTCTCTCACGAAAAATTTAGCCAAATACAGAGAAACTGTGAATTTTACCAAGAAGGCCACTTATGAGCGCCCATGAAATATACAAAAGACTGCCAGAAGCATACCACAAAACAAAACTGACTGCAAAAAGATGTTAAATAGAAAGAAACATATGATCACGCATCATTGATTCCAAGTCAAGATATTCCAGGATTGAATATGAAATTGAGCCTTGAGATATTAATTACCAGCTGAGAATAAAAGGACAAACAATAAACGAGGTTGGCCAAGAATGTACACAGATTTTTTTGCTGATGGACGACCACGGATAACAGGCCTGAATAAAATGTGCATGTGTGGTAAGTACAACCAGCATCCATTTCAGAAGTGGCCTAAAGAGGATAAATTAGTAGTTACTAACTCACATATGCCGAGGCCTCATTTTTGCTGCCAAATGTGGAGAGAACTTCCTTACAGTTCTCGTTACTCTCTCACTGAAAGTAGCTGCAAAACTGCAAGAGAGGGGGACAATCATGCGTCATGTTGCTGCATATATCATATCACAAGAACAATAAAAGTAAATAGAATAATTATAACACCACACAATCAATGTCCAACCCTCCCCCAACCTCCACAACTCAAAAGCATAGAGTAGCTTGAACAGAAAAAGAGAAGACAGCACCGTACTCTTAATCAGAAATGAACTTTTCTTCAAACAAAAAATATCAGATAGCTTGTTAGTTGATTTTTTTTTCTCTAACATAATTGTTGTTAACTGCTTCATTCTTCCTCTCTCCGCAGCTGCTGAAGTGGCATGATTTATGCTCATTTGACTGGATATAAGATGACAAGTGGAAGGACTGATAGGCTGCTTTTGCCATGAAGGATGATAGGGGGACAATGGATAGGGTAAAGGAGAAATATGGGAGGAGAAAGGATGGTATTGTTTGGCTAAAAAATAGTGCGGAGGATGGGAGTCAATCCATCAAAATGGAGAGAATTGAAAATTACAAAGAGGGAAAAGATGGTATCCAATCTGCATAATTTGGGAGGATTGAAAATTACAAGTGAGGAAAGTTAGAAATCCTTCCAATCCTCACTCAAGCCTCCATCCTTTTCATTGAACAAAGCAAACAACCAATCCTTCACTTCTCACCCACATTGCCTCCTCCATCCTTCTCCCAATTCATCCTAAAAAACACATTGCTAGGAAACTAAACAAGCACCCAGCACATACACCAACTCCATGCCGGGCATGAATCTTTTATGGAATATCCTTTGAAATCTATTTATCAAGCTAACTCATCTAAATTACATATGCAACTATTTCCACATTTCCAAACCAATTTTTCTAGTTGAGCCGAGGAACGACGATAACACATCATAAATTCAAAGATGAATTGATGCTATCTTTAATTTTGACATTCATGCTCCCACATGCAAATAGAAAGCGATCGATTCATATCTCCCATATCTTCCATGCCAAAATCCAGTAAATTCAAGAACATCAAAATTCATGATAAACTGTATTTGTTTAACAAGAAAAATAGAAACATGAAGTTTTTTAAAGAACGTAAAAGCATTCAATTGCTTAGTTTTTCAGCTACCTGAGATTAGTTATTCTGAAACAGAAACATCACAATAATAAAAATTGAATCATTCTAGCATTACCAAAATTTCAACCACAAAAGAAACAACAAGAAATTTGGAACATAGGACGTTCATTGATTAAGTAGCATACCTATCATTAAGGAAAGCAATGCTTAGAGCCGACAATGCAGTGGCTAGAATAGCCAGTGGCCTTAAGATACATGCAACACCTGAACCCAATATAAAGATCAGTTCTAAACACAAAAACTCTTCATAGATAACAATTAAAATATAATAATATCGGGGCTTTTTTTCCTTACCAAGAATAAGCAGTATCAAAATGAAGTAATTTGTCCGATAGCTGTTCAAACACAGAAACACGCACAAACAAAATGAAAACAGATTTTAATTCAAACTCAACAAATTTAATAGGAAATTGAAAAACCTCATACAGCTGTTAATTGATGAAAGCAATCAGTCGCAAAAAATGAATGGAACCCTAAATTGTGCATTACTATTGACTAACACAAACAAAAAGACCAAATCGAACTAAAAATATGCAATTAAGGCACAAATAAACATGTAAATACAACCATCAATAGAGAGAGCGAGTGGGGGGAGAAGTACTAGTAGGCATTGCATTTGAGGCGGCTACTCCACTTCGAGTAAGAACGAGGAATGGTGAATCTGGAGAAGAATTCATTAAGAGGACGAGGCGGAGATGTCCAATCTACTTCCTTTAACGCACCGATTAGATCTTCTGCTGTTACGTTTCCCCAATCCATCTCCCTCAGATTTTGGTAATTATTAACAGCAATAACTATAACAATACGTGTGATGGTTATTGAAAAGTTCGATTTCGTGTTTTTTTCTTCTTTTTAAGAAGAGAGGAAATCAAGTTTTATGATGCTGTTTAAGAGATTCGAAAAGGAGAGGAGAAATGGGAGTTCAGCAACGCTCTTGTAAGAATCGGTGATGTTTGGTCGACCGCGAAGAAGTTTCTTCTTTCTAAAAATCTTCGTCGTGCCTGGATACCGTGCGGTGGGATTTATTTTATTCGGGATTAAAGCTGCTTTTTTAGAGTAATTTTTTATTTTAAAATATATTAAAATAATATTATTTTTTAATATTATCCCTTTAAAATTATCTAAAAATATATATATAAAAACATTAAAACTAATTTTTTAAAAATTATTTAAAAAAATACATCTTTATATTTGAGAGAGAGTGTGATTATAGTTATCAATAATATTTTTTTTAAACTATTTTTTACTCAAAAAAATATATCAATAATATTTTTTTATTTTTTAAAAATTATTTTTGAAATTAGTACATTAAAAACATATTAATTTAAAATAAAAAAAAATCAATTTTTTTTTAAAATACTTTTAAAAAACACTCCCAGCTACTAATCTTTGAAAAAAATCTTCATTAGACCCCTAATGTATTTGTCATCTTAACCAGGTCCCCATTGTATTAATAAATTCTTAATTAAATCCTTACATCAGTTTTAATTAATTAAAATATTAAGTAATCTATTGAGTTTCAAATGATTCCACTTTTCCTTGAGAAACTATTAAATCTTGTAATATCTTCACTTTGAATCCGGTGATGAACTAGACTATATATAAAGAAACATAAAATTCTTAACTTTTTTAACATGTACTTGGCATGACATGATGGAGAAAATTTAGTGAATTCATGACTTTTTAATGAGAGAAAAAGAGATTACATTAGTTTTATGGGATTACTTAATAATTTTATCAGCTAAAATTAACAAAAAGATTTATTGTTGCTTTAGATCGGGAACTTTTTCGAAACTTAAGTGTCCAATCTAGATTGCTACTATAGATGGCAAAAAACATATAATAAAAGTAGTGTCTGAGCCCGGGTTCGAACCGGGGACCTCTAGTGTGTGAGACTAGCGTGATAACCGACTACACCACCCAGACAGATCTGCAGGCGTTTGGCTTGCGTTTTTACTAAAGGTTATATCCCAGTCTATAGCCGGTGACTCTAGCAGTTGCTTGTTTTGGAGCGCAAAGAACCGTTCGCCCTCTTGTTTGCTTGTGCAGTAACTTTGGGGAGCTCATCAAGTCTCTGCTTTGCTACCTACCTTCATCTCCAACCTCAAAACTACCAAGACAATTTGGGAATTCTAAGGTTTAAATTAACGAAAGCTCACAGCTGTATTATAGAATGTCAACTATTATTTACTTTCTCTGTCTTTCTCTCTTAACTTCAGTTTCCAAATCCATCCATGACTCCACCTCACTGTATCTCTCACCCACCATATTCTTCCCCAATTACCAAAACATGCTAAACTCTTTCAAAATTTACATTTACACCCCTTCGAAGCCCTTCTCCTTCTCTTCTCCCACTGAGTCCCTTTTCTTCACTTCTCTCCAAGGCAGTCCCTTTGTAACCCAAAACCCAGAAGAAGCTCACCTGTTCTTTGTTCCGTTCGCCTCCAGTCTCTCCACGCGCTCAATCGCGCGTTTTATTAGAGACCTCAGAATGGAGTTCCCGTACTGGAACCGCACTCTCGGCGCCGATCATTTTTATGTATGCTGTGCCGGTCTGGGTTACGAGTCTGACCGAAATCTCGTGGAACTGAAGAAAAACTCGGTACAGATCTCTTGCTTCCCGGTACCAGAGGGTAAGTTTGTGCCTCACAAGGATATTACCTTGCCTCCACTCGGGAGGATCACACGCGCATCACACGCTCCGGGGAACAGGACAGTGAGGTATCTAGTAAGACACAATGGGGCCAAAGATTCAAAATTGGCCAACGAATTGAGAAATGATTCTGATTTTCTGATGGAATCCGAACCATCCAATGAAATGACTTTAGTCGAGAGACTAGGGAGCAGCATGTTTTGTTTGTTCGAGGACGGGGCTGATATTTGCGGAATAGGTGAAGCATTGCGTTTTGGGTGTGTGCCTGTAATGGTAACTGACCGTCCGATGCAGGACTTGCCGTTGATGGATGTGATCAGCTGGCAGAATATTGCTGTTTTTGTGGGGTCCGGTGGTGGGATTAAGGAAATGAAACGAGTGTTGGATCGGACGTGTAAAGATGATGATTGCGAGGGAACGAGGAGATTGGGTGTGGCGGCGAGCCAGCATTTTGGGTGGAATGAAATCCCGCAGCCGTACGATTCGTTTTATATGGTGATTTACCAGCTCTGGCTTAGGCGGCACACAATTAGATACCCCCGGAGAGAATTTGTGTAGGGCCTTTATTTATTGACCAGGCAAAATGATTTTTTACTTTTCTGGTGAAATGGCGTGGCGTATTTTATGACTAGGTGGTCAAAAATCAAATCAAGATGTATAATGCAGGAGATTGCCCATAAATTTCTCCTCTTTTGTCTTTAGGTGTGATTTTTATATGAAACTTTCTTATTGCTTATCGATTACAAGATGATGATTCCATTTTGTTTTTTTTTGTTACATAACCTCAACACGTTATTGATTAGGTCTGGGCATGACATTAGTTGTTAGAATGGGATTCTCCAAGGGCTTTTGTAGTCGCTGTCTTGCTGTGGTAGGTCAGATTTCAGGCTAATATTTCCTCGTACTCGCTTTTAAGGTATGCATAGTCTCAAATTCTTTTGCTTGGTTCTCAGGTAGCGTTTCTACATTTCGTAGCTTTACACTTGTAAAATTAAAAAAAAAACTAAAACTGTGTTTTATTGTACAAGTTTACAGGTGAAATCTGAGTAGTTTTTTATTTTTATTTTTTTAGTTTTTTTTTCTATTTTTATTTTTATTTTCATTTTCTATACCTTTATGGGTTTTTTTTTAGTTTTTTTCTTTGTGTATTTTTCTTTTAATGATTTTTTTTGTTTAATTTAGTTTGTTAATATTAATTTTTTTATTTAGTTATTAAATTTTCATAACACGGATTTCGGGTTTGAAGGGCTAACATAATTTGACGAGTTAACCCTAATTTTTTTTTTTTAATTAATAACATATACTAAAACTGTTTAGTGTTTCACTGTGCAGTCTACAGTGAAATACTAAGTTGTTTTTTTTTTAGTTTTTTTTCTTTTTTTTTTCTTTTTATGTTTTTATGGGTTTTTTTTGTTTTTTTCTTTGTGTTTTTTTTCTTTTAATGATTTTTTTATTTTAGTTTGTTAATGTTAATTTATTTTTTTAGTTATTAGACTTTCATGACACGGATCCTGGATTTGACGAGTTAACCTGGATTTTTTTTTCTTTTTTTAAAGTTTGATGAGTTAACTCGGAATTTGTTTTTTGCTTTTTTTCTTTTTAATTAATTTTTTTCCATTTAGTTTAATTTTTTAATGTTAAATTTCTTTCTATTTAATTATCAGACTTTCATGACACGTATCCCGAGCTTGACGGGTTAACCCGTCAAATTTGTTTTCTATTTAGTTATCAAACTTTCATGACGTGAATCCCAGGTTTGACGGGTTAATCTGGTTTGAAGAGTTAACCCAGTTAATTCAGATTTTTTTTCCTTTTCTTCATTAGTTTTTTTCTTCCTGTTGGTTTTTTTCTTTATTTTTTTTAATTAATCTATTTAATTATCATACTTTTATGACACGACCTTGCAGCCAGACCCACATTCAACACTTCTAGGTCCGGTGTTGTGGTCAGACTCACTTAAACTTGAGTTATGTATGTTTAATATTATTATTAATATTATAAATATTATTCTTAGGTTAAGCGTTGCAGCTAAACCAAAAGCTCTTGGATATATCTTTGCAAAAAGACCCAATACTTTTAGATCTTAGCTTTTTTTGATATTTTTTATGCAAGAAAAAAAATTAACCCGTGGCGTGTGCCTTTGTTTTTTATTTTTCTTTTTTTCTTTTTAAGTCTTTTACTGTGGATTACAAAATATAATTCACAATGAAAAAGTTGATGCCTTTAGTTTTTTTTGTTTTTTTTTGTTTTTTTAATTTAGTTTCTTAATATTAATTTTTTTATTTAATTATCAGACTTTCATGATATGGATTCCAAGTTTGACGGGTTAACCCAGTTTATTCATATTTTTTTCATTTTCTTCATTAGTTTTTTTTCTTCCTGCAAGTTTTTTTCTCTTTGCTTTTTCCTTTTTAATTGATCCTTTTTTTAATTTTTTAATAATAATAAATCATTTTTCTATTTAATTATCACACTTTCACAACACAAATTTCAGATTTGATGGGTTAACCTGATTTGGCGGGTTAACCAGGTTGGTTCGGATTTTTTTCTTTTTTTTTTTCATTAGTTTTGTTCTTCCGATTTCATCTTTTAATATTGTATGCAGTTCACGGTGAAAAGGCTAAAACCTTTAGTTTTTTTTTCTTTTTTTTATGTCTTTCTCTGTGGACTGCACAATGCAGTCCACGGTAAAAAGTCTGATGTTTTTTTTAATTAATTTTTTAATTTAGTTTGTTGATATTGATTTTTTTTCTATTTAGTTATCAGATTTTTATAATACGGATCTCAAGTTTGACGAGTTAACCCAGTTAATTTAGATTTTGTTTTCTTTTTCTTCATTAGTTTTTTTGTTTCTTTTTATTTAATATTTTTTTATTTAATTTAGTTCATCATTATTAATTTTTTTTTATTTAGTTATTAACTGATGTCTTTAGTTTTTTTTCTTTTTTTTTGTTGTTTTTATACCTTTAACTGTAGACTGCACACTGTAGTTCATAGTGAAAAAGTTGAAGTCTTTTTGTTAATTTTTTTTAATTATTTTTTTCCGTTTAATTTAGTTTGTTAATATTCAATTTTTTTTTTATTTTGTTATCAAATTTTCATGGCATGGATCTTGAGTTTAACAGGTTAGCCCAGTTAATTTTGTGTTAACTCGTCAATTTTTTTTTTCTATTTAGTTATCAAACTTTCACGACATGAATCCAAGGTTTGGCGGGTTAATTCAGTTAGTTTAGATTTTTTTCTTTTTTCTTCATTAATTTTTTTTCTTTTGGTTTTTTTTAATTAATCTATTTAATTATTACACTTTTATGACATGACCTTATAGTCAGACCCACAACCAAGACTATTAGGTCTGATATTACAGTCAAACCCACTTAGACTTGAGTCATGCAAGTTTAATATTATTATTAATATTACTTTCGGGTCAGGCGTTGCAGCCACATCCAAGACTCTTTGGTGTAACTTTGCAAAAAAACCTAATACTTTTAGATCTTAATTTTTTTTTATATTTTTTATGCAAAAATTATTGACCTGCGGCATCGCGCGGGTCATTTAACTAGTACCCACTATATAGACATGGTTTGTTTTTATATTTTAAAATATTTTTTATATTTTTAAATTATCTTGATACAGTAATATTAAAATTAAATTTTAAAAAATAAAAAAAATATTATTTTTAAATAAAAAATACTTTAAAAAAACTACTCTTAACATGTTAACATGCTCGTAGACTATAAAGTAGAGTAAAAATAAATTACAAAAAGAACTATGATATCAGCAAATGGAAATAGATAAATAATGATGCGACTGCGTCCAAAGATCCCGCGCGCATCTCCAGTACAGCCTTGCCAAAAATGTTCCCCCTGTCGTTGGACACGAGTCCGATCTGAAATTCCCTGTCGTATTTAGCATTCAACTTCAACCTTCCAATCTCAATCCCATCATCTTCGCCCCCAACCAAGACTTGAAGAGAAAAGAAAGCACCACCCTTACCCACTCACCAACTCCATTCTCACCCAATCCCAAAACCACACCAACAAACGAACTCCTCTTCTCTCTCTCTCACTTCCTCTCCACGCCTCCAAGGTCCCCTATCCTCTCCCTATATATATATATTCGAACACTCTTTGTTGTTGAACTCAGGTTTTTTCATTCAGAGGCAAAGCGAGATGGCGGAAGGTAATATCGAGTGTGTGTGCATTGACTTGCGTGTGCAGTTATTAGCACGAATCTTCAGCTATTGCTAATTTTTGCTAACAGGTGACAACAATGGATCGTCAAAACCAACGGTGACTCCGTACGAGGAAGCCCTGGATGCTTTATCCTCTTTGATAACGAAACGCAGTCGTGCTGATAAGAGCAACAACGGAGATCGATTTGACGTGCTTTTCGATTATTTAAAAGTAAATATGCTTGGTTAATCATTCTAATTTTAACTTTCTTCTATTTTAATTATATATTTATCTCGATCTAATTTTGGTTGTTGTTGTTGTCATCCCAATCATTAATTAAGATCCTGGAGTTAGAGGAGGCAATATCAGAAATGAAGATCATACACGTGGCAGGCACCAAAGGAAAGGTAGCACTGCTAAATTTCTGTCAGCAGCCTTCAATTTATCCTAAATTCATCAAACATGATTTTAAATGTGAAAGCAATTTAAAATCATATTTGATCACCGATTCGTAAACTTAATTATGGCAGGGCATAACTTCTGTAAATCCCTAAATATTGTTGAAAGTAGAGGCAATACAGGGTCAGGATTGTTCGTATCTGTGTTTTGAAACCAAATGATTTTTTTTTTTTTAATAAAGGGATCTACGTGCACCTTCACGGAATCTATCCTACGTAATTGCGGCTTTCGTACTGGACTTTTCACATCACCTCATCTCATTGATGTCCGAGAAAGATTTCGTCTGGATGGGTAAGTTATGCAATCTTTAGAATAGTAGTATCATTTTTTCAATTGGCTGATAAGATTTTTTATTTCCATGAATAAATTGACTGCTTAAAAACTATTCTGTTTTTCTCTGCTCACGTTTTATATTTATCAACAATTGTATAAATTCTGATTCTTTCTTAGGCTGTCTGTTTTAATTTTATGCCATTTCCACTTCATTAAAGTTTGCCGAAATCTTACTTTACTGTCTCTCTTGTTAATAAAATCGATGTCTTTCCCATCCTTAACCACACTCCTTTTGAGAACTCGGTATAATCCTTTTATTTGTGTTTATTGCATTCTTTTGAAATCCACTCTATGTATTATAAGTGTATATATTCTGGTTTTCCTGTTTTGTATTGCAGTAAGGACATTTGTGAAGAGAAATTCTTGGCATATTTCTGGTGGTGTTATGATAGACTAAAGGTAATCCTGTCCCTGTGTTTTTTTCTTCATTGTAATTCAAGCATTAATTTGGTGGTTATAATGAGAGCGATAGAACGTCAGATGATATTTGATTCGAAAATCAAGCAGGAAAGCTTTCTGTGCTAGTTGTTGGCGAGGGCATGTCAAAATTCTTGCTGTGCTGTCCTAGTGGCTGGCTAAAGAAAAGGACTTTTGAGTGGTTTCTAAGTGATGTGGAACCTCAAGTGTCAAAAATACAACTAATGGACTTCCTTTTCTTTGTAAGTTTTGGGCAGTAAATTTGCTTCATTTGTTAGTTTTGACATCTTCTGCTGTTGTGCAGGAAAAATCTACAGAAGATGTACCAATGCCTACCTATTTTCGCTTTCTTGCTTTACTTGCCTTCAAGATATTTTCAGCGGAACAGGTTCGTGTGAACATTTCATGTCGGTGATGATATCCTTTCCATCTGAGCAAACACACTAATGCTCAATATAATCTCTCATGTTGGATTCGAAGCTCATTTGTTGAGTACTCCTATGCAGGTAGATGTAGCTATTTTGGAGGTTGGGTTAGGTGGAAAGTTTGATGCAACAAATGTGGTATGCATAATTTATATTTGATTAAGAGATTTTTTTCAGCCTTTTTAAATTTGACTTCTGTGTTGATTGAAAAGAAGATATGACTTTGCTTTACATGTCAAGCTCTTCATGCTAGGATTCTCTTTGGTGATATGCTTCTAAAACAGCTAACTTTGCATCATGTTTCAGGTTCAGAAACCTATTGTCTGTGGTATAGCTTCCCTTGGGTATGATCACATGGAGATTCTTGGTTAGTGTTATATTTCAACGAGTTAGGTAACAGCTCATGGTAAAATGGTGTAAAGCTGTTGCTTATCTGATTATTGACACATTTGAGACTGTTGGACTTCAATTTCCATATAGAACATAGCCACTTGCAAGATTTTTCACTACTGCATTATAGTCCATATCTGCATAACAAGTAACTGAATTTTTTGAGACCAGACCACATACTGGCATCTGTTATTGCCTGCACAAAGGAAAACATGTGATGTTTTAAGTCTTGGAAGTGTTCCACCATATTTTCATTCGCTAAGTTCATCTATTCTCTTTGCTGGATGTTTTGATTAGGAAATACTCTAGCACAGATTGCTGGGGAGAAGGCTGGTATCTTTAAGGTGTCCTTCTGAACTATTCCCTTCAGGCTCTTGCTTGTGCATTTGCTTCTGAACTTTAACCCAATATGAGTCTCAATTTTATTTTTTTATTTTTCCTTGATAAAGTTTTCTTTTTCCAATACAGGATGGAATTCCAGCTTTCACTGTGCCTCAACCTGATGAAGCAATGAATGTTCTTGAAGAGAAGGCTTCTGAGTTAAATGTAAGTTGCATATAGTTCATGAACTAGGGAATTATTTTTTCCACTTACTGGAAAATTCTTGTGTCGGATGCTGGCTTGTTGATGTGGAAGTCAACTCGATGCTCTACCATCCTAAAACGAGTCTTGTGTGAAGCAGGTGCATGCTATATAAGATGTTGTTGGTGCTTAGATGTGGTTCCTGTATTTTTTAAGCAATCCTATTGAAGTGCTAAACCCATCTGCTTTCCAGCGCAAATCATAGATTTAATAATTGCGCAACCATAAGTAGTTACTTAGGAGCTGCTAACTTTACAATTCATGGATGAGAATTTGAGGCTGGGTTTGCAACAGCAGATTTCCTTTTCATTTGATTTGACAAGCACTTGTTCTGGGATATAGCATATTGAGGAAATCCATCGTATCATATCAAATCTTGTTGTTCCCTAATTGAAAAACTTATGGCTGATGTAAGTATTCTAATTGCAGGTACACCTTCAAGTGGCGGAGCCATTGGATGCCAAATTGCTGAACGGTTTAAAACTTAGGCTTGAAGGTGAGCACCAGTATTTAAATGCTGGTCTTGCCATTGCATTGTCTTTCACTTGGCTTCAAAGGACTGGGCATCACGAATTTACCCACATGGAACCGGCTGTAAGTTTGATATATGAGAGTCTTCCTGTGCAAGCTCTTTTAGGTCTTCACAGCCATTTTTCTGAATTTATTTACATGGAACAGAGCTCACTTCCCGAGCAGTTTATTAAGGGGCTAACAACAGCCAGTTTGCAAGGGAGGGCTCAAATTGTCACTGATCAATACATTAATGCCGAGAGTTATGGAGATCTTGTGTTTTATCTGGATGGAGCCCATAGTCCTGAAAGCATGGAGATGTGTGCAATTTGTTTTTCTCTTGCCATAAAAGAAGACAGCCAGAAAAGAACCTTTAATTATCCCCCACAGAACAATGCTGAATCCACTATTGAATTGGTACAGGAGCATCATGATGACCGTGATGTAAAGAGTTCCATGCAGGTAAGGATAGAGCTTTTATTTTTTAGATTTACAAAAAAATAAGATGCAAAGCTGGAAGTTACAATTAGATAGATTCATAAGAACCAACTTAGAAAGGGTTTTGTTTGAGGTCAATTCTGCTTCCTAGAATTGGTGTTGCCAAATGGGTAAAGTAACTGCAAAATATACGCTGTTAGTACAATCTGGAAAGTAAGAAGTTTCAGCAATTGCTGAAGGGTATGCAAAGCTCAAATCACGGTCATTCTTGCAACAAATTCCAGTTGCACACTGAGGCAAAGTGCCTCCAAAAGGAAGAATCAATATAAGAACTGTATAAGTGAGTTGTTTCGCTGCAATGATGTGCTTGGTTTTCCAAAGGACCACAGGGCAGCTGCTCACATGGAAACGATGTGGCTAATAATATTCTGGATGAGATGAAGCTCGCTTCTTTCCATTATAATACATCTGTTGTCCGGTGCAAGTTTGCTTCTATCATTTTTATTTTTATGTCCAACTTTTGAAAAAGGGATTCAGAAGTCCATTACAATTAGAGTCTCATGATAACCTAATTCATTGAAGAAGTGTTAAACAAAACTGTCATGAGCTTACATGTGTGCCTATGGATAAAATTTTGGTATCAGTACTTGAGAGACACGTGAGTTACAATAGGGCAATGTTGACCTAAAGTTTTGTGTGCCTCTTCCAGATATTGCTGTTCAATTGCATGTCAGTGCGAGATCCTCAGCTGCTTCTTCCTCCTCTCATGAAAGCATGTGCAAATCATGGTAAATGATTTAGCAGGAATCTCACGACCTTTTCTAAAACATAGCTAGTACTTAATAAAGTATACGAGAGAGTTGAATGACATTAAACTCAAACTGTTTGTCAGTTTTCCTTGATTATATAAAATTCATTACCTAACAATCTCAACCATCCATATTTTTGAGAAATGAAAGACAAAAAATCAGGAGTTACGAGGGAATATTTGTTCATTTGATGTTAATTGTCTTGTCAAGAAACTTTTGCTTACCAACATTAGTTCGGTATTTTAGGTGTCTACTTCAAGAAGGCGCTCTTTGTTCCCAACACATCCGTGTATTACAAGGTTGGATCTCATGCATTAACACCAACTGATTCTCAAGTTAATTTATCATGGCAGTTTGCTCTTCAAAGAGTATGGGAGAATCTCATACAGAGCGATAAAGGTACCAGTTACATGCATATATATATATATATATATTTCTTATATCAGAGAAATATCAGGTTGATTGTTGTCTTTGCTTTAGCTATTGTATTTAGAAAAATAAACATAAATTTCATTGGACTAACTTATTTTCACAGTTCCCTTCTTTTTTTCTCTTTGTTTTGTACTCTTTCTAAATTTCCCGTTGTTGTACCATTTATTAAATGTTTAAAAATAACGTCTGTCTTTGTTATACATACTAGAAACTGAAGAGTTCATCTAACACAGCTCTTCTGTTGACATTGGGTTTTATGTGAATGGCCTTTTGACTTATCAGGAGGGGAGGTTAAGCTTGCTGTTGCTGGTTGTGAAGAAGGTAAAGAGGATGCCAAAATGAGTGGTAGGACTTGTGAAAATAGTGCAGTCTTTCCTTCTCTCCCATTGGCTATTAAATGGCTTAGAGAGAGCGTCCAACAGAATCGATCTGTTCACTACCAGGTAATACTGATTTGAAAAATATATTTTGTTCAATATTTTACAAACTGCATGTGTTTATTCTACTTAATAATATGGCCCAGGCAGGATGCTTACATTGCAAAATGAAATCATGAAATTTATCATTTCATTTCTGTTGTGGTTGCGATTCCATAGCTTTCTGTTACTTTAAAAATTATTCAGATGCAATGAGAATAAATATATCTTATAAGAATTTTGTTCCATTGACTGTATTTTTTGCCACAACATTCTTATGGATAATCAATGCTCCACTATTTCTTTTGCCTCGGAAAGTTTGTTTTGTACTAGTTTTTCCAACTAGCATAGGAGAACAATAGAGAAATACACATTTCTTATTGCAAAAAGCTCAGATTCACAGCATGACTTGCTGGAAAACCATAACCAGACATTACAAGTAATAGCTTTATTTAAATGACGTTGCAACTTGTCAACGGGAAAAGCATCAACTCAAAACTTTCCTGAAATTTTACACAGCGACAATGTTTCATTTGTAGCCATGCAATTCTAATAAAAGATTCATATGTATGATGCATATATTTGCTCATATAGCATTTGAACTGTTATTTAAACTTTTCTTCCACAATGCATCAGGTCCTTGTAACCGGTTCATTGCATCTTGTGGGTGATGTGTTGAGATTAGTCAAAAAGTGAGGCACAGGACGAAGCTGAAGGTCCCCAGTTGCAAGAATTTACGCTTAAAAAGTGCTGGTACTGATGCTGGATGAACGAGTTAGATACTTCCGTCCCATCAACTTCTCTAGGATTCATTTGAACTGCTCCGTTGAAGATGTTGGCAATTTATTGCAGCTTGCTTGGAATTTGGGGATACATCATGCGTTGTTATTGAAAGTTTGCAAATGAATCATCAGGAATTTCGTTGTTATTGCAATCATAGAAACTTCAGATATTGCTAGAAATGATTACCAACTACTCTCTAGGAAAATCAGTGTACTTTCATGAGACTCTGAAAATCAGACACGTGCTGCTGATTCTCACTCGCAGCTGAAGAGGAATGGCTGAGGCTGTTGCTTTTGATGTTGCACACATGCTCGTTCATCGAGTTGCGAATGTGGACTTGTCAAAAGATATACCTCCGTGACACTAAGTCTCCTCATCTGCATGAAATTGGGAACCAGATCGAACTCGTTCGAACTCAGATCTGTCAACAGGTTTACCTCCATGATCACCCTGCTAGTTTGCAGGCATGTGGTTGAGAAGGTTATATCCACATGATTGAGAAGAGCATATTATCAGCTTGGAGAGTTTTGCAAGGGATCTGATAGCCCTGTTGGTATTTAGCTACTACGCCCCCTGCCAAGAAAGTGTGTAGTCATATTGCAAGTCAAGAAATTTGAACTGTTCCGATAAAAAAAATGTCATGCATTTGTTTTAACCCTGTATTAGTGTTAATTTCAGCAATTGATGGTAAGTGTATTATTTATTTATTTTAGTTTTAGGATAGAAATTCTCTAAACTCAATTTCAATCAATAGAAAGAAATTTAAAAATTATACAAAATTTAGGTTAAACTTTTTATAGGTACAATTAATATTTCTATCCAAATACACATAATTGTAGCGACGAAAGATAATTTAGCCAAATTACTAAATAATTAATTTATACAAATAATTGAATATCCAAAATGCATTTCGGCAACGCAAAGCATACAGGTAGTTTTAATAAATCTAATGACTCGTGTATTTTTTTTCTTTTTCATATTTAGCTTAACTGGTTTTGAAGTCTCCTATTTTTGGATAAGGCCGTCTACATTCCTTGAAGATGCATGGGCACAGATAAATTCATTTCCAAATTTGGAAATAACCACTTTCTCGTTGGCATTTTTTAACCAAAATAGAGATTTCTAGTTATTTAAACCTTATTTTTCCATGGTCGGATAAATTTATTAATAAAAATATAAATATACAAGCGTTTTTTTAATCTAATTATAAACCAAAAAACCTACACATGCATTTGATCAAATCACTAAGAATTATTTGTGCCGATAAATACAAAAAATAAGATATTAATGTATTTATTCAACTCATCTTGTTACAGATTCACTAATTTTTTTCTAACACAAAAAAATTAATGTGTAAGTGTTATTAACTTATTTTTTATTTCGAGTAAAAATATTAACCATGTATTAAAAAGTTGATGATTATATATAATAGACTATAGTAAAGATCATATGTGTTAATAAAAACATATAAGATCTTAATTTAATTTTTAACATAGCAGAAAAATAAAATAAAATTACAATTGCTATAATAAAACACTATTTTCCTAGTCTGTGTAGTAATTTTTCAAAACAATAAGTGTAAAGAAAGAAATTTAAAAAATACAAAAAAATAATGATAAAAACAAAAACAATAGTATAAATACATCAAGTAGAGTGATAAATATTTAAAATGTAAAAGGTAAAAAATAATATATTTTTTCAAAAAAAAAGTGTAAAGAAAAAAAATGATAAATAGACTAAGTATAAAAAGAAAAAACAATATAAGAAAAACTTGTTTTTCTTTAAAAAAAAACTTAAAAATTACAATTTTATTACCCCTACAGTAAAAACAATTAGTAAGAGTTATAATTATATCATTTATTTCTATATGAAAACACTATTTCCTTTTAATATATGTATAATAATTACACAGGGATAGCAGGAGATATGCATTCATGCATCGGATTTGAAATGGCATGCACTGCCCATGAACTTGAAGCCGCCACCTTGAATGGCCATGGCAAGTGGAATTACAGCTAGCAGAGAATGGTGCCATGCCTTGTAACAGGACTTAAAACATACGTTGTTTGTGGAAATTGAAGATGATTCCGAAGGGCTGAAATCTATCGCAGCTCTCCAAGAACCTCTCCAAGAACTAAAACTCGTTTTTACACGAACTTAGAAACATAATTTTTGTTATAGACGGAGTATAGGTGCAAGATTTTTGGCACTTTCCCTCCATTTCATTTCATCAAACCATGAAGCAGAAGCAATAATGAAATGGTGGGGGATCCTTCTCTTCTATCAGATTAATAGACATTTGGCGGTGCTCTTAGGCATAGGAGTAATAAGAGATTTGTTTTCTTTCGGCCGTAACAGCAAGACTCTTGGCAGTGTTTTACACTGTAAATTTTTTTAAAAAAATAATATTAAATTAATATATATTTTTTAATATTTTTAAGTTATTTTAATAAGCTATATTAAAAATAATTTTTTTTAAAAAATATCATTTTAATATATTTTAAAATAAAAAACAACAACTACAACACATCAAAACACGCTCACAGCTGGGTAAACAAGATAGCGGAAATCCACTAAAAAGATTCACTTCATTAGCTGAAAGAATATTTTATGTACATGTTTCGGAGGCAAGAACCCTAACTGTAATGACACGCTCGCATTTTTCTCTGTTTCTTTACTACTTTCCCCTTCTTTTAATCTCCGCTATTGCTGAGGGAAGCAATCGTAGTTCCGTATAAAACAAGCCACAAATGAAGTGCAAAGTGTGGAAACACAAACAGGTCCCAGAACCCTTCAACAAGCAGTCATGGATCGCAATCTCATCTTCACCAGAGTTCAAAGCAATTGGCGGAGTTCTTGGTTTTCTTTCCTAAGGGTCTTGATTTCTTTCATCAGCTCAGCTTGGTTTTCCAGGATTGAGCTCATCACACTAGAAAACTCCATCTGTTCAATGGTTACATAAAATTAATTCCACAAATAAATAACAACAAAAGGGGAAAAGAAACAGTATAAATACTACAAATGTACCTCCTGCATATGAAATTGTCTAAGAATTTCTATATGAAGGTTCCTCATATCTTCATGTATGGATTTCTGAAATGAATCAAGAGTTTCTTCAAGAGTGCGCTGGAAGAGTTGAAGAGTGAAGGAACTCCCCTGCTGTGTATCTGGCTGAAGAGCTTTGTGCGGCTGTGTAGCCCCCCCCTGCCATAATATTGCCGAATTAATGAGCCTTGATAATCAGATAAAAGAACACAAAGCTATTACATGTCTTCACTGTTTTGCGTTCAAGTATAAAAAATTGCATCAGACATAACATGTGGCCCATTCTTGTAATTCAAAAGACAATATTCAAGGCATCTATGCTGATAAGCTACCTTGGGATTCCGAAAGTAAACAGCTAGATACTTAGAAGCAAATACGGGCAAACATTTATTAAAGCAATCTAGTGTTCTTACATTCATTGCTGGAACAATTCCTGGTTCTGTGACAGCCAATGCATCAGACCTCAACAACAGGCTATTCAACAGTTCTTCCCTAGTTTCAACTCCGGTTTTCTTTGTTTTTGGTGAACCCACAGAGAGGGATGTTCCATCACTAAAGGAAGAAGTAGTGCTTATTCTCTCAGCATATGTTGAAAACCTGCGAGGTAAGTTTAATGATGCTGGTCCTGATGTTTCAAGGTTAGCTGGTCCTGTGATGCCTTTTGCACCTAAAGAAAGAAACATGGAACTAGAAGAAATGTGTTCTGGAAATCCCACTGACGTCTCCTGATTCAAAGATACATCTCTGGCGCGCAGATTTGAAAAGCCACGGCTGGAACTAGTCAATGAGCTCATACTTGTCTGACTCGTTGAAGAGGGCAGATCTTGCAAACTAGAGAACATTGATCCTGATGTTGAACTCCCAGAAGCCATCCCAAAACGTGGTGGCAAATTGAGTGGCTGGCGTAGGTGAGCAATTTTATCAGATAACCTCTCACCACCCCAAGCTTCTGGAGGAGTGATGGAGGAATCTTCACTCTTGGAAGATGGAGTAGGAGTAGAACCCCCTAGTGATGTGAAAGACTGGGTGTCATCCTGCGCAAAAATGACAAGAAACATCATGGCACATCTATGAAGATATTGAATACCTACAATCAAGTTCACTAGGAAACCACAACTATGTTCAACCATATACAGGACATGCAGAAAATGACTTGACAAAACAACTGACAATCATGTTACAACAATTTTGACTGAAAGAGAACACGGAAAGCCAAGTTCAACAGTCAAAAAGACTTTAACACAAAATATCTCTATTAAGTACAGGGACTTGTGGAGTTTCTTTAGCGTCATTGAGTGGGGAAAATATAGTTGAGCAGTTGATTTTGGTGAAACAATTCATTGATGCTCCAACATACAGCATAATGGAAGGAACAAATGATGAATTTTTCCAGTATATGTGAAATAATGGAAGTATAGGCTGACTAGTCTAATTGTATCAGATTAAAGGGTCATCAAAAGTAGGTAAAATACAAACAATGCCCAAAATAATAACTTTCTTATGCATAGCATACATCTTCTCTCTCCCATTTTTATGTGTGAATTAGATATGCATATTGCAAATATCATCTGGGATAAACAACTATCAGACCTGTCTTGATGTTGAACTAGATTTCCAATCAAATATTGGATGATCATTGGTCCCATCCTCTGCAAAAGGAAATCTCCTACTAGATGAAGGATACAACAATGATGAAGGCTTCTTATCAACAGGCAGATTATCCTTTTTCAATCCCTCGTGATCAGTCCAAAACTTATCAAGTGAGGGCGTGATAGGCTGAACATCCACTAGTGGGGAGAACACCTCCATTTCATCCTTAAAATTGTAACTAGAACGAGGTGGATTTAATCTGGTCAATGTTCCAGGCCAAAGATGGCTTCGATGTGGCGTTTCCTCTGCTAAAGACAGATTGGGTATAGTTGATGCAGGTCCACCAACAGTTGCTGTAAGAGATGATGATTCTAATGCAGGACCTGAACGACCAGAATTACCAGAGCCAGACACTGAGGATAGAGCAAAACTAGATGATGTTACAGAAGGAAGTGGATCTGGCATAAGAATGGAATCATCAACAGCACCTCCCAAAAGAGCTATCTCAGCAGTGCAGTTGCTCTCATTTACAATAACTGGTTTTGATCTTTGCCAGCATAAACCAGTAACAGCCTGATGAAAAATATAATTTAATTAACATCAAGTAAGACTACAAGAAATAAGGTATTTATACTTCTGAATTTGTGAGCTCACATTAGTGATGAGATTGCAAATACCTGGACCACTATTTAGGCAAAGCTCTCAGATGGCATACCGAAGGCAGACATCTATGACAGTCCATATTTAAGAGAAACTATTTTTTTATTGTCAATTCACATTTTTAGCCTAACTGTTTTATCCAACAGACCAATTAAATCTCGCACACACTGTTTTAATGCTATTCTAGTTGATTTCTCTCAAAAACATCATCCATTAAGTCGCACATTAATTAAGTCATCCTAACATGAAAGAGGAGATAGGCACACGAAGAACAACAGATTCACAGATTATCAAGACCAATGTAAAGGTGCAATCTTAATAAGTTCAGTTACTAAAGTCAAGAATGTGTGCAGTCATGGGTGAACTTCTGATATATGTAACTCTAATAATGTTATAGGATCCCGTTTACATCTCTTTCTGCCTAATATTCATTACTCTGTTAACTTCCTATATAATGTTGTGCTATGGGATATGAGGTTCTACATTTTAGAAGGTAAGGAAGTTTTCAAGTTCAAGCAGGAGATCCCAAATAAAATGTGTCGCTATATCTATTGTGTTCACACAAAACAGTTTATAGACTAATAAGAAACTGCAGAGAGACTGTAGCAAGTATTTAAACATGGGTATCAGGAACAAAAATCCACCTCTGAACTGCCATAAGCACGAAGTACAGTGAAAGGCTGTGGTTTTCCTCGAACATCATAGAACACTACCCTACCACTGCTGGTTCCAGCAGCCAGAACCCAACCATCATCTCTAAAAGACAATGAAGAAAAAGGTGCCTCGTAAGAAATGAGAGATGTGTGCCTTCTAGACCCCGAGTCATAAGTGTATAGCTTTTTATCCAGTCCAACACTAGCTATTATCTGCAATAGGAAAAAGGTAGTTGAGGCTGAAGAATACTTAACTAATTTTACCAAAACTTCCGACCTTAAATAATTTTCAAAAGCATATAAAATATTTAGTCATCTTTCTTTTATGTAGGGAAAAGGGAAAAGGGATGAGCAATCCAACAAAATAAAATAAATATAAGACCTTGTCATTTGATGGCGAGAAGCTAATACCAGCAGTTGGTGCAGAATGTTGCTTTGACCACGAAACCTGCAAAGAAAGAAACGCAATCAGTTACATGTGACAAACATCATTCAAAATGTTGAAAAAGTAGAGCATAGCACTGCAGGAAACAAGCATGTGGGCAACAATTAATAGAAAATTAAAAAAAATGGTGAAAAAAAATTGGTTATACAAAAACCTTTCACAATGTGCTAAGATCATCAAAGAAAAGCAATTAGTTAGAACTCGGTAAATGAGAAAAGGAGCATGAGCATGCTGTGACTTCATTAGATATGAAAATTTCACTGCAGTGTAAACTTATTCAACCATATGGGTATTTATAAAACATAAACTACCAATATTCATACATACAAACCTTTGGGCTACGACCAGTTGTATCCCACAAATGCACAGAACCATCATCGCCAGCAGTCACCAAAAGGTGTCGGCTAACTCGTGAATAATCAAGCACCCTTAGTACCTGGTCTTAAGTTCCGCCAGACAAACAATTAGCAGGGAAGAAGAATAAACATAACAAAACAAGAAGGAGATCATGGAGAGCGAAAGAGCAAACAACCTGTTTATTTGGGTCCTTGAGTTCTGTCGCCCTTGCACCAGATGCAAGGTTGTGAAGGATAAGATCCCCACTCAAACTTATGGAAGCCAGGTGCTCATCTTTGCAATTGTACATAGCACCTGTTATTGGACTGGTATGACCCCTCAACCATTTAATGCAGCGCTTCCTCTGCAGATCCCATATTCTTACTACTTGACCGCTTCCTCCAGAGCATATATATCTAGATCCCTTATTACTAAAGCTAATAGCCAATATAGATTCCTACAAAAAAGATTTAAGAAAAAAACTAACAATGGCTTCTTGCAGTGGATCAAACCTTGCAAATAAGTAAACTGGATACAATGGATGCATGGTGTTTCAAAATGTAATGATGATTTTTCCACTCCAGGAATTCTATAAAAAGAGGCTTTACTACAAAAGAGCATGCATATGATGTGATGCAGGGAGCCTGTGGAGCATTGTATTTTACAGCATCCAACAGATCAAGGAATTTAAGGAAACCCTGCCCCTCTGGTTGATCTGAGCATTCCTTTTCTCCATTTAAGTCCTAAACAGGTTGACACCTTTGTTGCTTGAAGTACACAACAGTTATCTTATGAAATACATTAAGGTACTTTCTCAGATTTTTGTTCCATCAATTCAGGAGTTTACTTCCTTCAAAGTATATAATGCATGATTAGGGGGACGAACGCACTAGTATCTAATGCATGATTAGGGGGACGAACGCACTAAGCATTGTGTAGCATGGAGTGGCAACTCACATTTAGCTAGAGCACAAATGCATATTGATACCACACCTCACCTCTGGTAACTCACACATTCAAATTCAACCAACAACTTTAGTATCCCTATAAATGGTTTTTAAGCACCATCCATCCAATCTACCACAAACAATTTTTTCTTTCTAAACTAATGAAGCAGTGGATTTCGACAAGAGTTACCTCAATGCTGTCCCCACTATCTGTCCCAGAAACTGGAATTGTGCCCATGCTCTGCCCATTTTTCCTCCACAATGAAATCTTCTTATCTTCTCCAGCACTAGCCAGCACTAAATCTGCAAAAACAGAACCCACAATTTCAGATCAATCCCTGCTTTCTAAAAACTGCAGTGCTAAACCATGAATATTATTTAATTACGCAATAATTCAACAACCTCCCTCGACGAGAGTTAATTTGTTAATTTAATAAATAAGAAAAGGTGAAATGTAAGAAGAAAATCAAACTTCTGTTCTCTCTCTTTTCTCGAACAGCCAAAAAAACCCTAATTGATCCAAAAACCAGGAAATGAAGATTCAACCGTGGAGGAAAAAAAAAGCTCTTGCAAATTAAGATGTAAACGAAAATAAAGAGAATAGAGAGTGAGTGAAAGACTCACTAGTGTGATTCCACTTGACTGCGTTAACAAGGCAACCCGGAGTTGGTGTGTAACTCAAAGTACATGGATCTCCTGGTTCCACTGATACATCGAAAAGCTTCACGGTGTCGCCACCACTCGCCGCCAGTAACGCCATTGATGGATCCGGCAAGTTCATCATCCCTATTTAAATAAGAGAGAGATGAGAGTGACTTGAGAAACAGAGGAGTTTTCTTTTATTATTATTATTATTATTTTGAAATGGGTGTTTGAAAATAAGGGAAATGAGAACCCTCCTCCTACTCTTACTTTCTATAAGTTTAGAAAGGAGGGGAAGGAGAGAGAGAGAGAGAGAGAGAGAGGGGAGGGTTACTAAAAAAATAAATTTGAATGTAAGTGTAGAAGAGGTATTATTATTGCGTTGCATTTGTATTTGTTTGGAAGTGGGCGCCTTTTGTTTTTGCTTTAATCATGACTGCTTGGGACGGGGACTGGGACTGGGACTGGGCAAGCCCCCCTCAGCTCCTCTTCCTCTCACACACCGGATCGTTCCATAGTTTGCAAGTCATGCTCTTTTTTTATTTTTTGCTTGCTTGAGCAATCTGATTACTTTTATCTTAATTTTCTTTTGCAAGTTATTATCGAGTGAGTTAAATGCGCTATTTAAAAAAAAAAATGGTAGTAATTATGGGGTGAGTTATACATGCTCTACTGATATCTGTTAGATATCGGCACAAAATCTTCATTCCAGACACAATTTGTTTGTTTTTATTCCGTGTTTCAAAAATAAAATTTATTTCATATTTAAATTTTTTATTTTTTTATTGTGATGATATTAAAAATTAAAAAAAATATTTTACTATATTTATTATCATAATATCAAACATTAACACTTCCACAAAGAAAACTCGCAGCAGAATCAATTAAGGAAAAGATTTTAATCTTACATGAACATTAACCAAAACAAAAACGCAAGGAAAGCCAATTCCTAGACATTATTTTAGATGTCAGACATGTATGCCCATTTACACTCAACTATTTTTAAGATTGTCATGTCAGGCACAGTCACTCACGAAAGCAAAACAATGGGTGAAGCAAACGACACTGCTCCCAAGCTTTAAGCAATTGCTACAACAATCACCCGCCAGCGTACTTGGGTGTTTTTGTTTATCAGAATTTTAATATTGATCCATTTCAACAGAAGAGAGCATTGGACTTACAATTCCACAGGAGAGGAAGTCTAGTCAAAGTTTTTCTTAAAAAATACCTGTGCAAGCCTGCATATGCTTGCTTGGCATTTGGGAAGCCACGAAATGAACTTGATAGGCCCAATCAGCTCATTCGTAGTGTACTATTACTATATATAATAATATTGGTGCGAAACAATAGAATAGCATCCGACATAATCTACCTGTAGAAGAAAAATAATCAAGGAAACAAAATCTTGAACGGAGGAGGGCATTTGGAAGGACTCCTCCGGAATCATCTGGCCAAAAATGCTATTCCAGTTAAGTTGGTAGGTTCCGTCGTAAAAATAACACCTCATAGCCTACGCTGAGCACGAATATAATGCCACCATCTCCATTCTATATCCAGTCTCCACCTTCCCCAAACTAAGGTAGAATCCATTGGACGATGACGTCAAAACCATATCTTCTACAAAGACTTTCTCGATGGTTCAAGGGCAGGAATTGAAACCAGCAGCTAAATATAAGCATGTCCTGGATCTATATCCAGGCAATGAAAATGGATGGCCAGTTAAACGATCCAAATGTCAATGCAAAGAACTCAAATCAGTAAACAAAGCAGGAAAACTTAAAACTACTTTTATAGAGCTAAACGTGGCCAATTTTGATGCCTAAACATAATTTTAATTACCAGGCCAAATATATGCACATATGCTGAAGTAAGAACTACAAAGAAAAGTACTAGATCGATAAAAGAAAAAAAGAAAAGAGAACAGATCCTTCTGACTTTTGGCACACCCCACAGCATGCGCCTTCAGAACTGATTTGTTAAGCTTCTCCCCCACCGACCAGTAAATAATGCATGAGGAGTCGTGCCTGCATCTCCTAGAGTACCTGGAAATCTTCAATGCCAGTTCCCCTGCCAAAACAGGGTGGGAAAAAATCGGTGTAAAAATGGAAGATAGGGTAGGATGGTTTAGCTAAATGCCGAACAATTTAGATGCTGGCACAGAGGTTAAAAAAATTGGAAAGTTTATACCAGCGGAATATACAAGGATATGTAGGGTTTTTTATTGTATGAAATCATGAATATATCATAAATAATTTTGCACAAGAGCATTTCCTACATCTTTGCCTTTTTCTATGAACTATAAAATAGATACTGTGTGTTTCTTGAACTGCAACCCATTCCATGACCTGATATACGAAACAACTTTGACATTGGATAAACAAGATCCTATTTTTGCTATCATTATCCTGCATACAACAAGTGGTGCACAAAAGGTAATCATGTTGCTTAAGTTTTTCACCCAAGTAATAGCATTTACATCCCCTGCTCATCAGACTGTAAAAATTGTCTGGAAATTCTGACAGAACACCTACAAATCAACTGCATCGAAACTGATGCCACATATTTACTGGCATTGCTAAGGCCAAAAAATTCACATCAATTTCCTTCATAATAAAAACACAAAGGTGATTTCAAAACATGGCTAGATTGTGATCATGCTGTAGTTTAAACTCATAGCACAGACCAATCCACTCACATAGATTCCAATCCACTCTGTCAGATCCATAGCCTTTGACAGTTGAAGCATCCTCATTTTAAGGCATTGAGAAGCAAAAAAAGATGATGTCACATCAGATGACCAGAAAAGATGATGCAATTGCGCAATATATAACTGAATACAATCCAATGTAGACACAAATTCTTAAAAAAACACCAAGGGTCCATAAGTGCATGTACATTTAAATGCTTTTCTCATATCAAAGTACTAGACAAACCAAAAGCTTATTAGTCATTACTATTGTGATATCCTTCCTTCCCAGAACCTCAGACGGTGGTCCAAGGAAATTTTTTCTAGAAATTACCTTGTCTTTTTCAAGTTATTTTTACTTGAAACAAAGAACTGCTAGCTGGGTCTCATTCTGAAGACAATCAAATACATGGAAATTGATTTGAAAAAAGGGGCACGGGAGGGGCGGGGGAGGAATTTACTAAATTGATTGGCCCTCGTGTAAAATCTCTAATATGACACATCTGTAAAAAATTACCACAAATTTTGTATCTTGAATCTTGTTTCTGCATTTGTGCAGAAGATGACTTGTATCAAATAAATGGAACTCATTAAAATCAGGTAAGGAAATAAACAAAACTATGAACCCCAACAGAGCAATTGGGTTTGCAACAAGCCAGAAACAGGCTTAAAACACAATAATCCCCATATCAGAGTCAAGATGCAATGGTATTAAGGCTTACCTAGGGTAATACCAAGGACCAATAATATTGCAGCCATCACATTGTGTTTGGCATCATGAAATTGGCCTTTTTCTCTGAGGGCTTTAAAATTTGAAAGGAGCACAACAGATTTTCATCAACGCTCATCATAGCACCAGCATTGTCAAATTCACCACAATAGTTGGGAGCTGAAAATATGGTAACAAGTTGCCTGTTGGCAAAGAATTCATACCCATCCTCCACAACCTGGACCAAAACAAAAAAAGATACATGTCACTTCAGTGTCCAAAAATAGCATGGGATATGAACAGCTGAATAGTGTAGCTAAGTAAAAGTTGACAACCTGATGAGCACGACAGACAAGGTCTAAATCATGCTTTGTCAGAAATTCTTCCACCTTATCAGGACCAAAGGTGTATGAAACTCCTCTATCATTCATCCCCCATCCCTTAACATCTCTGCAAGGATCTGACCAGAGTAAATCACAAAGCAAGCCAGTGTCTGGAACAGCAATTGGGCGAGGCAAGTTTCTAATTTGATCCAAATTGGTCAAATCAGGGGAAAGACCACCATGCATGCACAATATCTTGTCGTCTATCAAAGCAGCAACAGGGAGGCAGTTGAAACTGTCAGTGAAGGATTTCCATAGCCTCACATTAAACCGCCGCTTACATTCATCGTAAAATCCATATATCCGATTTATAGAAGCACATTCATGGTTTCCTCGTAGAAGAAAGAAGTTCTCTGGATATTTAATCTTATAGGCAAGCAAAAGGCATATAGTTTCCAAACTTTGCTTTCCTCGATCAACGTAGTCCCCCAAAAATAAATAATTGGCTTCAGGTGGAAAACCTCCATACTCAAAAAGTCTCAATAAATCACTATACTGCCCGTGAATGTCACCTGAAACACACAGAAAATCTCGACGAAGTCAGATAGAACAGATCCAGGCAACAACAGAACAGCACAGAAAGCAAACATCCAACAATGTTAACAGTTTACCCTCCGAGCTATTCGATAAGTTACACATTCCAAGGTGAATAAACGCCTATGATATTTCAGGCGCCAATTATTTCTCATATTGCATTGGCAGAAATAGAAATAGTGAAGACAGCAGAAATAGAATAGTAAAGACAGCAGAATTTTCAACTAAACTTTGTTTACTTATCAAACATCACCAGTTCACAAGAGACTAAACACAGTGCCCAGGATTTTAGGCTTTTATATGCATTCCAGTTTTTCATTCAAAGAGAAAAGTTTACTCTTGGCTCCACGGAAGAAACAGAAAAAATGGCAGGAAACAAAGAAAACAAAAATTCCCTTTTTTCCTGATAAAGTCTTTCACACTTTAAATCTTAAATAAAAAGAAAAATAAAACATCAGGAAACCCACGCAAAACCTAGAAAAATTTGGGTAAATTCAGCGTACCGCATATCTTGATGGGGGCTTCAAGCTCGAGCAGATTAGGTTGTTTGAGGAAAATATCACGAGAAGCAACACAGAGCTGCTTGATCTCAGCCTCCGATAGCTGAACTTGCTTGCCTGGTCTGGCTGATCGGACTTCTGTTAAACGTCTGATTATATCATCTAGTACGGCGGGGTCCATCGCCGCCTGCCCTTGTGTAGCCATCCGATCTCCCCTCCTCTTTCAACGGCTCTGGCTTTCTTTTTGCAAACAAACCCTAGATGTTCCCTTTTTTTTTTAAACAGCCTTCTTCCTGTTCTTTTTTCTAGTGTTGTGTGGGTTTTTAATTAAAAAAAAGAGAGAGAGGGAGCAAAAAAGGAGTGGTTAATAAAAGAGAAATAAAAGGAGTGGAGATTTATTCGTATTGTTAATTTTTTTATACATGTTGAGGGGAGCTGTCACGAAATACCACCAAAAAACAAAAACCAAAACTAAAACATGCGAGTGTAGATTGTCCACCGCGTTAAAATTACTATTTTATTTTTATGTGCAAGCTTGAATTTAGAGGTATATAACTATATAAGTCTTTTTTATAAAACTTATAGTAATTATATTAAAAAATGTGTTAATTGATAATTTTATTTTTTTTAACAATATAATTACCAAATGACCCTTGTAAAAAACAAATTAATTCAGGAGCTTTTCGGGTTTTTCATGTTTTTTTCTCATGTTAATTACTTAAATATACTTAAAAAATAAATTCTTTTTATTGTAGATGCAAGGTTATTTTAGATTTTTCATTGGGGAGTTTTTTATAATTCTTATGTAGGTTTATGGATGGTTTGGTATTTTAAAATGTTTAAATTGATATTAAAATTTTAAAATGGTTGTCACATGCATAGCAAGCACTCAAACAGTACCGAAAATCATCTTTTAGAAAGACATTCAATGACCTTACTATCTCTCTCACAGTGATAAGGTGCATTTTATTTGACTGCACATGGGGACCTCTACTCTCTCTCTCTTTCTTTCTAAAAACTATGCTAACTATCATTTAAAGAAATTCTAACTGTTTATTTGTTAAGTTGAATTAGGTCCTTGTTCTTTTTACTCTAATATATTTAAATTTAAATTATTTATTAAATCAATTTATTTTTTAATTTCATCTATTTACACATTATTTTTTATATTAAATTATTTTTTTAATTATAATTATTTTGGTATTGAATCCTTTATAAAATTAATTTGTCTTTGGATTTCATCAATTGACATTTTATTTTTATATCAAATATAGTCCTTATTTTTTTAATTGTATTTTTAATTGTTCTTATCATTTTCTTATTTTTTTTAATTTCATTGTTTATGGTTTTGTTTTGTTTTTTTGTGTCAAATTTGATTCCTTTTCTTTAAAATCTATAATTTTTAAAAAGTTTATCCCAATTATTCTAGTTAGTTTAGGATTTCACATCGTGATTTGCCCTGATAATCCATATCACAGATTTTGAAAGTTGAATCAGGTTATCCTCGGTTATTTTTAATTATTTTTTAAAATTTCATTAATTGTCATTGAATTTGTTGAAAATTGAGTTTTTTTTTATTCCTTTATAGATTTGATTTTTGTTTTCTATATTTCCCTTCAATTCAATGGATTTTTATATTTAAGGTTTGGCCCTTGATATTTTAATTTTTAATCTTTATTTTTTGTCTTTTTGTCAAATTTTATCTTGTTTTTAATCTCACTCCTAGATCCAAGATCTTGATTTTTTTATTTTTAAAAATCTTGGTTCTTGTTCTTTCGGTTTATTTTTTATTTTTAATTCACTTGTTAATTTTTTTTAATTTTTCCCTTAATTCAAAATTTTAATTTTTTCTCTCAATTTTTTTCAAATGAGGTTCTTATTCCTTTAATTACTAATTTTTTATTCTCTATTTATTTATTTTTATCATTTTACATTTTATATATTGGGATCTAGTCTCCTTAATTTTTCTCATTGTTTCTAAGTTTTGTCCAATAGTCAATTCAAGACAATTATCGGGTAACGGGTCGAATGGGTTGAATTAAGTTAACCCAAGTCAATCGAATCCTTTTGTTTTATAAAAATAATGAAAATAATATCATCTTTCTTTTTAAAAAAAAAAAACAGAGAGAGAGAGAAACAGTAAACATGTTCTTACTATATTTTTCTCGAGTTAACCAAAATTTTGGTCATCCAAGGTTTTTTATCGTATTACACTGAATCAATTCTCATCCAGTTTCTTAGAACTTGTGTTGATCTAAGGCAAGGGTCACCTGAAACATGAGTCAACCTATCCAGTCAAGTAAGGTTTTGAAATAAATGCTTTATAGATGTAATGCTTCCAATTTAATCATTACCTGAGGTCATGGTTTTGAAAAGTCAACACTGACCGACATCATTTTCTTTCCTAGCTACATCATTCAAAATTATTTGTTTTTTTTTAAATAAACTTCATTGTTTTTTTAGTTTTATTTTTAACGGAGTTATCTTTATCTCATGACACGAGTAAACGGTTTATCTGGGTGTCCTGAGTTCTTTTAAACAATATTTTTTTAATCTTTTTTTACTTTATCATTTAAAATTCAATTATTTTAAAAATTAAACTTTGTTATATATATGTTTTTTCTTTTATTGAATTATCTTTTCCGTATGATACCATTTGTTGGTTTTGACAACCTCGCTTAGTTTTGTTGATGTGTGTTTTTTAATATTTTTTATTAATTTTTTTATTTCACCATTATACATATTGATTCACGAGGTTTGACAAATTTTTTTTAAATTCTCTTTCTATTATGCTAAGCCATTTTTTTTATATATAAAATACAATGATAGCATTTTAGCATTATTTTTTTACACTTCAAAAAAATTGATCTGGCATTCAATGAAGCGTGACAAATCAATCTAGTCATTATCTATTCCCTTACAAGTATAAAAGACGGCGTCATTTGAATGTTTTTCGGTGGAATTTTTTCTTTTATGGGATGGTGGCAAAATTAATAATTTAGGATAAAAGTCAAGGGCTAGATGGGCTGCGAGGATGGTAAAAACCCAAATGTCAGATCTAAATGACACATTTGTCTTTATCCCTCATTGGTCTCTTCATCAATCATGACCTTTCTAAGGTTAATTTTTGCCCTAAATGATTAACCATGAGATTTAAATGATTTATATTTGTATCGATATATGATTTTAGATTGCAGATATTAAAAAAGTAAAATTTAAGAATGAAGTGTTAAAAATATGAAAGACATTAAGAGATGAGATATCAAGGATCTCTTTCATATGTTTAAGATTTTACACATTAAAGTAGATATAAAATCCATATTTAGATTAAATGAAATTATATACATGCAAAATAATATTACATTTTGTGATTTGAAATGTTAGTGCAAGAGGAGAAAGATTTTTGATCATGTTTATGTTGCAGAAAGTCATTTATTAAAAATTACTTTTTTTTTTTGTGTTTGTTTGCTATTGTAAAAATTAGTTAACAAAAAACACTTTCAATCAAAAGAAAATTTGACTTGGTTTTCAAAAAAGTATTTTTCTTTTATTTTTAGTGAAAAATACTTTCCAGAAGTTATAAAAAATTTAGAAATATCATGTTATTTGTTAATTATAACAAATTTGGTCCTTAATTTTTTTATTGTTATAAATTTTGTTTTGAATATTCTTATTTTAATTTTACCCCTTGGAATTTGATTTTTATATTAACTTTGATTTTTATTTTTTATGATTGTTGTTTATTTTTCTCTTATTATTTTTTTAATTGAAATGTTTTTATTTATCAAGTTTTGTCATAACTCTCCCGATTGCTATTTATTTTATTCGAAATGATTTATGAAATTGAATTATTATTATTTTAATTTTATCATCTTATAATTTTTTTTACTTGGTAGATCTGATCTTTATTATTTTGATTATTTTTTATTTTATCTGGGATAATTTATGAAATTAGTTTTTTTTCAATTTTATTCTCATTTAATTTTTTAATCTGTAAAGTTTGATCCTTGTTATTTTAATAAACTTAAAAAAATATCAATAAGTTATTTTTCAGTTTATTTTCTATGACATAACCAAATATCAAAAAATATTTTTCCAACTTATTTTTCATGACACTACTTAATATTAAAAATAATTCACTATTCTAAAAATTCACTTTTTAAAAGAAAATTACTTTCTAGTAAAAAAAAAAAACTAGATTAGTATTGAATTTTAAAACAGAGGAATGACAAAAAAAAAATCCCCCTCTCAAAATTAAGGACGAGGAAAGAATATTTTTAAAAGACTGGACTTAGATTTACTATTATATTTAGTATATATTTTTTATGTAAATACCATACCAGGAGTGGGTTAATTTTTTAATATAAATAAGATCTTCAAATGATAATTAAAAAAAAATCAGATTAACTTGATTAACTTGTTATTTGAGATAATTTATAAAAACATAAAAAATAAAAAATTCAAATCCAATAATCTAATATCAAATAATAAAATAATAAAATAAATTAAATCAAGTTAATTTTTAAAAATATAAATTTTGTTGGATCTACAGGCCGGGCTGGGCTTACAATAATGACTGCTTCACAAATACAACCATAAACACTGCCCGCTCCCCCACCGTTATCTTGTTCAGACGACAATTTCATCGTGACTTACAACATCACTCCTACTGTTACAACCAACTACCATCCAAAACAGAAAGTTTGTGCTGTGTTATTGATTTGATTGCCCTTCACTCTTCTTCCGACGCGATTAAAGTGATTGCTGGGCAACAAAAGCAGTTATGGCCGGTATGTACAGAATCTTCCTAATCTTTCTTACAAAGCTTTACGAGAATGTTTTTTAATAATTTTAATATGTTACGTTCTAAATATATTTTATATTTTATATTTTTTAATGTTTTTTTTTTAAATTAAAAAACATTCCACGCATTGCTAAACACATATTTGCTGGCGTCACAGACCATGGCGAAAGTCCTGCATGAATAATTATTGCTTGGCCTATGGGTCGGTGATGTGAGGATGAGCTAGCTAGAATATGTCTGGATCATCATTCTTCTTGTTCAGAGCGAGACTTGCAGTTTATTTTTGTCCTTTTGAAAGTATTTTTTTAAATAATTTTTTATATTTTATATTTTTATATATTTTTAGATTATTTTAATATGTTAATATAAAATAATATTTTTTTAAATATTATTTCAATATATTTATAAATAAAAATTATTTTTTAAAAAAATTCCCATCACAATACTAAACAAGTCACAAAGCTATTAGATTTTAAAATTGTTTTAGTAAATTTTTAAAGTGCTTTTAAAAATATATTATTTTTTAAATATTTTTTTACATTCGAATATAAAAACTATCCAAAATTATAAAAAAATATTTTTTAAAAAAATTAAAAATTTTCAAAAGTATTTTTTGAATGAAAAACAAATTCATTCACTGAGTGCATATTTAATGTCGTGTTTATATATATATATATATTAATTTTTTTTTATATATATATTTTATCTCAACAAGCTATTAATAATGAAAGTGAGCATTTATGCGACTAGCGTCGAATGACTAGAGTTTGCGGATTATGGGTTATAGATAGTGCAGCACCTGATACTGTTTCTTTCCCCGAGGACGCGAATTTCTGCTGACAGGATTGGGTCTTTCCCCCACCCTTTTCCGTGCCAATCACCAATTAAGCTCTTCTTCGGAGCACAAGGTTCGATGGCATTCTGAACGTTTCTTTGCTCAAAATAACAGAAGGCATCGTATAAAGTTCGTTTGTACTGTGATACCATCTGTTGAACGAAGTTTTTTTTTTTTTTTTTAAAAAAATATTTTTAAAATTCATTTGTAATATTAACACACCAAAATAATTTATAAACACAAATAAAACATTTATTTGAAGAAAAAAAATATTTTTTTAAAAACAATTTAGAAATTCAAAAATAAACATATTTATAATGTATTTAGCAGCCATGGATTGATTGTTATGTACATGGCATGGGGGACCAAAAATTTCTTAAATGTAAAAGTAATTGTATGGGTCTAAAAAGATTCCTTAGCAATATTGTTATTGAATTTAAAATATAGTTGTTTTGATTTTTTTTTTCATATCAACATAATTTTTTTAAATATATTTCTTGTTTATCTTAATAACTACAAGTTTTACTAATCTAATGGGTCGAACCAAGATACTCAGCTCGTATACACAAGCCAAACCAAGTTATAACATAAATTTGTTATGAAAACAATATACAAACATATCAATCTAACCAATTGTTTGTACAGCAACTTACTAGTTATTTGGATACTGGGATCATAAAACCCTCAAACCGCCAAGAGTCACCAGAATGCTCTGAATGGTAAACAGGGAACAACATAGACCTCACACTCGAAACACTAGCCCTAGATGATAGCCTTTTTGAACCTTTTGTTCATTTTTTGTTTTTTACTTTTTATTAGTAAAATAATGTGTTATCATATTTTATCAATATGTTTAGAACAATTTTAAATTTTAATATATAATCACTATGAACCACATGTTAACAAGCATTTTCAATTTTTGGTTTTTGCTTTTCAATAGTCTCTGAAAATATTTAAAAATATTTAATTTTTTATTTGTTTTAAATTAATATATTTTTTAATATTTTTAAATCATTTTAATACATAAATATCAAAAATAACTTTTTTAAAATAAAAAAAATATAATTTTAACATATTTCTGAATAAAAATATTTTTAAAAACAACAACAGTTACTATCCATTCCCAAACATGCTCAATCAAAAGCTACAACCATACTTCAAGCGAGCAACAGGGCATCGCATAGGTGAAAACGCTTGAAAATGAGAGAATTATGATGGCTGTTTGGTTCCATCCAATCCAATGACATTACAAGAAAACTGGTTACAATTACAATGACAACGATGCCTGAACTCGACACCGACTTGACATTCTTGAAGCGAAATACAACATGTAGTTAAGACAAGCTGAAAGAGCAGCTGCATCAAAGAAGGCGACAGCAGCTGTGATAATCGCCATAAAATCCCTCAAACTAATAAGATGTGAACTGCAAATGTCCCAAGCCTGATCCGTTAAAAATAGCAGCGAATGAAAGCATAGCAGAAGATAAAGGGAATGACGAGCTAGACTACTGAAAATAAAAAATGTGATCACCGTTAGTTTTGCTTTCTTTTAGAACTGTGGGAACTATGATGAGTACACTTGAAATCTGATTTAGGTTTTAGCATATCTACATGGAAAAATGCATTCTAATGATAGCATAACAAAATTATGCACCATGAAAAAATCCAAGAAATAAGATGGGAGGATTCCGCTACGTGATAATTCAACCACCCATCCCTTCTTACGCCCAGCAAACTTCAGGAGACGATGTTCAGAGACATTTATAACGTGGGAGTAACATCTGCCAAAAGCAATTTTAGAGTCTCATATGTTGTAAAACAGATACTGACACCAGGCACAACCTTGTAGTATTCAGGCATAATGCCTCTGTATAGACCCCGGAAACCCTCAGTCTGGATTATTTGCTTGAATATACCAAGAAGACCTGTGGTATAAACAGGAGCCCGTCCACCTGCTCCTTCCAATTGCTTCCTTCGTCTCACAAGATCAAGCGGAAATGTTGCTGCATATTCCAAGAACGATAGGGGACAAAAAAAAAAACATTATCCGTACACAATAAGACATGCTTTTTACTAGTATCAGATTTTATCAAACATCATGAGAACCTCTTGAGTCTCGTATGTTCATTTTTTTTTCTTCATTCATAATTGGAAAAATCAATCATGCAGGAAAAGAAAATAGAAGCATTAGAAAGGACAACAATGTGTTGCAAGGTATTTAATACAAGAAAAAAAAAATTCAAACAGCTTGCACTATCAATTTAAACTTTGAGCACACATGATGCACGTGCATGACCACTACTTTTAAAAAACTTTCACTAGTCTTTGTTGATAAATCAAAGGGGAAAAGAAAATCGGCAACATGCATATCTGATAGAAACCAATAGACAGTGTCCTGACAACTGAATCACGAGGCTTAAGGATTCCAATAACCATTGTTACAGTCGGCAAAGGAAGCCTAGGTGAGAAGCATGCCTCAACGAGGATACCTCTCACAACTGGTAACTGAGAGAACAGCACTAGTTCACCTGGGAGAAGTGCCATTCTATTATGCAATCAACTGCAATGCTTGGGGAGAAAAGTTATCAAAGAAATGTTTGAGAGATAAGGTTAATGCAGGAAAGTTTCTCACATAGAAAATAATCTTAGATGAATGGCAAAAAAAACATATTTTTATTGACTTCCTTGCTAAAATTTCAAATGCAAGTTATAAAACAATGCCGTCTGGTCTCTGGTTCTAGGGGTCAGTCTGTTTAGATACTTAATTCAAAGCCTGCAACACACCCTGCTTCACTGCATGCAAACAGCTACACGTATTAACTTCTGATTAGATATTGCAATATTCCAATCAAAAAAGTTAAGCAGTTCAACCAAAAGCTTTATTCAACACTGCTTATCTACTAATAAAAATTTGGCACAGCCAGGGAAGTTCTGGGAGAAGTGAAAATGATAAGGTGACCTTAACATCTCCCGATCCTGTGTTTTATGGGAAGATAGGAAACAAAGATCATACAAAATGGCCAACCATTGAAGATGTATGGATGAAAAAAAGGACACCTACACCATGAATATGTGAGCAATAACAGCACAGGAGAGAATACTAGAACCATGCATTATAGTTGAAAAAAAACCTGGGCTTCAACAAAAGCCATGCCTCACTTGTGTAACAAAAAAAATCTAAATTTTGAAAAGAGCATTCATTTAGCAGGTTTCAGCACTACCTGTTGAAGATGCAATGCCTGAAAGACTACCACAAGCCAAACTCACAGCAACAGTAGAATCATGGGGCCTGGTTTGATTTAGGAAAAAAATTGACTTAATTGGACATACAAATTGCACATAGCATGGCTTGAAGAAACAAGTGAGATCATACTGCTGAATCAACAGGTGAGCTTACCTGCGGGACTGCCAAAAAGATCGTAAGCTCTCATAGACTGAAAAATTGATAGCTATACTGGGTCCAACACCCTACATTAATGTTCAATCACAGTTAACCACAAATCAAAATGTTGGAACCATCAAGCATAAATTCTGATCTGATCATAACCAATAGAAACACACCAAAAGGGTGGCTCCAAGTCCCTTGTAGAGGCCAAAAACACCCTCTTCTCTGCTAATTGTTTGCAAGGCATGCCAAATACCTCTGTAATAGATCACATTTGTCTACAAAATAGGAAACTACAAGAATTAATGAAGAAGCAGCTTTCACACGATACCAGTCACACAACAAGTTTAAAAGCAGAAAATACAAAATTGGAAAATGACATTGCACTCTAGATATAAACTAATTGAGAATATAAATCATTAACACAAGTCATAACTACGATCATCTGCTTAAAGGAAGAAATCCATGGGCAACAACTACAATCCTAGTCAAGAGATGAATTACCATAAATCACAGACTAAGTGATATGAACTGAATAAAACAAACCAATAGAAACGATCCTTTTCTATTATTCAGAAACAGAGAGTCAACATTAATTGAATTTTGACCATGAAAAGCGACAAAGGTAGAGCTCCACATCAGTGGCACGCGTTAAATTTACACTTTATAGTGCCCACTACATTTTACCATGCAACCAGTATAACACGAGCAAAAAACTAATCTTCAGACAACTACTTGTTTTGGTTACTCAAGTTGATGACAGTCAAAATTAACAATGGTCTAAATGTTGGAACTTCTTGATCTTCAAAAGAGGTCAACAACAAATACCATGACTACAAACAGAGGGCATGCCCCATCAGCCAAGGGTTTAAATATGAAACTTATGAATATGTTTAGATGCACATCTAGTGTTTGATTACAAAAGAAAAATATGACTGCATAGGAGGCACAAAAAATGCTTGGCATTCTACTCATAAAACCTCACATTGACGTGCTCAAAGACAGGAGCAAATGAGGAGAACATACTTCGATGCATAATGGAAGATAGTCATAGCAAAATTATCTTCCCAAGGCTATACCTGAGCTGCAAGGCGTGTCCTCACAAGATCCAATGGATATGTAGCAGATGCTGCTGTTATTCCTGCCAAACCACCACCAACAAAATGGACGAACAGGTTTACACCTGCACTTTCTCTATGGATTTCCAGGCCAGGAATCATATGTAGAAACTACATAGCAACTATACATAATCAAAATCAAGCTACTAGGACATAGAGGCACAAAAACTAAATTGGAGGTGGTTTAGAACTACAGAACAAAAATGATTCATACAGTGTTTATGCAAACCTGTTTGTAGCGCTCGTATGCATAGAAATTGACAGACGAGTAAGGTAGCCGATGAGCAATTGTAACAAGATTCCCTTTCCAAAGAGCTCTAAATCCTTCCTCTCTGATAACTCGGGAAGCCTCATGCCATATGCTAGCTTTCCTCAATGTCGCAACATCTGAGTGCATGCCTTGCACCTACAAAGATAACGCCACATAAAAATGATGCCCAACACAATGTACAGCGTCACCAACAATTTTCATCATTCCATAGATGCTAATCCAAAATTTCCAAATCCTTAATTGGTAGTAGTCCAATAAAATCCATAATAGTTTGCTTTACCAATTCAATTAAAGTAGATGCAACCGCTGATGGACAAAAACCGCATCCTTAATCCAAAGAACCAACATTCCTCAGCACAAATACAATCAAACCCATCATACAATAACACAGAAACTCAATTAACAACATCAAACAGCTTAACAACCAGCACAAAGAAAACAAAGAGAAATACTAAAATGGGAAAAACTAACCTGAAAGAGTATAGTGAGGCGTGCAAGAGGTGCAGTGCAAGTCTTGCTTAGTGCACCCGCAACTCCACCAGCTACAAGCTGCGAAATTGTCCCGATCTGTGATTGCTGATACTGTTGCTGCAATGGCTTGTGCTGTTTCGGCTGTGAATTTAGAGCCCTTGGTCCTCCCTCTACTACCACTCCCACTCTTGCCTCTGTCTGCATCCCTCGATAACTCCCTTTCTCCCTTCAAAATTGGATCTTTATCTCAAACATCAAAAACCCAACTTCTTTTTCCCTAAAAAAGAACCCAACTTTACTTCACTAATCAACACAAAAATTGAAACCCATAATTATTTCTGAAAAGAAACAAGAAAATCTTTCCCGCAACCCTCGAGATAGCTTCTTCTTGTTGTTGTAAAGCTAAAGCTCAAGGGCCCTTCTTTACCTTTGCTGTGCTCTCCGTTTTTGAGAAAAACAAGTGGTGTACACCTTTAAAGAGACTCCAAAATTAGACGCACTCGTTTTTAAATTTATCAAACAGTCGCCGCGACATCAAAGCTACGTCGTTTTAGTTTTGTTTCGTTTCCGCCTGCACTCAGTTTTATCACAGCACGACAGTTTTAGCCGCTGATATATTACAGCACCATAGTGAATGTCTGATTGTTGACTTTTTATTTTGATGATGCAATTTAATTGGCTGACGTGAACTGATTTTATGATGATAGGGTAGAATGGAAAGTATTGAAGTTTTTCGATGTTGATGGAATAATAAGGATTTAATTTATGGGGTATCGAATATTCTTGCAAGTTTAAGCTTCAATGTCTTTAGCCGTAAATCCAGCCATTTGACAGATGTGAGGGCTTAGCGTGGTCAGTTAATCATTGTTCCATTGAAAAACTGACGCGTGGCTTTCCCTCCTGTAACTATTTAATTGTTTTTCTTGCTTGCAAAATATTTCACCGACCAAATTCCACGCATGTGATTTATCGGTGCTCTTGTAAATCACACTACAATTTCCTTGCTGGCTGCTTTGTCAGTTTGCTCCCCAATTTTTCACAATTCAACAAATCAGTCACACATCGTTTTTTAGTTCTTGCTTGGGGCCTGATCGGAAGTGTGATATATATTATATTTTAAAGGTTTTTTTCTAAAAAATATATTAAAATAATATATATATATATTAAAAAATTTATTTTAACATTAACCCATTAAAACTACTTAAAAAATATTTAAAAAATTAATTTAAAATAAAAAATTAATTTTTTTAAAAAATAACTTCAATGTACACTTAAACACTCTTAAAGTGTTTTAAAGACATATAAACAAATTAAGTGGGGTGTTTGTGATAATAATAGTTGTTATTTTTTAAAGTATTTTTTAATTATAAATATATTAAAATAATATATTTTTATTTTTTAAAATTTATTATTAGCATCAATACATTAAAAAAAATTAAAATTAAAAAAATAAAAAAATTTAAAACACCGATACTCGCTTCCAAATATCTTCTGGTTGTGCACCGACACTCTGAGAAGAACGCATTCATAAAAGATTTCTTCATAATTCTATGTCAGAACTCGGCAGCGAAATTAAATATAATGGTAGTATTTTACTTCGACCAATGCATTCATGATTTTATTAATCTTATTCTCGGGATTAATTACCTAAATTGTGTAAACTCACTTTCTTCAAAGGTTTATATCAACAATTAAACAACAGCACATACGTTAACTAGTTAAAATCACCCTGAATTTTCACCTGTCAGGAGACGGTTCTTAATCTTTTTTTATTCCTTCTAACAAATTTGACAGCAAGTGCGGTCACGTGACCGTGTAGAAATGTAGAACGTTGAGGCCATCATCCTGTATTTGCAATTGGCGGAAAAGAAGACCAGCAGCATTCTGTCATGAAAATGACCCGAAGTTCATTTTCTTCTTCCATGCGCCATTCCTATCCAAATTAACCATCCCCTCATTTTCTTTTATTCGAATACATCGGCTAGACAAATAATGTGCTGGTTTTGGGCAATGATGGATGCTTGTCACCTTAATCACCTTCATCCACCAATGGACATGGCACCGAGCTACTTGAAAAATTTGTGCATGAATGCTCCACTAGGAACTGTGAAAATGACTGAAAGTTCAAAGAAATCTAATGCAAATATCAAAAAGCAACAGTTGATCTTGTGTACCGAACATTTCCTACTCTACTGATCACTTGATAAAAAGAGGTTGCCTGATTCATATTATTACATCACGGACAGTCCATTATATTCAGGCACAACGAAGCAAACTTCAGCTTGCAGCCGATGCAGCATCTGACTCCTCTAGTCTTTCTCAAAATGCTGCTTTTGTAGTTCAAAAGCTGTTCCTGGAGCTGAATCCATCATGTTAATCATTTCCAGGTTGACATGGTGAGGTATGCTCATAGGGAGAGGCCACGATTGATCAGTGCGATTATTCTGTGGAAGACCCAATGCCAATGAAACACCTTTGCTTCCACTAACACCAGCAGAGTGGTAATTACCTGACAAATTGTTGACACAAATATTTCTTTGCTCCTGTCTCTGCTTAGATACATCAGGAAGTTCATTTCGGAGGCGTTTAGTTTGGTATGCGTTCTGGAGTTGAGTTGACCGGGGCTGTTTCTCAAGAGGCAAGTCAGATGCAATGTTGGCACTCTGACTGACCGTGTCAAATGGGGCTTGAGTTTGCTGTGATTCAAGCATGTGTACTTCTTCCACCATTGGCTTCCAAAGTCTAACTCTTGCGTTTATAAACCAATTAGAAACCTGCATGGACAGAGATTGAAGCTATATTAACTAACATTGTTGTCTTTTAGGTTGATTCTTGTTGCCACAGAACAGCCCATGACAAGAAATAGGCGGTCATATGAACACCCATCCAGCTTAAAATAAACATTCATGCATAAACATAGACATTCTTTAAGGCATATCCGAAGACAATAATTCTCAGGGTGTAAAAATCCAGTGATTAGAACAATGTTAAAAAAACAAGATATGAAGTGGAAAAGGCACACCTGAGTCCTCGATAGACCTGTCTGCTGAGCCAAGGCTTGCTTTTCCGAGTCTGTAGGGTAGCTGGAAAGTTTAAAAACCACTTAAATAAACATCAGTATTTAGAAGCCAAGATTCTTGCATAGTAAAAGAGCTCCTGGAGTTCTTCAAACACTTACGGGTGTAGAAAGTGTTCAAACAACCATGTCTTAAGCACAGCGACAGCATGATCAGGAAGTCCTCTTTGAGATCGCCAAACAGGATGTTGAATGAAGTTCAAGTTCAGAGTTGGATTTTGGTTTCTAAGGCCTTGTTCAGTTGTTCCATGTCTAGGATTTTTTTCCTTAGTGACACTGCTATCATCAAAGTTTTTTCCTGTGAACTGAATTTTATCCAAAAGGGCATTCTTCAAGCTAGTAAAGTGCTTCAAAACAATTTTGACTGCATAACAAACATAAGGAGCTGCATTTCCAAGACCAGCAACAGTTTCAAATGATGCAACAACTGACTGCATTTGTTGGCAATATAGTTTGTATCTCCTGTATACCTAATGGAGATTGAAAAGGAACCAAATTAAGTCCAAATCTGAAATTCATAAAGATTGTTAGCTGGTAGTTACATTCAAAGGAAAAATAAAGCAGAGCCATTAGCTAATGGATAACATCTGAGAACTTCACAGTAAGAAGTATACGTGATTATGCAGCAAAACCATCCCGTCCCAGAAGTTGTTACTATCATTTTAGTTTTGATCACCTGAGGCCGAGATGGCAGCATCATTCGTTTAATTTTATCTGTGATCACATCTATGCCACTCTCAAAGATTCATCTTAAAACTCTCCAGTCGCTACTGTGGTGATTCAAAATGCAGTATTAAATACCTTCTGCTTTTAACTTCAAAGAAAAAAAAATAAAAACAAAAACAAAAAGGCAGTTTCAAATCACTAAACAAATTGGTTCAAATACACACACACACACACACACACTAAGCAAACCCTTAATTCTATTTATTGTCCCTCAATTAGTATTTTTATGGTTCAAAAACAAAAGAAAACAAAATTCTCTCTCGAATTTATTTGCAAGAGGATCGAGTCGGGGAAAACCACGAGCAGTGATTATATTGTATGAAAAAATCGATTGCCATGCCCCCAAAATAAGAAATGGACGATTTGAAACCATTTTCTCCATACTAGCATGTGGAGAAAGACCAGATTCGTCCAATTAAGAACACTTTTCCCATTATCAAAGCCATGACAATGTGGTGGTCTTTTGTAGTTTCAGCTTAATTATCCAAGATGCCTCATTTTGGTCCATGTGCAGTAATGCCAGTTAAAGAAGAAAAGATAGCAGAACAAAATCTGAAAGAAAATAAAGCATGCAAAACAGAACAAGAAAGAAACAGTAACTTGATTCAATATGACAAGACAAGACATCTTTTTTCCATGACTACTTCAAATATCTTTTCCCGAGATACTGATTCCTTGACAGCAACAATCAAATCATTCACTCAGTCAATTAGAGATGGCAGTAACACCAATGCAATATTCCCAAGCACCCTCCATTTCATTATCTTGATCCAGATTAATAGCTGGATTTAGACTCTATTCTCAAAAAAAAAAAAAAAATTCAACCTCAAAAATGTCCTCGATACAAAGAGGAGTCAAAATATAAAATCAAAAAATGCACAGCCTATTTACCTGGCTGGTGACTATCTACTATCTTACCATGAAATGAATAGTGTACTACTATAGACAATTCACGGGCAACTTCTTGTTATTTATTTATAATAATTCTCACATGGGTCATGCACATAAAATTGATATTTTGTGGCATCTACTATTGTTAAATCTTTCTAGGTCTGTAATCTCCAGTTTATTAAAACTTTTAATTCTTTTAGAAAAAGTTAAATCAATAATTAATCTTCACCACGAGAACGTAGTGAGCCGAGCTAATATGGGAGTCTAGATGATTTTCAAACAGAAATACACATAATCAAAGAGGATTCTCCAAAACATATTTCCTGAATAAACAGATAGTATAGAAAGCAGAGAAAGTTTTGGCTAATCTTTGATTAATTGTTATATGAATTTGAATCTGAGATTTTTTTTTTAATTTCTGTTCATTAAGCTAAGCTCTGCAGCGAAACCTGCCAAAGAAAAGATAAATAAAGAAACGATAGAGAGTACTAAAGGGTGAAACAAATTTACCTCATCCAGCATCAATATTAGCTTTGAATTCTTGCATTGATGATCTACCCGATCACTTAAAAAAGCAATTTTTTCTCTCGTAATTTCACTTTCGTTCAAACCATCCAAAGGAAAGTTTGCATTCGCACAATTAATCATACCACAAATATCGTCCAAAATCTGCTGCGCAGGTTTCAAGAACCTGGAGGTCTTCAATATTGAAGCGTAGCCAGTAAAAGGACCGAAAGGGACTACAGAGCTTTTCATTTCACCATTCTGCTTCAAGGAATCGCCTGAAACTGAAACGGCATTGTGTCTTTGGTTATCGAGTTGAAACGAAAGAGACAAGGATAAACCCTGGCTAGATAAGGGCTGGTAGTTCATGTCTTTGAGGGTTTGAAGTGAAAAGAACGAAGAAGATTGTGAAGGGCTCGTCAAAGCCTGTCTAGAGAATAATGGGTTTGGTGGGTTTTGCTGTTCTTGGTTGGTTTGAGTGGTGACACGAAGCTTGTTTTTTCTGTTTTGTTGCGGGACATGGAAGTGTTCAAAGTTTTGTGCCATGAATATATACTCTATGAAATGCTTTTGAGCGAGAGAGAGTTCAACGAAAGTGAAAGTGAAGTGGTGGTGATGATGATTGATGAAGAGAAGGACGGGTGATGATATAATGATTAAATTTTTCTGCGGCATGCAGAATGGTGGCAGTGGGGTAGCAGAGAGACCAGACTCTACGACTTGACCTGAAAAATTGTTCGGGGGGGGGGGGGGGGGGGGGGGTGTGTGGTTTGATGCAGGAAGATAAGATTAAAAAAGAATAAAAAAACCTATTAAAATCACCCCATCTATTTATTTTAGATTTTCATGGAGATAGTGATATGAGTTGTTAATTTTTTTGAAAAAAATTAAGAGTTATTCTTCTATTTTTTTTAGAGAAACTATAAAGTTAAAGAGAAGTTTTAAGTATATTTTATAAGAAAATATTTTATTTTTTTTATTCCATGTAAAATACAATTTTTTTTTCTTTGGAGTACCAATAAAAAAAATAAATCTATATGGGATATACATCATTCGCTCTTTCTTTCAAATACCATTTGTCATGTTCCTAGGATGGAACGACGACGGATTTAAAAATGTAGAAAAACCTTTAATGCCCAGTCCAAGGAGCATCCAACTCTTTAAAAAAAAAAGGTTATTTACTACGTGAATATTTATAGAGCCTTTGGTAAATGGGTTATTTCCTTCTTTTTTTTTTAATTTTTTTTGTTTTAATGGTCGATGATAATGATAGTATCGTGTGTTATTTTAGGTAATTATAAATACATTTAAAATGATGAAACTTTTAAAATAATTAAAATAATAGGTGAAAATGTATTTATTTAAAATTTATGAAAAAACATGGATGTATTATATATTATACATGTGATTTATATATCAAATCATTTCTGTATTTAATAAGTATTTTCAACGATTAAAGTTGTAAGATATTTTTTAGCATGGAAGAAAGTTCTTACCAGTAGACATATTTGATTGGGTAAAACGGGGCATGACCTATTGCTTAAACTTTTGGTCGCCAACCACCGACCTTTATGTGCTGGAGCTCTAAAAAGGTGTAGCTAGTGAGTGGGCGTGGCGTTTGAACGGGCTCAATATATTTTCACAAAAATACATTCTGGGATTAGAAAAGAATAAAATTTTTATTTTTAAATGATTTTTTTAAATTTTAATATTAATATATTAAAATTATCTAAAATAACTTTAAAAAGGGCATCAAATTAATATTTTTTTAATTGAAAGTCACCTTGAAAAAGTATTTTCAAACCTAGCTAAAACTAAATTACAAACACAACATAAAAATTATAACGACGTAATTATGATTTTAAATATGATTTGGATATAGAGATAACAATGAGTCGCATATAAAGTGGGTATAAGTACAATTTAAATGATAAATATTCATTTAGTATCCTCATGATTATTGTAGTATGGATAAAAAAAAATATATGCATACCACTTGTTTGACTTATCCAATTAGGTATCCACTTTATATCATGTGAAGACAATCTAATTTTTTTTTAAATAAACATTTTGATTTGTGGGATCTAATTGCAAGAAAATATAACATAGGACTAAAAATGTAAAGCTAGTTTTCAGACTCCAGCATGTTTCAGTTGTTAATTAGACAAAAAAAAAAAAAAATTGTTAACAAGAGCTTCTTTTGATTTTTTAATGTTTTTTTGTTAAGAGCTTCTTTTGATTTTTTAATGTTTTTATGCGCCTGGAGTTTTTTTTATAAAGAAAATCAATAAAAAACAAAACGGAGGATAAAGTTCTAAAAAACTTATTTTTAAAGTAAAAATTCAATCTTTTTATATTATTTAGTTTATTTAATTTAAAAATATTCAACACCACATATTATACCCAGGTTTACAATTACACAAACCTCAATCACAAAAAAAAAAAAACCTTGAAACGAAAAGCTCCAAGTATACCAACAAACCCCCTGATCTCTCTGAGCTTCACTTTTGATGTCTGGTTCCTCAAATTGTTCTTTTAGAACAAGGAAAGAATGATTCTAGCAGTTTATGTACATGCAGAGCACGTTTGATTTTGTAATAATAATAATTTTTTAAAATATTTTTTTATTTAAAATATTAAATAATATTTTTTTATTTTTTCAAATTTATTTTTAATATAATACATCAAATGATTCGAAAATATAAAGAAAAATAATTTAAAATAAAATTAAACAACTCGTACTCTACAGGTTAAATAACATCCTTGACTTTGTCAAAATTAATTAACCTGCCTATAAAACCCTTTTATTTTCCAACAGTAAATCTTACACTCATGCCTTATAGGGAATGGATCTTTTCGTCATTTTCTTACCGGTTACAAGTTCAGGGAATATTCAACACGCCAAGAACAAATGGATAACCAAAAAAAAAAAATGCGGGTTGCAAGCAACAATTTTTAGTCTTTCTGGCATATTCCACACAATTTACATTCCAATAAATTCAGGGCATCAACTCCATCCCATCATCCTTGTTCAAATTAGTCGCAGCCAACCTTCTCTGCACAGTTTTGTAAGTATACCTCCTCGCAAAGAGCACATAAACAAATATATTCACGGAATTGATGGCTGCCAAAAGCCAGTAAAATTTGTCCAAGCGACTGGAGTTCAGGTCCTTGCCAATCCAACCTTTGCCATCTTTCTCTGTAATATGATCCACGGTGGTTATTAGAAAGCTACTTAAAAAGTTCCCAGCTCCAAGCACACTAAGAAAAAAAGCCATGCCCAAACTTCTCATTGAATCTGGAACTTGGTCATAAAAAAACTCTTGCAGGCCAACCAAAGTGAACCCATCTCCCAGGCCGAGAATCAAGAATTGGGGTGCCAGCCAGAACACGCTCATTGGCAATTCCACATTTTTCTCTCCGGCTAGCACATTAATATCCTCTTCGGCAATCTTTTGTCTCTTCCTTTCAACCAAGGCTGCAACCGACATGGATGCTACGGAAAAAATCATGCCACTACCAATTCTTTTGAGGATACTAATGCCTCTTTCATTGCCAGTAGCTCTCCTTAAAAATGGAACAAGAATTTTGTCGTAGATGACCACAGAGATAATCATCCCGACGGCCGAGAGAGAGAAAATGGAGGCTGGTGGGATCTCAAAATTGTGACCTATCTTTCTGTTGAGCGTAGCTCCTTGTTTAACAAAGAATGTTGCTGTTTGTACCACACATAATCCAAATGGTAATGAAGTTAACCATATAGGAATTATGTTCAGAACAAGCTTCATCTCCTCTACTTTTGTCACTGTTGCTAGTCTCCAAGGGTTATGTTTCACCTCATTTGAAACTTCCTCCTCTTCAAGCACAGCAGCTTTATCTAGAAACCTGTGAACCAAAAGCGAAAATCAATAAACTTCGTTTGATAACTTGGCGCTTAACGAGGATAATAACACGTCTGTTCTGTGCGAGGACTTTTTTCTTTTGCTAGAAGTCTACATTTAAAAGAGCATGATCCTCAACTGGAAAGGCTGGAGCTCATTGTAATTAGATATTTAACTAAAGAATTTAACGTGCTATGCTGGAAGAGAATCTTGGATCGCAGGAAAATTTTCTTACGTGAGCCTGTCTGTGTGTCCTAAAAGTCTGCCTTGGATTTTATAACTGGGGACTTCATATAGAAGAGCAGGATTAGAAGGAGAAGGTAATGTTCTCTTCCTTACAGCTGCAACCAAAACCTGCAACATGGATGTCAAACCACTCCCTTCTGGTAACCTGTATCGGTAATAAGGCTTTCCCATATAGAATGTTGCTACAGTAACAGCCATTGTAATAGTGAGAATAAGGATTGCAACACCCCAGCTGATGTTGTCTTCGATGTAAACTATTACTGTTACTCCAAGCACGAGGCCGCAACAAAGTGCAATGTTCCACCAATTGAAGTAAGACAGCTTCTTCTTCCTTTCTTCAGCGTGATCATCATCGAACTGATCAGCACCGAAGCTCTGGAGGCATGGCTTGTGACCTCCTGTTCCAAGGGAGATGGAATACATAGCAAGGAAAAAAACCACTTCATGGATCTTTCTCGCCTTTTCACACTCCCCTACATCGCATGGTTGTAGACTTGGAATGAACTGGGACATCGTCAAGAGGCTCAGACCCTAGTTTGGACATTACATTAACGCTTTCAAACATTATAAAGGGCCTTGAGGCATTAATCGAGAGTCGAAGTAAATTTTTCTTGTTCGGAAAGACAAGAAGAAGAAAAAAGGGAAATGAAATGAAATGACATATATGTATACCAAAAGATATACGAGGGATGACAGCAGGACCATTGAAAACCGGCCTGTGTAGGCATCAGCTAGGAACCCTCCAAACAAGGGCATCATTGTTGTTACTCCTGCCCAATAGTTCACACTCTTTGCTGCTGTTTTGAGGTCTTGATGGATCACTTTGGTGAGGTATGAGATGAGATTGGCAGTTATTCCGAAGTTGCTAAGCCTCTCACTAAACTCAATTGCTGCATCAAAATTTACTCAATTTCACATAATCAATACACACACATTCGCGTACATATAAACATACATACAACAGTTAAAACAAGACGGCCACTGATGATTTGAGACGAGTTCTTACCTGGGATGGTTTATGATTCTTTTGTTCGACACTTCACTTTCATTCTTAATCAACATAGTCTGCGGCACTACTATTTTACAAGGCGAAAACCTTACCACTTAGATCTTACCAGTTTTTTCATCACAACTTGACAACAAAAACATTCATGTAGCTTTCTTCATGGATGGAGCGCCTTTGTCAAAGGAAGGCGCACACTTACCGAATTGAGGATGGAACAATTTAACCCTCCCTACCTTAATTATATGATACATTGGATCTCTGCAAATAAAAAAAGGTGTTCCTTCTTATCCTACAACGTTAATCCTTAATATAACCAACTGGTTTTTTTAAAAAAATCAGTTTAACCCCTGATTAAGGGAAAAAAAAGAGAGAGATAAAACTTGTTTTCTTTCATTCTTAGGGGAGTATATTCTTGACATTTTAGTTCTTGTCTCTACAGAAAAATTCATAGCTCTCCAAAGATTTCTATTTAGTAACGTGGAGATGAATCCACGTGGAAAGAGTTGTAATACTACTATAGTTGACCATTGACTTCAGTCTTCATGAAAAAAGGCAACAGTGTTTAGAATTAAGCACAGATGAAATATGTTGCAAAGAATTCAGCTCTGTTGAGTACTTAAGCAAACCGAAGAACAAGTTTCTTAATAGCACTGCCATGAACAAATAAATTACACTTACTGATGATAAAAAGAGAGGCTGTCCAGACTCCAGTTGAACTTCGAAGAGGAACTCTTCCCTTATAATCGACGGAAGAATCATGAACCCATTTCTCCTCCTCGTCTGATTCTTTAGCTTCACGTCCTACTTTCCTGTTCTCCGGTTGCTCCATCTAGCCAACCAGGTGTAAGGAAGACCTAAAACAGTTGGAAAGTTAACAGAGACGAATATTTTCTAGAAAGGGAGTCGGAGTGTTTTGTGACAAGCTGATGGCTAGCTTTACTCGATTTTTACACTTGAGTTTTCATGAAAGTTTTCATATTGTTGTTAGTTAAAAGATCTAAATCATTAATGGAGTGGTTTAAAATTAAACACCACCACACTTGACTTCAGTCCCTATCTCTTGGTCTAAAATTAAAGTTGAATCTATAAGCAAAAATCACCCTCCTGCATTTCCCACGTGAGAAAGGAGTGGTCATGTTGATTAACCTATTTTTAAGTGCTTAAAAAACTCTTATTATCCTTCTTTTTAAAGATACATTTAAGAAAATGAGCATGTCCTAAAAGCTTGATAATATGCCAAGCATTAAGCACAGTGGATATGGTAGTATCTAGGACTAAACACAATTGAGTTTGATTGTGCTTTGAACCTTAAAAATGCTAGGTTTGACCCTAACTAGATCCAGTCATGATTGGACACGACGATGTGCCAAACCTAGCATGTTGGGTCTAGTATTAGCTAGAGTCAGGCGCAATTGAGCTTGATAGTGTACCAAGAATCAGAAATATTGGGTTTAATGTTAGTCAGAGTCAATTATGATCGTATGATCGAGCTTGGCAGTGTGTCAAACTCTAGCAAGCCAGTTCTAACTCCAGTCAAGCTCAGACGCGATTGAGCTTGGCATTGTGCCAAGTACTAGGAACACTAGATCTAGCGCCAATCAAACCCAAACGCTTGACAATGTTCTGGGACTCAGGCTCGCTAGGCTTGACAGTACACCAAGCCCCTAACATATATGTGAGAATGCACATCCTCCCTTAGAAGACCCAAAGGAATGATCATCCTCTTTTAACATTCTAAAAGGAATACTTGAATCTGGTATCTTGCCAAGTTTATGATACTTGGACTTGGTAGTTAGCTAAGCCTATTGTTTGTGGACTTGACAATCATCAAAGTCCACAATAACGTAGGCTTAGCAAACATGCTAAACCAAGGTACTTGAATTTGGCCATCCATCAAGTTCAACACATCTGAATTTAGCAGTTAATCAAGTTTGAGGTAATCTGAGTTTAACAAGCATGCCATACTTAAGATATTTGGTTTGACATTTAGTCAAGTCCAATATAACATGGATCTAGCGAACATGTCAATTCCAATATACTTGGACTTGACAGTCAATCAAGTCCATGATAACATGGGTCTAAAAACATCATAGATTTAAGGTAACGTGTGTCTAACAAACATGCTAGTTTCAAGGTACTTGAACTTAGTAGTTAGTCAAGTTCAAGATAATATAAATATGATAAACATGCTAGAGTCCAATGTAATGTGTGTCTGACAAACATGCTAAATACAAGGTACTTAGATTTGATAGTTAGTGTAATGTGTGTATGGTAAATATGCAAGACCCAAGGTAATGACCATTCTTCTTTAGGCATGCTCTATAGAATAATCATCCTCTCTTTACACGTCTAAGAGATTGACCAACCTTCTTTGAATCTAATTTCAGAGAAGAACTCAATCTCAATGAGTTTAACTACATGTGATATTTTGGACCGTAATTTACCCATACTTTTTATGTATATAAAAGTCCTTCAGGCACCCATCATATTTCTTTCAAATATTAATATATATGTAAGATATATTTATCTCTTATTAAGTATTATTAGGATAAGATTACATTTAAGATCTCACAAAAAGACAAGACTCGTGGGTTATAAATATACCATAATATCTTTAAAATAAAGATTTACATTCTTTATTCTGTACTGTATATATATTTTAATAAATAAATAAATAAAATTATTAGAATTAAATAATTAACTAATTAGTTAAGAATCCTATTCCAAGTGTAGTTTGATTTTTGGAACTTCTCCGCGTGTTATGCCAAGTGCTGCCTATAAAGTTTTATAATTTTTAAGCACTATATTAATTAATTTAACATTGGATGTCGTTCCTGGTCCCCTACGTATATTAGGGGTTTTAACAATAAAAAGAATGGCAATAAGTCTCCCTGGGGGCAATCAATGACTAAAAAGGAACCTTGCATGTAACTTTTTATGTTGTGCATGGGGCTAGCTTTCCACTTCAGAGAGAGTTTGGGCATCCGGGAAAGCCAGGTTTCCCATTGGAATGGAAAAGTATCTTTCTTTTTATTATTATTATTATTAGTATAAATATTCAACTACTTTATATATATCTTACCGGATCTTATAAATTCTAAAATTAATATTTATATAAATTTTTAATAACTCTAAAATTTATAAAATTTAAATTAATAATTTTTTAAAAATAAATTTAAAATTTAACCAGTTATATTAAAAAAATCATTATTAATCTAGGCTTGTGGGTCACTGCGATAACAATATTATAAATAGTTGCTAAAATTCACATGCCAGCATCTAATTCGAGTGAAGACGTTACTAATTAAATAATGTGAACGGGGTTAACTTTTTTCTTAAAGTAAAAGTGAGGAGAGGGACATGTAGCTGTGGAGAGCAGATTAAAGAGCTATGGACAGTATAATTCCATAAATATAAATTAAGAAACAATTGCTGTCCACTTGTCCTCTTGGATACCTATTCAAGCAAGATATCCCTTTCTTCAGCGTCACTGGGCTCGAATCATATCGGTGATTTGATGATTGATTTGGGACGGCATTAAATATCAAAACTACGAAGACTTGGGCAAAATGATGGAACCTTATCAGAGATAATTACACTGGGTGGCATGCGATCAATATTACCAGAGTTTATATATTTCTTCACTTTGCCACGTGTCTATCCCTCAGTACAACTTTTTTCCCCGCCAAATGCCACCATAGTCTTAATTCATAGATTAATCTTGAATTTTCTTTTTTAATAAGATTCCACTAACTCTCCTATCAACTCAAGTAATCCATTCGTTAAGCGTACTAATAAACAGGTTTAATTCTTAGTTGTTCACCATAATGTTGGCGTAGATTTTCATTTGAAGACCTCCACTTGGTTTTTTTCCCTCTAGGACTTTGTGTTGGAATTTGTTTTATAAATCATGGTTAATTGATGTATTTGATATCAAAATTAAAGTGGAGTATATTTACTCTTATGATTACAATTTTATTGGAATTTTTTTTTAATAAAAGTTTTTTAACATAATAATTTTTTTTATATGTAACATTAATATATGATTAAAATAAATTATATTTTTTTTAATAAAAGTTTTTTTAACATTAATATATGATTAAAATAAATTATGAATGAATAAAAAATTAATATTAAATAATCTTAAATTGACATGTTTTGTTAAATTCAAATCTTTTATTCCATGAAGTTATAATAATTTTTTTATTGTTTATATAATAAAAAGTTGAAAGGTTATAAATGAGTCTAAATAAAATACTGTGAGTTATACTCATGCTCAATTTAAGCTTGAATTTCATTTTAATTTTTGCTAGCATATTCTAAATTTAAATTTGAATTTATTATAAAAGAATTTATTGGCCCATAGAAGAAATCTTTTTTTCCATCTCAATTATGAATATCCATCTCATTAATGAAAGGCATGAACAATCAATCTTCTTTATACTCCTGAAGAGTTTTTGTTAAAGAAAAAACATATTGATTTTAGAGTTAACGCTGATCGTTTTTTTTTTTTATACCGGGAGAACAAAAATTAATATTGGTAATTGCAGTATAAATAGAAGTGAAATAAGAGATATTCCGAGCACTTTTTTGCTACAAATCTCTATCCTTCCTCCCTTTTGTTTTACCTTCTTTTCCTCCTTCCTAGAGCTCAGCTTCATGTCCGTTGTATAATCTTAATCTTAGTCTGAACATATTATTTTCTATGGTATTAGTTTAGAGTATTATTTTCTACTTTCCATTCTGATAAATTCAAAGCTTCCTTATGTTACATATTTCAAGGTGGATGAAAGGCAAGAGATGATATAATCTTAGCCTGACTTAAGGAATATTCTCACTTCATGGATTCCTATGGTTTCTTAATGACAGTACCAATGTCTTTGTAATTATGGATTAAAGTGGTTTAATAATAATATATGTCATGTCTATATGGTCTATGCTGCTTCGTTCGGGAATGAGCTTCTATAATTTATATCAACTTTGAGGTACAGTTGCTTCATCTAATGCAGAGTTTTAAGTATGATTTCACACAGCAGGGTTGTGCCCAAACAGAAAAAAGCTAGACTCAATGACGCCATGCTAGAAAAGTGGTGGTCAGGGCTTGGCTCCTCTCCGTTGTGCTCCCCACTCTCAAAGGCGACGGGGGATCCATTTTTGACGTGCATACCGTGGAACCCATCCTTGTCCAACGTGAAAGGGTTATGACGGGTCGGAATTTGTTAAAAAGTAAGGGTTCCACAGCCTCTGAACTTTATTTTGTTTTTGATCAATGATCAATGGTAGGACCTCTACTAACTGCACTCAGCCACGAATCAATCTCAGTGCGCATACCGGTGCAGCCCAACCAAGACGCCAGGATATATCCCCTTGGCTGTCCACCAGAAACAGCTATTTATCTGGGCTCTAAAACGCTCATAGTTGTCGGCTATAATACATCAACGCTAATCACTTTTTCAAGGTCTCCAACTCTAGCTTCTTCTTGGATGCCCTCGGAAAAAATGGAAAGGTACTGTATTTTTTCCGTGCGGAGCGTTTCGGAGCATGAACAAATCTAAGTCATGATCTAATCAACTGCTTATTATGGAGCCCAATAAAGGCCTAAAATCGTTTTTGTGGATGTTGCAATAAATGATTAAACGGCACTTTTCTAAGGTTTTTAATTTTTATTTTAAAATTATTCTCAATTAATTTTACAATGACTAATGCATTGTTTATAAAAGACAATTGTACTACCATTTGCAAGCATAACCATTATTTTTTCATAAGGGTAAAATCATAAAAACACTCCTTCAATAAATAAGAATACGTGTCTAGGAACATAGTAAATTACATTAACATCTTTTAGCATTTCTTGTAATATTTTCTTTATTTGTTTTTATTTAATTTAAAACTTTTATTTTTATCTATTTAGAGCAAGGTGATGGCCGGCTTAACTCGATTTTTATTGTTGGAGGATTTTGAGAAATTTTTTTATGTTTAAACAAGAATTAGTTGTCTTTCATAAGTTATTATGGATAGTCAAATCTTATCTTTCAAGAAATCATGATCATCAAATAATTAAATAATTAAAGAAAAAAAAAGTTAAATGAAATTTCTTGATTTCTTTCATACATTTGTTGTTTTTTTTTTTTTAACTTGTTCTTCTATTCATAGAGGTCATGGTAAAAAGATATTAAATATAATTTATTTAAATTTGTTGAAATTTATTTAGAAATATATAAATAACACAGTATTGTTGGAATCGCATGAAACTCGATAAAAAACTATTTTTTTGCACCAAAGTATCAATGAAGTCTTAAAAAACAAATGATTAATTATTTAGAATAATAAAAAAATCAGCTTGATTAAATTCCAAGAGCTTCAATAAATAAGTGTTTTATGTTTAAGTGTACACACTAGAAGTTAATTTCAATATCTTAATCATGCGTGTATGTATATAGTAGTTTTATTTTATGATTGCAAGTTTATAATCAACTTATAATTTTGCATAATATGCTCACATATTGTGAAAATGTGAAAAAACAAAATAAATGCTCGTTCATGTCTGTGTCACATAAATGAAAGATATTCTGCTAGCCTTGTTTTACGAATCCGTAAGATACACGCTTTGCTAATTAGAACAACAAGCTTTCTTGTTGATATTCGTCGACAAATTTCCAATATTAATAGTAGTCCCCTGGGGAAGTCCTGTCGAGTTAGCTGCCTCTTGTGCTGCCAGTGCCTTTTTGCTAATAATTTGGTAGATATCCAGCAAAATGGTCTGGAATGCCTTTTCAACGTTGGAAGCTTCCAAAGCTGAAGTCTCAAGAAATGAAAGGCATTCCTTCTCGGCCAGCATTTGAGCATCTTCTGCTGAGACTGATCTGAGATGGTTCAGATCAGTTTTGTTTCCAGCCAGCATGATGACAATGTTAGAGTCTGCATGATCCCTTAGCTCACGAAGCCACCTCTGGACATTATCAAATGTTTGCCTCTTGGTTATATCATAAACCAAGAGCGCACCAACTGCACCTCTGTAGTATGCACTGGTGATAGCTCTGTACCTTTCTTGGCCAGCTGTGTCCCATATTTGTGCCTTCACTGTCTTCCCTTCTACCTGCATAATAGTAAATCTTAGCTTTATTTTTAAAAAATAAATTAACTGGTCAAAAATTAAGAACCAGAAAGCAAAAAAAGAAAAGGAAAGAAATAACAAATTCAAACTCTGGAAACAGGTAACCTTAATTGCTACGAGGAACTCTTGCAGAGGAAGCGACAGATCACTTAAGCACCCATGTTCCCCATCTAATCTAAAATGTTCTCCTGATTAATAAATGATTGGATTAATAATTGCTCTGTGTTTTAATACTCTACTTGATTGTTGAAAATATCTCGTGATGTGATAAAATAAAAAAAAAGATTGCTGACAAAACTTAAGCATTCAATGTTTTCGAGAACTTGTTCCTTTAGTTTTTTTTTTTATCCTTCTTAACATCGCTATTTAAAAAAAAAATTAATATAATTTTTATTTTTTATTTTTATATAATTTTAATGTGATAGATAAAAAATAATTTTTAAAAAATAAAAAATATTATTATAATATTTTTTAAAATAAAAAAACACTTTAAAAAACTATTAGAATGCTTAAAATTACTGCATTGTCATTCCATTTTTTTTAAATATATATAAACACAGAGAGATCACGATGGATAAAGTAACAGATTCAAAACCAAAAAATTGGATGGTGGCATTGATACCGTAATTTGGAAATCAAGATTTGTTTCACAGCAACTGACAATAAGATAAAAACATCCAATCTTAAGACTCTGCATAGCATAAGCAAAAAAAAAAAAAAAAAAAAAAGAATTTAAAAGCGAATAAAAAGGAAATATAGATTTCGATGTCTATATGTGCTCCATGATACATAGAATTGAAACATACAAACCTGAAGAGTCCTCGTTGCAAACTCAACACCAATAGTAGACTTGGATTCCAAGCAGAATTCATTACGAGTGAATCTGGAAAGAATGTTGGATTTTCCAACACCTGAATCTCCAATCAACACAATCTTGAACAGATAATCGTATTCATGATCCACCTTGTATGCCATTAATTAAATTAATGAATTAACCCTCTCCTTTTTCTTTAATCCTCTCTCCCACGCACCACGCCCAGACCCCCAGAGCAATAAAGAAAATATCTTGAAACTGGAAAATTGGATTGCAAATTGAATTAGATATGGGTTGCAGAGAGAGAGAGAGAGAGAGAGAGGTGCACTAATAATGGGTTGCAGAGAGAGAGAGAGAGAGAGGTGCACTAATGCTGCAAGAGGGGGAAGCAAACCCAGAATGACGGACAAAAAGGCATTTTAAACGGTTTTTCTTTCATTCTAGGAGCGAAACTCGGGGGAGTTTAAACCAGAGATAAAAAGCAAAATCATATATTACTTTTCACGTCTTTATTCTTTATAAAAATAAAAAAAATAGTGAAATGGGCCGGACTCTTGTGGACACTTGGCCCTTTGACTTTCCTCTCCATCCAACAACAGCAAGTTCACGTTCCTTCCCTCTTACTGGATTTCTTGAATGCTAGCCCCAGCCCTCGGATGAGCCTCCTTGATCTATTTTGTATTTATAGGTGAGGTCTGCCGTTATGTTATAATTTTTTTATAATTATTTTTTTTCTTATAAGATAGTGTTTATTCCGGAAAGAAAGGCTGGAGAAAAATTGTTAACTCATAAAATTTTATAATTTTATAAATTAATTTATATATAATATATTTAAATTTGCATCTAACATGCTAAATTAGAATAAAAACTTGAAACTAGTAAAATTGGATTTCACTTGTACAAAATTAATAAAATTGATAAACTCGGTTTGATTTTACAAGTTTATTAAATCTGTGATATGAACCAAGTTATATTCAAATTTAGCCTTAAAATATTTATTGACTAGCTTTGCAAAATTAATGATATCTTTAAAACTGTATATTTTATAAAACTAAAATTTTATAAAAAAATATTAGATAACATGATAAATTTTAGATCAAATAGAATTAAGGAACATGGTATTTTAGATAATCAAATTTAGTAAACTAATATTATCAAATATGTCAAACACTACATTCGTATACTGTTTGGGACATATTTAGAGCTGTTAGTAAAATTTTGCTTCGTTTAAAGTTGAGATTAAAATTAGACATATGAAACTTTTCAATTATATATCGTAAGTCTAATAATTCATCTAGACAAAAGAGAACGACATGTTTGAAATTATCATTTAAATTTGCTTAAAATATACAAAAATTGAAGATTTAAGCTATATGGAGGAATTTTAACTTGAAGATTTTTTTAATTATTCTATTTTAATTAATTAATTATTTATTTTTAAATATTTATTTTTAATTTAAAGTTTTTCTAGCGTATTAGACATTGTTTTGAAATTTATTTTATTATTGAATTTATGTTAGTTAATTATTAATTTAAATACATTAGCTTGCAACTTAAAAGTAATCTATCAAAAATTATTGTGATGAAAACAATTAGGTTGTCATTAGATTTATTACATTAGCTTGCAGCTTAAAAGTAGTCTATCAAAACTTATTGTAATGAAAACAACTAGGTTGCCATTAGATTTATATATATATATATTTTTTTTCAATGTTTTTCTTGTATTGAAAAATTTTATTATAAGACTTTTTATTTTTCTATGTCATTAATTTATTAATTAATAATATATATTTATTTTATTTTATTTAGATCACTCATTGATTATAATATTATTAACTTATTTTTTTAGATTTTAACGTAATTTAATTTCTAGAATTATTAATATATAATTAGTTAAAAAATTACTTATAATTTTATAATTTGAATTTATATTATATTTTTTATATCATATCAATTTTTTTTTTATAACCTTAAACGGGAGGATACCAAGTATTGAAAATAAAACGCATCAGAAAGAGATTAACATATCTGGATTATTTATTAAACAATTATCGGGTATAATCTCGACATGCCTCTGGCTAGATTTTGGAGATTTCAATTGAATTATTCAATCCCAGATTCAATTACAACCACCTAATTTGCATGTCAAATTAATTCTGCATTTAACTTAATAATGAAGCACAGTTACATTGTACTCAACAATGGCATCACCACTACTTGCATTTATGAAGTAAGTCTTCAACTGAGCAAACCCTCTAGCCAACCTGAACTTTCCTCTCCCTCCAACCACGGCGAGCTCACGCTCGGTGTTTATTATGGGATTTCTTGAAAACACACTAATGGAGCTCCCATTAAATTCGCCGCTGGTGAATCCAAAATCAAAATATACCACTAGAGATGGTATATCTTGACTAGATAATACATACAGCCCCTGGGCATTGCCAATGACCTCGGAGGTCAGTTCGGGCCCAACTGTAAGAGGATCATCAATGACAAATACGCTCCCAAACGGAGCTACTGACTGACCAGTGGTGATGTTGGGACGGGCAACAAGAACAGCACTAGGGTTTTTACCACTGAGTGTATCGTGGAAGAAGAAGTGGAGATTGGTTGTTTTCTCTGGTAAGGATTCATATGACACACTCTGAGAGTAATATTGGCCATGTGCATGTGTGGTGATCATGTAAAGGATCAAAGCCAAACCCAAAACTTGCATGCCTTCCATCTGCTTTGCACTTCAGAAATTTTAGACTCACACTCTTTCTTTGCATGAATTACAAAGTCAATCGAGTTAATTTATATAAAGATGTTAGATGTGATGCTAGCTGGCGCATCTAATTTTCCTTAATAATGCTGCCATTAAATTACCAAATATAAGAAAAAACTTAATGTACTGTTGGAGGATATTCAATATTTGATCCTAACAAAGGAAAACTATTGGTATTTGAAAACAGAGAAAGGCAAATATGGATAGTCAACGTAAATAAATAGATTTGTTCGGGAGATTGATTCAACACCACCTTATATAGTATATGCAATTCAATTTTATGCAAAATCTACTGTCCTATTTTGTGGCGGTATTCATCCCCAATGTGGCAGGATGATGAAGTGATTTTATTTCTTGGTCTCGAAACTCTGTGGAAACACAATCTCTACTATTATGGTAAATGTAAAGGGAGGATGATCCGGAGTTGACTGCATTGTATTACTTTGGATGCGCTCGATCGGATAATTATAGAAAATCGAGGCGAAAACGAGTCGGTGAAAATTATATAGAAACTTCGGCCATTCTTCCAGCGTATCAAAACTCGAGGGCTTATGCTAAAGTAAAATATTATCATAGACTGGTTTAAATCATTGTCAGAGATGCAGGACCCATTTGTACCTATTTTTCCCCCGTGAAAGAGGCTGCGAATCTGAAGGGTGCAGTTGAAATTTTTCTGGGTAGCTAACTGTCCATATGATGTCATGGGTTTCAAATAAGATTATAGTTTTTGTTGATAATATTAATAATTACTTATGAATGATATATAAAATGCAAAACTTTTTCAAAAAATGAATATGAACGAGAATAAAAATCTATTTTTTTTATTATAAAAAACTTATATTCATTATTATTTTATTTCTTTATTAAAGGCTTGCAAAAGTTTTCAATTTATATTATTTTTTTATTGGCACTTTCTTTTAAGATCATGATAAGTTTTTATTTAAAAAAATGATTTTGATAAAAAAAAGAATATTTAAAAAAAAATAAAAAAGAAATACATAAATAAGAAAAAAAGAGATTTCATTAAATATATTTTTTTCTTCCTTAATTTAAATCATTGAAATATTTATAATATTTACTCTATTTTTCTTTAGTTTTTATTAAAAACAAAGCTGCTAATATAAACCCATGTTTATATATATATATATATGTGTGTGTGTGTGTGTGGACACACACACTATTCAGTTTACTCGTACTATGTGAGCTGGTTAAAAAAATTATACAAACAAAAAAAAATATGAAAGCTATTTTTCATAGATTCAAAGAAAATCTTAATTGTTGATACATTAATTAAATCAAATCAAATAACTTTTTTACTCCGGATCGCTATTCCAAAATTAGCTTTATCCAAAAAGGAAAAGAAAAAAACTTAGCATTAAGAAAATATTGCAAATGGTGATGATCTAAGATTTCTTTGGGGGCTGGAGAGGCCAATAAATGTGCTTAATGGGGTATAACCCAGTAGCCTTTTAGGGAGACGGATACCCATTCCAGGACTTCAACTAAAAGAAATGAAACTTGATTAGTGCACGAAAGCTTCATCATGTGAGTATTTCATAGAAGATGATCTCATGGACCTGATATTTCATATATCACCATAGTTTCGATAGACTCTGGTGATTCAAAACTCTTCCGAGTCATCAATATTGCACAATCAAATCTTAATTGTGATGATCTAAGATTTCTTTGTGGGCTGGAGAGGCCAATAAATGTGCTTAATGGGGTATAACCCAGTAGCCTTTTAGGGAGACGGATACCCATTCCAGGACTTCAACTAAAAGAAATGAAACTTGATTAGTGCACGAAAGCTTCATCATGTGAGTATTTCATAGAAGATGATCTCATGGACCTGATATTTCATATATCACCATAGTTTCGATAGACTCTGGTGATTCAAAACTCTTCCGAGTCATCAATATTGCAGTCAATCGGCTACTTTTCTTCACCATAGCCAACCATATGTTCATAATTGATGGCGATGATGCCTCCTATCTCAAGCCCTTTACCACCTTAGTCATCATGCTAGGACCTGGGGAAACCATGTGTGTTTTGATCTATGGAGATCGATTACCTGGCGGATATTATATGGCAGCCTGAGCTTATCAAGGCGCACAAAATGCACCATTCGATAGCACCACAACCGCTGTCATTCTTGAATACAAGTCTGCTCTTTGCCTGCTAAGTGTACAAAGAAACCATTTATGCCACTACTTTCAGCTTATAATGACACAAATACAGTCACAACACTCAGTAGAAGCTTTAAAAGTCCTCGAAAAGTTGAGTCCCGACCGATATTGATGAGAAGTTTTTCCTCGGAGTCGGCCTAGGACTTAACTTCAAAGTCAATTCTAGCAACATAACAATAGAGCAAGGACAGGAAAAAGAAAAGAAAACATTTAAAAAAATGCAAATCTCGCAAGGTTAATTTATAATTCAAATGGAGAAAAATAGAAGAATGAGTGAAGAAAATGAAAAGGTGAAAGGAATTAACATAGACCTGTCTCACTTAAAACTTGTTTAGCAGTGGGATTGAAATTGGTTTTTAAATAATTTTTTATA